TTGTGCAAATTGCAATTCTCCATGTGCGGCGCGGACGGTCGGACCTTCAGACGAGGCGTATATATTACACATATATAGTAGACGTCTCCGAGTCAAACGACAACCAAAAGCAAAAAACAGATCCCCACCGAGCAGGAAGAGAAAGGTCATAAACAAAGCCAAAGAAAAAAAATAAGAATACATCGAGTACGTATCTCCTCTCTGATAATCAAAAATCTGTTTCCGGCTTCTCAAACATCCTTACACCCCCAATTCCACTCCGTCCTCCACTTCAACCCCTCACACCTCTCCTTCGACATCGGCAGCCCATACGTCAGGGGACTAAACGCCACAAACACGGCGATTGTGACAACCACCACCGCCAGGGCCACGACGCATTTAAGGGCGAGCACCCGCGGGTCCGACGCGATGCGCGCGCTCAGTTCCGTTGGTGGGGTGATGACCGGCGGTTGCTGTACAGGGACAGGCTCGTACGGGCGGTGATGCAGTCCCTCCTCGCTAGCGGTGCGTTTCCGGATCTTATGTGTCGGTGTTTTCGGTGGGAGGGATTGTTGGCCACGAGCCCAGTTGCGGAACCAGAGGGGAAGGCGGTATTGACCGGGCCAGGTGGTGACGAGGGCATTCCAGCGGGAGGCGAGGAGGGTGGAGAAGGCGGTTGTGAGGCCCTCGGTGAAGGTGCCGAAGAGGAGGATGGAAAAGTAGAGGGAGGGGAGGTAGTGGTGGAGGAAGAGCTGGCGGGTCATGAGGAAGAAGGGGAGGTAGTGGAGAAGCCAGCCTGTGAAGATGAGGGCTGTTCCTGGGCCTGTGGCTTCTGAAATGAAGTCTGAAAAATGCGAAGTGTGTGAGTGGGGATACTCGTTTATCAGCAGCGTATCAGGAAAGCTTATGGAACTCCACACATACCAGCAAACCTCCTCCACTGCCTCTTCTCCGAAACAACCTCCACCGCCTGCAACACCAAAAACCCCACCAGCGCCGCACCCGCAAGCGACCACACAACCGGATTCCCCACCAAATGCATCTGCGCACTCCCCCCATCCTTCGCCGTCCAAAAACTGATCCCCCTCTTCATCCCCGGCCACGAATCTGGCCTCGACTGGAACGGGTGCGACGCGTCCAGACCGGAATTGATCTTCCACATCATGCGGTGGGCTTCGACGAATTTGGCGAAGAAGCCGGGGGCTTGGTACCGCGTTTTGAGGGAGGTGGGGGGTTGCAGGTCGTTGGTGTTGGATTCGATGCGCCAGGTTGTGAAGGACTTTTTGCCGTTTTTGGCGCATGTTACTTCTTGTTGGCCGTATGCTATCGGTATCATGATACAGTGAGACGAGCGTTCGAACACCCATGACGTGGAGGCAAGTATCACATACCCCACTCTGGAAGTTTGACCTTGTGTGAAAACAGCGCACATCCGGTGTTGACGTGAATAAGCCTAAACTTATGGGTAAGGGCTTTAAGATACACTGGCTGCTCCATCTTTTCAGCCCCGAGAACTTCCACCCGCCAGTGGTCGTTGGAGTCCCCAATGAACCCCACAGCGCCATATGCGGAGACTTCTTGCTGTCCTTCAGTGTCCGTGACGGGCGGGCTTTTAACAACCAAAAGACATCAGTATCCGTTTTCTGACACGGTAGCGGAGACAGACACACATACCGATGATCATGACTATGCATCCTCATCCCCGTCTTAACATGCAACAACCTCACGCTGTCCCCATGCTTAACCCTCTCAAACGTCTTGACATCCGGCGCAAACGCCGTCCCATTATCATATTCCAACGCAGGTTCCACCTTGAACCAACTATTCTCGTCTCCATAAGGGTACAGCGTAACCTGCTGCTGTTTCGATCCGGTGGGATACTTTGCCGGGTGGGAGTGGATGTAACCCCCCGACGTGCCTTCGTGTCTGATAAGCACCGTGGCGCCGAGCCCGATTTCCTCGTAGGTTTCTTTGATTTCGGTGCCGCGGAGGGTGGATTGGAATTCGGGGGACATGAAGCCCGCGCCGGAGCCGGTGTTGGGGAGGGCGAGGAAGTGGAGTTGGAAGATGAGGAGGTAGACGGCGATGGGGACGGCTATTAGGCATAGAGCGAGAGCTGAGAAGCGCTTTGCGTATTGCGTCTGGATATGGATGAGGCGACCAGTGTTACCAAGTGTAGGTTGAGGCGTGATTGCAACAGTCTCACTTACGGGGGTCACGGTCAGGTCAGCTAGTAGCTCCCAGAGATAGTAGACGGTGGAAAAGCCAACCCATGCAATCACGAACAGACCTGATGGACAGAGTGGTGTCAACTCACGCGAGCAAGTGTCGGATAGAAGAACTCCGTTTTACATACCGACCCACTTGACACTGGAATGGACGATGCAATCAATTCATCTGTCAACTTGCTTGGAGATCAAGAATATCTCTTACCTCGCCGCAAGACCTATCCCTAGCCCGGTTAAGAACAGTGATGTCCACCATCTCAGACTGAACGGACTGATCGACATGGCTAGTTAGCATATGATATGTTTTCGCACTCATTCCCACAATGCTTCTCACCTCTCCCGACACGCCTGGAAGTCGGTCCAAGCTTGCACCGCCCAAGCGGTGAAGAACAACAGGATAGAGTCCAGCAGAATCAACCGCGACTGGCAAGTCAGCGCGTTCTCGAACACCACCAGTAGCGCAGTCATAACCGCGATAGGGTGAGATACGGATAAGTTGCGCATTGTTGCATATGCCATCTAGAAAGTGCACATCCGTGAGTCCGAAGCAAAAGACCGAATCTCACACTTCCCCAAAAGCGGTAATGCGCAAGGGATACGTACGGGAACCATAAGAACTCCCATAATCCCCGGAAGTAATCGCATCGAGACGTACGGCACTCTCGGTGCGATGTAGTCCATGCCGATCTCCTTGAAATCAAAGGAGCCATCGAAGCCAGCCATGACTCCACTCGCAGCAATCAACAGCTTGCCCAGTGGTGGGTGGACGTCCATGAAGAACTTTCCGCTGATGTATTTGCTCGCGAACCCTCCGAAATGGACTTCGTCGAATACGACCTGTGGTGAGTAAATCGTGGGTGAGAAAGGATTGCGAGCTTCACCATCCAAACATCAACCACCAACAATCGAACATCCACCATCAAACATCGAACGTTGACCATCAACCATCAGTTGACAAACACGTGGGTGAGGGAGTATTGCGCCTTTGGCGCAATGTGGTGCTCGCTGAGGCTTGCGAAGAAACGCGGTCAGGGGGAAGCATTGCGCCTTTAGCGCAATGTGTGCTGTGCTCGCTCTGGTCGCCCTACCGGTCTCCCAGCCCGAACCAACCCCCTTCGCTTCGCTCGCGACCATCTCCCTTCGCTCGTTGCAGTACAACACCCACGCCCGCTCCCGCTCGCTTTGCGGCCGCGACATACCTGACTAGGATTGGAAAGGCGAAACAGGCGTACCAAAACGCCAATGAGCGTCAACGTCACCATTACACCCATGCTGGCATTTCCTGGGCAAGTTCTGCCACTCGCGTCTCGGCCGCAGCTCCTTTGAGTTATTATAATCCTCATCCTCGTCTTGCGGCAAGTTGAGGGCTATTTTTGCCTCGTCAGCGTTGTTGTGCGTCGCGGCTCCCACCCTCCACGAAGCGGCAGCAGTCAGGTGGTTCTCCGTCAGTGAGCGAGAACCGGCGGGAAGTAACGAGTCGCCCTCCATAGAGCTTCGTGGGTTGTAAGCTGTTGGAGTCCGCGGTGGCTGCTCATAGTTCCTGGCATCATAACCACCGTGGTGAATGGGCGAGTGGACCGCGTTTTGCTGCTGCTGCTGTTGGTGATGCTGCATCCGTTGCGTTTGTTGCTGCAGTTGCTGCAGTTTCGCGGTTGCACCGAGGGAAGAACCACTCTTCCGTGTCCTCAACAAATCTTCATCTCCTGGCTGCATGGTCGCGGACAACATCGTCTATTGCGATGAGGAGTTCCAGAGAGGCTCCGCAGCAGAGTGCCCAGTTGGTTGCAAGAACGTATTCGTAGATCAGTGTAAGTACTAAGCACAGGAGGATGTGCGTGAGTTGCTTCTCCGTCCCGGGTGGGAGAGCGAAGTTGGTTCTACTGTGCAAGCCGGAGACGGTGTGTGTTGTGTTGGAGTGAGTGCCAGCAGCAGCCCGCCGCCACGATCAAGGAGGCCAATAAATGATGAGGGCCAAATTCTATCCTAAGAATGACTGCGGGAGGGGCACAGACGCGTGGGAGGGGCCCAACTATTAACAAACAGACATCTTCCCCCGACGACTGGCGACAGACTGGCTTCACACCCAATTATGCTTTTTCAAATCAATGTACAGTATGATGAGAGCATTGTATGTATTATGGGAGCATACATGCAAGCAGCAGCAGCAATTCCAACCTGCCCACACTCTATTTATCATCTATCGTCTACCCAACCAATGGCCCGACATCGCATTAACGTCCTCCACGCTGGTCGAGGGCCCCTATTCAAAATTTCAAAAGTCGCCCCCTTTACCCGCAGCCAGCTGATCGGCTGGATCTTTGACATGGTCATCTCGGAAGGAAGTGATTCGATCTCCCTCAATCCGCAGGCAGGGTGAGCAACAACGACCCCACATCCACCGTCGGTTGAGGGACTGCCACCACCGCACCAGCGACATGAAAACCCGCGTCGTAGGCGCAGGACTCCTTTGAGGTTGGTTGGCCGACGATGTCGATACTCCTTTGCCACCCCGCCGTCCCCACACCCTCATCTCCAGTGTCGCATCTCAGTCCCAGTCCGCGTTCCACCACTGCTCCGACTTCTATATGATCCCGCCGAATGAAGTAGCTGGTCCGTCGGACCCCAGTTCAGGGTGCTGGGCGGTCGTTTGGGAGACGATGGGTGAGAAGCCTAGAAGAGTGTGTCCGGCGCATGCAGGTCTGGCGTGCTTTCGCGGAGCCAGATGTGGTGCAATTGAGTCGTTAGAAAGGACCGACTCATTGTCCATATCGATATCGTTGTGCCGTTGCGTGCACTGATCCCTGCATCAATTGTCCCACGCCAAATCCTCATCGTCCAGAAAGCTCAACCTCCAAATCACACCCCAAACAAATCCTTCCCCTCCTTCCCCTCCTGCACCTCCCCCTCCCTCTCCTTAACCAAATACCCCACTTGACACTTCCCCAACAGCCCATCCACATTAACCCACGGATGCACCTTCATAAACACCTCCGTCGCATCCTTCCCCGCGCCCCTCAAAAGCTGCCCAGCGCCTCCCGGTTGAAACTTGATATAATGCGTGACATTATACACATTCCCCTGCACAGCCATCCAGCAATCATCTCACGAGCGGTGTTGCGCAACTTCAGAGGGTGTGAACCGCGCAAGCTGCTTGACCCCGCCGCGGAGGTCCCGGCCGCTGAAGAGGAGGCGGGCCCAGTCGAGGGGGGAGCGGCCGGGGGCTAGAGAGACTTTTTTCCGGGGGGTGGAGGGGGAGGAGGCGCGTTGGGGGCCGCCAAGCATGGGGAAGGCGTTCAGGTGGGAGTCGGATTGTGCGGAAGAGGGGCGGGATATGGGCAGGGGAGTTTTGAAAACACTCGGGTCCGGCGGTTGTAGGGTGGCGGATGGCGGGCGCAATAGGTAGGCTGAGGAGGGCGAGAGGGTGGAGGTCCCGGAGAATTGGGTAGTTCGTGGTGCTGGTGGTGGTTGTTGCTGTGCTTGTGCTGGTGATGGCGATGCAGATGGAACCGACACCGACACCGACACGGTAAGGGGTGCTGCTGGGGTCAGGTCAATCACATCCCCTTCCTCCTCCTCCTCCTCGTTGTCATCGTCGTTGTCTGATCCCTTATCCTCCTTCCCCCCGTTCTGTCCGGCCGACACAACAGACAAGTGCCCAAGCTCAATCACATTCCCTTCATCCTCCTCTGTCTGTGAACGAGTTCCATTTGAGGGTTTGGACGTCCCTGTAGTGGCGGTGGTGCTGGGAGCCAGAGGCGCAAGCTCGATAATGTCACCGTCGTCGTCGTCGTTGTCGGAGTTTGTAAATGATTTATCCGAGTCGTAGTCGAGGAGGTCGGCGGCATTGAGGGTGAGCGGTGGGATCGAGGGAATCATTCTTTTTGAGGGAAGGTGGGGAGGTATCGAGGTATCGAGGTATGCGACGAGACGGCTAAGCAGCGTCGTTGTTGTTGTGGGTATGGGTCGCCCGGTCTGTCAGGCTCCTCGTGCCGTTTTCGCTTGCGTGGGTATGTATACAAACAATACAGTAGGGGACCATCAACCTGCACCCACCCCCAATGAAATCAGTGTCGGACAAGCTGGACAAGGTTTATGCTCAAATACTCCACGCGTGTTTGCCACTGTTTGGGCGCCGTATTTCAGCTTTGGGTGTACGATATTCGCAGTGGCGGCGGTAGGAGTAGCTATGCGGTGTGCTACGTGGACGCAGAGGCTCTATCTCCATACAGGAGCCCGGGAAAAAGGCCGCCCCGGCCCGCCCGTAGCCCCATTCATAAACGAGCCTGGTCCCGGAGTCTTCGCCCCTCGCCCCATCAGGACAGACGAAGCTCATCGAGATCAGGTCATTGAGACGGTGAGATAGCAACCGACGATCTACGACTCAAAGGACAGGCGATGGGTGTTACGACGGTGCTCCTCCCGACCTCCGTCCTGGGGCGTCCCGAACTAGCCGACGTCCTCTCGATACAGGTTCCGACAGCCCACGGCGCAGAGCCAAATCCCGGTGGACCACCCCCGGTCTCCGGGCCACTCACCATCACCGTCGCCGACTTCCGCCGAGTGATCGCCGAACAGGTACTCGCGGGCGAGTACCTCGCCAACCGCCTCGTGTTATGGGACATTTCCGCCTGCGACTGCCGGTGGGACGATCCGCGCATTGCCGAGATCGGCGACGACGGTCGGGAAAAACTTATGCAGGGTGAGGGAGGGAAGGGTGAGGTGGCAGACGTGAAGCGGAGGTTTCCTGCAGCAAGGATGTTGTCGCCGATTGGGAAGTTGGAGCACGAGTTACAGGATTTGTTCAAAGGCGATGGGAAGAAAGGGGATGTGAAGGGTGGTGGAGTGGGGGAGATGGACAAGATGCTGGAGAATCGGCTGGCTATCCTTGTTGTCGTGAGGAGTGTGCAAGCTCAAACCAGCGAAACCAGTAATACCACAGTGACCAGCAATTCTACAACATACCCAACGGATCCTCGCCACAGCATCGCCTCAACTTCTTCACCGCCCGCCTACGACATGCTTGATTCCCATGGTCTCGACAGCGCTCCCACCTACACTCCTGGGCGCTCATCGATGTCGTCGGTCGTCTCGACCAACACGTATGGCAGCCTCGCCAAGTCCCAGCGGTCATCCTCGGACCATTTCATTACGACGAACGGGGAGCCGGAAGAGACGGGACATCGTCAAGAAAGTGAACATCGCTCCCCGGTTCCGCCGGCGAGGTCCTCATCGCATAGACCTCTGCGCTCATCAGACCAAAAACACCGGTCTACGGGTGACGTCCTTCGTCCAGCCAACCGCGCCCTATCGACCGTCGGTCCCACACGGCCTCAGTCCGTCCCATTGTGTACGACCCCGCCGTCTCGGCCCCCTGTTCCAACCTACGGTTCCTTGCGCGCCCACGCCGATGCCCAATCGGGCCCCTTGACCCGCGTCATCAAACGCCGCGCCATGGCCCAGATGCTCTCCGACATGGAAGAAGAACGCGGCATGCGCCATTTCGTGCTAGTCGACACACGATTGTGGATATTCGACCCCCCCAACAGTAGCTCAGACCCATCTTCTCACCCACCTCCGGACACCACCCTCGCCCGCGTCCACCTCCAGCTGACACCAAACTCACAGGCCGAGCTCAAATCCTTCAAATCCACACAACACCGCTTCTCACTCTCCGTCTCTGGCCAGCCGCGCCGCTTGGGATCCGACGGGCGCGTTGTGGCGCATGGGAGCGAAATAGTGGATAGGAAGGGGTTGGCGAGTTGGAGGTTGGAGGCGAGGGATGCGGAGGAGGCGATGGAGTGGGTTGCGGCGTTGATGAAGGCTGTGGAGGCTGCGGGGGCTAGCGTGCGGAAGCCGATTTACAAAAAGGGGATGGGTGCCGCTGATTTCGCGGGCATACGCGTCATGGGAGCAAGTTGGCATGCCTAGATACGCCCGTAGACGGATACCTCTCATGGTTGAAACGTAATACATAGAGTAATACTGGCAGCCTTGAGCCGCGATCGGGACGCCAGGTTCAGACAAGTGGGTTACCCGCACATTGGGACAAATGTTCTCGCTCCTGCCTCAGTGTGCTTTTTCACCAACATGGGGTCTGTTCGGCCGGCCATCTCGCGCGCGATGCCCAACCGATGTGGATGTTCTTGTTCATCTTGATGTTCTGGGTGCATTCAGGCGATTATCCCTACCCGTCCAATCAACAGGAACCATGTTGTCACTCGGTTGGCACAGAGCAGTACACCCCAACCATCGTTCCAGAACAGGTACAGTGCAGTACTACAGTAGGACCGTGAGAAGGCTGCTGCTGTGGTGGGCACAAGTTGAGACTCCGCGTGTTCTCCAGTTGCCAATCCCTTGTGCTGCGGTGCCTTCTGGGTTGACTTCTGGGTTGACTTGCGTTGGGCAAAACGTCCTCGATTTATGGTGCTTTTGTTCACGGCTCCCGTGATCTTATACCCCTCCCGTACATACATGTACTCTCGCCGCTGAAGTGAACCCTACTGCTACCTGCCAAGTCATATCTTCTCTCGTCTCACCCAACTTTCTCAAAGAAGCACAGAGTACTCGTACCGTCCACAATGAGCGACCCCGAGGATTTCTTCTCGGACGACGAGGAGCGGGAAGAGGCCGTCCAGTCCCGCACAGACCACCCCGCTGCCAGCGCTGTCACCTCAACAAAACGCCCTGGAGAGGAGGAAGCAGAGGACGCAAAGTCTGACGGGGAAAGTGAACCAGGGGCTCTGGACGAGTCCGACCATGGCGAGCGTGGGAAAGCAGGCGACAGGCCGAATGGTCGAGGCGGTTACGATGACGACGAAGAAGACGAAGACGAGGAAGAGGAGGGTGGCCCAAGTCGTCGGTATGATGACGACGAGGACGAAGAGGAGGAAGAAGAGGATGAAGATGTATGTCTCGCCCATGTTGTGCCGGGTACATGATCACTCGGGATTTGTGATGGCTCACGATCTCGACCCGTCGGTCTTGCCCGATTTCGATGCATTGTTCGCACCTGTAGTTACCGAAAGCAAGGAAGAAGCGCAGAAAAGTAAACCGTTTCATTGATGAGGAGGCCATGGTTGATGACGATGAAGAGGAGGAAGAAGATGAAGAAGAGGGTTTCGTTGAAGGACAAGGTAGGTTTCATACAGGTTAGCCGCCCTTGGGGAGTTCGCCGTGCTCATATACCGACTTATACAGATGAGGACTTCGACGAGTTGGCGAGAGAGACGTTGGACTCCCGAGCACACAGAGAATTGGATCGACGAAGGGATGAGGACAGTATGGATGCTGAAGCCCTTGCTGCGACAATGAAGGCTCGATATGGTCGATCAGAATTCAGCAGAGGCGCATACCGCGGAGATGTGGAGCACATCCCGCAGAGCATGCTGATGCCCTCCGTCGCCGATCCCAAGCTCTGGTTATGTCAAGTTAGGGTGCGTCTGTGATCATATAGCAACATGTGGAGCAGACTGGACCTGGGGCGTATGCTTATCCCGACGGCTTTCTGGTGCACAGGAAGGAAGAGAGAAAGACGTCGTCTTTACTATCCTCCGCAAAGCCATAGATCGTGAGAGCACCGCCGGCGCGCTAGACATCTATTCCGTCTTCGCCCGCGACTCGCTGAAGGGATACATCTACATCGAAGCGCGCCAACAAGCCGCAGTTCAGGCCGCATTGGATGGCGTCAACAATGTCTTCATCAGCAAGCTGCGGCTCGTCCCCGTCGACGAGATGGTGGACTGCCTCACTATCAAAGCGAAGGACCAGAATCTGGACAACGTGCACTGGTTCCGTGTCAAGAGAGGAAAGTACGCGGGAGATTTGGGACAGGTCATCCAGATCACGGAGAATGGAGAGACCATGCTGTGTCGGTTGGTTCCGCGGTTGGAAATCGGCCGTGAGGGTGTTCGGGGCCCCGGGGCGCAGAAGCGCAAGAAGAATGAGCCCCGAGCACCGCAGAAGCTTTTCAACCCAATGGATCACAAGTAAGTTGAGGCCCCAACTGGCTCTCAATTCCTATGGCGGTTATTTACGCATCCTTCCGTAGGGGCGAAGTCAGGAAAGACCGCGACTACTACATCTATAACAACGAGTACTTTGACCGCGAAGGATACCTCGAGAAAAACCTGAAGGTCTCCTCCGTCGAAACCGTCAACGTGAACCCATCCCTCGAAGAAATTGGCATGTTCTCCGGCGGAACGGCAGACAAGGCTGATCTAACGCACGTCGCTAATCTCGCTGCTACACGCGTGGCTACTGACTACCATATTGGTGAACCGGTGAAGATTACCGCTGGCGCTATGATGGGGATCACGGGTGTTGTTGCGTCTATACAGCATGACATTCTGGGGATCAAGCCCGACTCGGCTTACGGGTCCACTGTGAGTATATCGTCGACGATCTGGATGGGCGGCGTTTCTATTCCTGAATCTTACATGTCTCCATCCGAAATCGATTAGCTTCCGTCGATCGTGCGCGTCGCCGCATCCGAAGTCCAAAAGACATTCAACGTCGGCGATTCGGTCAAAGTGGTGAAAGGCAAGCACGAAGGAGCCGGCGGTCTGATTGTGGTTATCGATGACAATATCATCACCATTTTGGACGAAGGAACGAAGGAGACTGTAAGTATAAGTCGATGGATAAGAAGTGGTGTAACTTTTGTGAGATATTGGAAAACTGAGAAAGTAGGTCGGGTTCTGGCGATGCAGATTGAGGTGCTGTCCGACTACGTGAGAACTACGACAGACGTTGGCGTCATTCAGCCCCGAACGAGTCCATATGATGTTGGGGACCTGGTTTTCTTGCAGTATGTCTCAGAACTTCGTACTTCCTCGATCCACACAAGCATGATAAACCTAACGATTCCAATGTCCGCAGGAACGACGTAGCAGTAGTAACCAAAGCCGAGCGCGACCAAATCTTCGTCCTAACTCAATTCGGTCAAACCCTTCGCGTGCAAGCCCAGCAAATTCGCAGCAAACGCGACTCACGCTCCGCCATCGCCAACGACGCAAATCGCAACCCGATCTCCGCGGGCACGACCGTCGACGTCCTGGACTCGGATGGACGTGGGGACGCGAAGTATACGGGAACCGTGCAGCATATTTATCGCGCGTTTGTGTTTGTCAAAGTGGTGGATTTGGTTGAGAATGGAGGGTTTGTGGTTGCGAAGGCGCAGAATGTTGTTGATAAGAATGCGGGGAAGAATGGGGTAGGCATTGTCGTTTGCGCACTTTCGTAGGAAGGGCACATAAAGGGCATTGTCTAACTAACGGCGTGAAATACCTTCTTCAGAACTCGTATTCTTCGCCATACGACTCCTATCAAACTCGCAACAGCTTCGGAGGAGGGGGCAACCGCGGCGGCATGGGCGGATTCGGAGGCCGTGGCGGCGGCGGCGGCGGAGGACGCGGCCGTGGTGGAGGCCGAGGCAATTTCGACCCCTTAATCGGGCAAACCGTCACGATCGCAACAGGCACCTTCAAAGGCTACCTCGGCATCGTCAAAGAAGTCATCGACAACCAAGCCCGCGTGGAACTTCACACCGCATCCCGTGTCGTCACGGTGGACAAGACCAAAGTCCTCCGACCGGGCGAGACGCGTCTCCCCGGTGCAGCCGGTGGGCGATCCGACAACCCCTGGGGCCCACCGTCGTCCTCCATCTCGTCATACGGAGACAAGTGGACCTCATCAGCTAGCAAAACCCCGATGCACGGAAGCAAAACGCCCATGCACGGCAGCAGGACGCCCTTCCATGGGATCGGCGGGCGTACACCAGCCCATGGCGACGGCGGGCGCACGCCTGGGTGGGACTCGGGGCGGGCGAGTGGGAGTGGATCGAATACGGTGGATTTGGGAAGCAGGTCCACTGCGGCGTGGGATGCGGGGAGTAAGACGCCGGGACATGGGATGTCGGCGTGGGATGCGGGGAGTAGGACGCCGGGACATCGAGCTTATGGGTTGGATTTGGATGAGTATGTTTCGTGTCTTCTGAGGCGGTTTTAGTGGTATCTCTGATTTGAGCAGAGTGATTGACTTACGTCATGTTTGTACTGTAACAGGCCGGACAACGACGGATATGGGAACTCTTACGACAGGCGACCCTATGGTGATGATAGTAAGTTGTTGCGATCAAGTTGTTCGACCGATTTGTGTGCGGACGGATGAAAACTAACCTTCCTCATTTGTAGAACCCGTAACATCAGCCAGCTCCACGCTCTCGCCAAAACCCACCCCAGCCAGCACCATACCCTCCCCCAAAGCGGCCCCAGCACAAGCAGTTGCGGCAGCCACAACCACCCGCACATCCGAAAAGCAACCCGACCGCGACACCCCCACCCACGCAACAGTCCGCAGCGACCCCTGGCCGCTCCCCAACCTCCTCGTCCAGCTCACCACCGACGCCACCAAGCACTTCCTCATCACCTCCACCACCCCCTCTGCCCGCACCGCCACCCTCCACCCCACCCTCTCCACCTCCGCCGACTCCACCACCACCGACCTCGACAGGTCCGCCGCACCCCTCTCCATCTCCTACGACTCTATCCGCCCCGTCCCGCCCGGCATGCCTGGGCAGCGGGTGGTGATTCTGAGAGGCGATGCGCAGGGGAAGGTGGGACGGTTGATCAGTATGGAGGAAGGGGCGGCGAGCTCGGATGCGATTGTGGTCTTGGATGGGAATAAGAAGGATATGAAGATTTTGGATTTGAAGAATGTTGGGTTGGTTAGGGATGATGGGGAGGATGGGCAGTAAGGAGGTGTTGAGGTTTTCGGAAGGGGGTGAGGATGCGATAGTTGTCATTCACATTGTTGGCAGATGTTAGCGAAACTCTCTCCCAAAATGGAATCATGGCCTTCCTCTCCCCCCTTGAGCACCCTGTTTATGCCAAGTGTTCATTTCGTGTACTCGCAAAATCCTGTATCTCACCGCATCCTCCTCCGATCGTGTACGGCCTCGCAAAATGCCCTCGAAAACATGCCCTTGGCTATGGACGAGGTTCGCTTCCTCGGAAAAAACCTTGCCAATCATCTCGTCACCCACCTTCGGGCTTCTTCCCTCCGCAAACCAAACCTCCAGAAACCTGTAAACAAACCAAGGAAAAGACCCCACAAAACGACGCGCAAGTTCAGATACCAAGTGAGGGAGGTTGAGACACAGGGCGGGGCAAAGTACAGGAGGTATATATGTGGCGAGAAGTTTTTTTTATGGTCGGTACTACATAATAGACGCAAACACCTTGTTGAAACGCGCAATGCTGGGGCCGTGCTCTTCGTATTGCGCTTTCGTGTGGCAGTATGTGTGGAACTCTGCCTATAAGTTATCAAGAAACAGCATCAGGTGTGCGAGTCGAACAAATCAAAAAGAAACCGAAAAACTCGAATACATTCACACATTACCGTATCAGCCAACAAGCTCCCCCCGAACCACACCGCATATCTCTGCTTCTTATGACTGACGACATTGACCTCGATATTGCGCGCCTGGATATGCTGGTCGCGGGCCAGCTTGGCCTGCGAGACGGACTCGTAGTGCCGTAATCGCGACTCGACGACCTTGTTGATGTCGCGCTCGAGACGCTTAGCGAAGGATTTGTACATCGTGGAGCCGCCGGAGAGGACGATGTTCTGATGGGTCAATATGGGTCAGGACTTGGAGGCGGGAGGAGGGAATTGGATAGGAAGGAGGGAATGTACCTTATATAATCCTCGCCTTGTGTCGATGGGGCAGCTTTGGATGACTTGGTCGACGACGTCAGGGAGTGGGGTCAAGAAATCTGGGCTGGCGATCTCGGGGTTGAAGAAGATCTCGGGCCCGAGGAAACGCTCGAAGCCTACGTCCACTGTATACGGCTTGGAAAAGGGCAACATCATCGTAAGCACAGTGTACTTGCGGGATCCCATCAGTCCACATCTCATTTTACCTTCTTGGTGACACTGTGAATGAACTCGTGTCGCTTGAAGTACTTGTCACCCTCCGCCTCGTATTTCTGGAACTCCTTCACGATGTCCGGGCAGACGTAGGAGTACATCTCCTTGATCCGCTTGGCAACTTCCAGGGAGTCTTCGGGCGGTATGCTGTTTTCGCGCTCACGGAGGAGCTGCTGGACGAATTGTGTAATGTCGCGACCGGCGATGGGGATGTGCTTGATGGAGGAGCCGATGACGTAGCCTTCGGCCTGAGAGACCAGCGATGTTTGGGGTCAGATCTGGGCATGAAGGCATTTTGAACGACATGGGGAATCATACTCACAACTGGAATGACGTGCGTGACACCGTCACCACTGTCGATGACCGTTCCCGTCAAAGTCGTTTCTCCCTTCCCACTTGTCCAACTGGCGGCCAGAGCGAGTACGGCTTGCACCGCGATGTACAGGCCTTTTGCGCCAAAAGATTCGAAAAAGATTTCGGCGGTGTATTCTCGGTTCTCGGGAGGGTTCAACGGTGGTTCGGTCTGTGAAGAGTGGGAGTATGTGTGAGCGGTGTTCTGAGAAGGATCCACGACAAGCGACAATCAATTTGCTGCTCGCTGCGCTCGAGGCATAGACTACGAGCCGAAGTGTCCTTGCGCCTTGAGCGCAAATAGCGGGCTTTGCCCACGTTATCACTTTGCGAACTTCAAACGCGCATTCGGCTCTCTATCGGCCAAGATCGTCCTCCCTTCAGCAGGAGCCGCTCTCACATACCAGCAGAAAGTGGTGTTCCTCTGGCTCGCACCGGAGTTTATGGAACAGGGAAGCCTGGTGATATTTCTCCATGTGATCCCAGTTATCAACAGTCCCATGCCTGATGGGGTAGGATATTCCGTATGTCTTTGAGTTTGCGAGGGCTTCGTCGCCGATGAAATAGTCCAAGTCTTCAATGCCGCGTTTCGCCGAGACGTTGCTGCTGGTCTGCTGGCCGTCACGGAACGCCAAGGCGGTGGGGATGATGAACTGAGGATCGTTGTTACCGGCGTAGCCCATTTTGGTGTACCTGCAAAGAAGGTAGTGAGTTACTTCTGGGAAAGTTCAACCCTTTTGACACTTTCGGAAGCGGTCATCTTACCCGGTTCCATTGTCGATCACGACCGCGGGAAGGCCCGACATTATGGATGTGCGCTATATGTTTTGAAGGGGAAGACAGGCTTAGCAGGAGAGCTCCACGTTTGCAGGGTAGGCCGTCAGACGACGAAACGGGCGATGGTGGGAGTGTTAAGCGGGTTGGACGGGTGACGACGATGAGGTCCAACTTCCCAAGACGAAACGGCGTTCCGCCAAGCAGGCCAAGCAGGCAGAAGCAGGCCAAGCAGGCCCGTTCGATTGCGTTGCGAGTGAGTCACACTGCGTTTCTTAACAGCTTCATTCAGCAGAGCAGTGACACATCTCACGGGTACGAAATGAGGACCTCCCCGGTCACCAATCCCCCCTTTCAGTCCCCGTCCCGTCCCCTCCCTTCGTGAGAATCGCTTTTTTGTTTCCCACAAATTCTCGACTTTGAGGGATCATCTCAGCCGCCAAAACACACGGCATTCCGATATCTTTGACAACGAGTGGGTGGTAGGGCTGAGTCCCTCCGTTGTCAAAGTAGACGACATCTGCGATTTGAAAACCGTCGTCATGCAGTACCACAATGGCACAGATGGCGTTCCATCGCATCTAGAGGAGTTCCATAATGGCGTGCACCCGCGCTACGTTGTAAGTAGCCCTTCAAACGCCTCAGACCGGTGCACACGCGCTCATACACCTTCCATAGCACTTTTTCAGATTCGCCTTATCAACGACAAACACACTCGTGCGTCTTCCGCCAGACCACGACCTCGCGAAGCTCTATCCACCCTTTGAGCAGCAGTTTCCGGTTGAACAACAAGACCTCACCGAACTTTGGGCAGGCGCAGGCGTTGCAGGTGTTGGATTTGAGACCGCTGGCTTCAAGAAAACGAGGATACTGGAAAATGATCCATATGCGCTGCAAACAAACATCGGCAATTCGAGCGGCCATGTGGAGATTTTGCATGTGCCAGATGCAGCGACCTTGGAGAAGCCGTATGCGGGATGCGACTTTTCGGCCGTCCTCAAGGGTGTACACATGCAGACTATTGTGCTGCCTTCCCAGGTATGCCCCCTCGGCCGGTTGCGACTTACACTAGGTGACTAATTTTGAATCTATCTTCAGATCGGTGTGGTAACAACAACGTTCCCATGCACCCATAATAGTGGTGCCAACGCGTACAAGGATGGCGAGAAATCCGAAATCGATCGGGCATCCCTGCCTTCGGATATTAGCATGAAGATACTGAACGCATTCCCTGCTCACTACGGTAAGCCCAGATGGTTAGACGGTAAGGCATTCTTGTGCCGTTCGGAAAGGAACCTAAACCACGCAATTTAGGACTTCTGGAAAACTTGCCCGCGTTAGAGACGAATCAACCACGGACTTTCGCCGCCTACCAGGCACTGCTCCTACGCTCGAAGTACCAGCTTCGCAAGTTCCGATGCAACGCCGCAGAGTACGGACTGCCTCAGGACCGACCGCGGGTGTTCTTGGTGTACGCCCCATCATGCTGCACGCTTCCGGTGGAGCCGATTCCGACGCACATCACTGAAACAAGTATCTCGGCGCTCCTGGAACCGCCTACAATTCGGGAAGCTATTGGCGATGTGGCAAACGATGCTGTTGAGGACCTTTACGCTTCGCCACCTCAGATCTCGGAACAGGCCAGAAGACTGATTCCCCATATCAAGCGTCCAGGGAACATCAACGACCTGAGAGGAAGCAGATGGGTACGCTCTACACATAGCCTTCAAATTTGCGATGCATGAATCCTGATGCGTTAGCCCCAATAGGTCAAAAGCGGAGAAAAACTAGATTCATGCAAACGACCTTCATGGAACGTCCCCGGCGAAACCTTTGGAACGGTCATGTGCAGCTCGAAGAAAGGCGACGCGCATCCCATCCACGACCGAAAGCTGAACCTGAGGGAACGGATGCGGCTCCAGGCCTTACCAGACAATTTCATTTTCTACGGCCCGGAACGCGAACAATACCGGCAATTGGGGAACGGAGTCCCGGTTGCCGTTACGTTCGCCATAGCGATGGAGATTCGGAAGGCTATGAGCCAGGATGAGCGGCGTGGGGTCTGTTGGGGTGGGTGACGTGCGGCGTATATCGGGAAGGTAGAAGGCGTAGCTTCCGACGAGAGCACAAGCGGGTTAGCGGTGTAACCTATTCAAAACCTATTGGGGGTGTGCAGTACAGTATTGCTAGAAATCGTAGGTTTTTGGGCACCCCACTCTTGCCACGGTGATGCAGCAACTGGCGGCCTTGGCACCGACTGCATTAATCCAATCGTATTGTCCATAACATCCCCCAATTCACAAATCCCTCAATTTTTTGGCCCTATTTCTTCTTAGGGCTCTTTGCCCCACCTTTCGCTGACTTAGCGCCCGCCTTGCCTTTACCACCTTTACCTTTTTTAGCCGACCCGGACTGCCCAAAGAAAGTAAGATCAACACTACACTCATCTCCGAGAGACATTACACATGAAAAAGGATGTTTTCACACATACCCGCTGTTTAGCCAATTCCCTCCTAACCTTCCATCCCTTAAAGAGCGCCTGAATGCGCGTCGCGGCCATTACGTTGCGGCGAAGGAGGGCTTCGCGTTCCTAAATGAAAATTTCATAGATGTGAGTATCTGAGGGGAGGGGGAGGTGGCAAACGGAGGTTTGGCTTTACTTTGCGTTTTTCATCCTCGACCTTCCGCTCTTCCATAATAGTTTCATACTCCTTTTTCATGTCGGCGTGCCGGGCGGAGAGTTCATCTAGTTGGGCCTTTTCTTCGAGGTAGATTGCCTGGGAATTGCATCATCGGGTGTGAGTGATGTGTGGGCAGTTCGTTTCATTCACATGTGCGACTTGGGTTCACATGAATGATGAACTTGAGGGGTATCATGAATTTTTCGTACCGTGATATCCTCCAACTCAGTCTGCTTCTCATCCATATCCTGGTCATATTTATGGATCCAGTTCTCCACCTCGCTCTCGACTTTGAACTTGCGTTTGCGTAGGTTGGCTTCTTCTTCGTTGTGTTGCTGTGTGAGAGTTGCCAGGTGTTGGCGCAGGGCGGCGGTTTCGGTTTGCAGATGTGATTGCTGTGGGTGGAAAGAAAGGGGTGTGGTGAGAGGGTGTGGTGAGAGGGGTATTAGGGGTGGGGAAGGGAAGGGAGACGAACTTTGTCTTTGAAGGCCTGAACGTCGGCGTCTTCTTTCTGCTTTGAGCGGGATTCAAGCCGTTTGGTTGTGTCTTCTGCTTGTTTTTTGATTGTCCGTAATTCCTCTGCCAAAGGCACATTACTTTAGAAACAGACGCTCATGAAAGAGAGGCTGTGAGGACTGAATCTCAGTTGATGTTACCTTTGAGCCGCCGAATGACCTCGTTCCGCTTATTGACCTCGGCCGTGCGCTCCTTCTTGGCTTTATCAAGCTCTTCGCGGAGGAGTTTCACCTCGTTGCTTGTCTGACAATGAAAGACAGTGTCAGGATTTCCCACTCTCTCTCACTCCATCGTCAAATCCACCCTCCACACGCTCTCCTAGCCCCGACGAAATAACATACCCGCATCTCTTTCCCCAAAATCCCACTCAACCTCTCCCTCTTCTCCGCCTCATCCTCAACCGTCGTCGCGAGCCGCTCATACACCAGATTGCGGACCTCCTGCAGCAGCGACTCGAACTGCGACACGCCTGCTGTTTTTGTGGATTTTAGATACCGCAGTTTGGAGGAGGCCGTCGGGTGTTGGAGGAAGTGCCGGACGAGGGTGCGGGTCACGGAGCGGATGGCGTGGGGGAGGGTGTGTAGGTCCTGTGCGAGGCAAGATGGGGTGGTGTGAGTGGCAGGTGTCGAACAGCTCTTGTTGCCGAATACACATCGATGCCTAAATTGGATTCCTGGATCCTTCGCAGCGGGTGATCTCGTAATGGCTCCGGAGAAACCATGCTCTCCCACTTTGCGATGTCCCTTCCCTTCGCCCCTATGCTCATCAACCATGAATCAGGTGAAAAGCAATACATACCGGATCCTTTGCCCCATGTGCCCCGTTCTGTATCGCCGCGCGCGCCGCAACGAGTTTGGCCGTGTACGCCGCTTCCAGTTGTCTCAGCTCCTGCCAATGGGATTCAGCCCTCCCATTTCTGCATCCCAAACCTTACACCAATACAGGATGTCCCAACTCACAGTCAACCCCCCCACAATCTCCCCCACAAAAACCGTCCCCATCCGTCTATCCATTGCATCCGGCAACAACCCCACCAACTGCACTTTACGCTGCGTTTCGACCACGACGCTCAAAATACGTTGCGCTTCCACATTTGTTAGTTTGGATGAGAGCGTTGTTGTTCTTGTAGAGTTGTTTGTTGGTGGGGTGCTGTGGTTGGAGTTGTCAAGGGCATCGGGGGCGAGGGCGGATGAGGCGGCTGCGAGACGCGGTGTGTGTGGGTGTGGGAAGTGGGAGCCGCTGCCGATGGGAGGGAGGGGGTTTGTGGGCGTGCGGAGGGCGGTTGTCATTGTGGGCGGATGGTATGAGGAGGGTACTGTTGGAATGCTATACTACTAACCAGACTACTAACGGGGCGAAAGAGAGCAAGAATGCAAACTGACAGATTCGCGGGGTTACAGTAGGATGCCAAAACGGACGTTACGAGAACTTACGACGGGCGCGTCGAAATTGACGGTATTTGGGCCACTACCTAGGTTCGTAGTCGCGGCTGGCCGGCCCCCGGTCAACCACGCAATGGCTAGACGGCAGCCGGTGACTTCTGCTGGCCACAAAGATTTATTGACCGCGTCCACATGCCGTCGTAACGTCCGTTTTGGCATCCTAAGCACCACCTTTGGCTCCACAAGGCATGGACGATCCGTAACCGTTGCCATAAAGCTGTGGGCTGCATCATTAGTCTTATCGGAATGTTCAGGAAGTCCGTGTGTGGTAAGTGTTTCCATTCACAGTACAAAACCAACCCCCTCAGGGCCGGAGTCTCAAAGTCCCAACCACCCCTGGCATTCACCCAAGTCCTTCACAGTTCATTAACCCGCAGCTCTGGCCCATTTCGAGCGATGAGCGGGCCAGGAAAAGACCATAGGGCTCGGCGCGTGAAGCGGCTCCAGCCGAACTACTTTCTGTCGTTGCGTTTACAAGGAATGGAGCTGGAGAAGAACTTCTGCTCCTTCTATAAGCGGACGGCCGAACAGTTCGCGGGGCTTCAAAGTTTTCTGATCAACCCTGCTACGGTGAGTAGAAAGGGTAGACACCTTTCAAGGAAGTCTGCCATATCGAGGAGTATCCTGGTTGAACGAGGGACTGCCCACCAGATGCACTTGACCATGTTTGTGATGCATCTGCCAAAAGATCACATTGAAAGCGCCGTCGACCTTCTGAAAGACGCCAGATCTTTGCTCGATGACTCTCTACAAGGCAGAGCACCAACTATTCATCTAGCAGGCGCATCGACATTTGGAAACAGAGGTACTTCGGCAATACTTGACATCATCCACCCTACTGCGATCCCAACGCGCTTCCCCCCTCCAGTCGTCTATGCAACCCCCTCACCCTCGCACGATCTCGAAACTCTTGCCGACCTTCAACGAGCTCTCCAAGATCGGTTCCGGGATGCCGGGATCATCCTGGTCGGTAACAAACCCCAGTGGACGCCACACTGCACCCTCATGAAGATGCGGGGTGGGTCAGGTAATGCGGGCGCCTCCATACCCCCGGAATCTTGGTCTGCGTATAAGGACTTCACGTGGGGAAATGCCTCGATAGCGGGAATCGATCTATGCTCGATGCTGCACCAGAAAGAGGCGGATGGGTATTACAAGCGTGTTGCGCATATTCCGTTTGTTCCCGACTAGTGCGTTCCCAGATCGTCTCAGCATCGAGGGAAATCGCGCGAGCCATGCTACGCAACAGGGGCATCATCCAAGCCAGCAGGATGTTCGCATGCAAATCCCTGTATGAGCGGCGACGACTCTTCCTCCCAATGAATGAGACTGTGAGCGTTGACCATAGTCCACACGTATGGGAGGCAGAAGAAGCTGTCGCGCATGCTCGCTTCGAAATCGAAGCTCAGCGCTGATACGGTCTTGGTAGTGGATATGAAAAGAGGGGTTTTCAGTAAGGTCGTGCCCTCAATAGGTAGACAGCGTAGGCTACTCTATATACCTTCAGTTTACTGGCGCTCCATGTCTTGGCAGCCCGTTCAATGACCTGCGCGATCTCTGCCGTTGTAGGCATCTTAAGATCTGCCTCATGAAGCTTAGTATGGAAGTGCTCAATAACCTGAAGAAAGAGGAGTTCTGATATTAGTACGCTCATAATCGACACCTAGCCATCCTGTTCCCATACAGTACCATATCGATATTTTCCACCAGCTGCTGAAATCGAGGGTACTCTCGGAAAGGCGCGAAGGCTTCCCTCTTCTGCAGTAGTGCGTACACAAGTGCCGGATTGTGCTTGAGCGAGAACGTGATCATTGCATAGATCATTTCCAAGAGAAGCGCCACCAGATCTCCATATACTAAGGTGTCCGGGTCATCGATCGAGATATCCGCCTTCGACAAGGGGTAAAACCGGAGGGAAACTCTCAGCATCTGGTGATCATTCGAGTACATAGTCACAAATTCAAACCTTTTGTGCATTGGTGTCGTTCTCGCTCCCACCTTCCTCCTTCGTCTGGTCGATCAGCTTGAGATACCGCTTTGCCACCATCTCATAGAAACTGCTCAGAATGCGTTTAGGGTCTCGGGACAATTCGTCAACGTGATCTGAATGCGAAACTGACCTGACGATGCGCTGGGCAACAACGGAATGTACCCCCACAGCGACATTCGCAAGGTTTGCCAGGATTGCGGTGCAAAGCGTGTGACAATACACATCCTGAGAGTCAACGCCTTCATGTTAGTGGAGGGATATCGGTCAAAAAAGAGCTACTGAACCCCACCTTGAAGGTCGCCAGATTCGCCTGCACCGTACGGATCAACACCAGGATGGTGAACCCGCCGAGCGAAACGGACCTGATGATCCGTTCTGTGTACCATGGATGCGTATGGATTGTCTGCAGCAACAGCAGGTAATCAGCCATCTGACACGCTTAACATACTCATCGAGAACCACGTACGATCTTTTGAATGCTGTCTATAAAGTCTTGATCCTGCGTCAATAGCAGGAGAATAACGAGTAGAATGTAAAGGTGGATATAGTTGGGCTTGTTTTCGGCGTACTCGTATATCTGTTTCAACAGAGGGACGACCTGCAGGATACATTTCCGTTAGCTTCTTGCGACCCTCACGTTGGTCGCGTTCAACGTACCAAGCTTTCAGGGTCTGAACGCGACATGATGTAGGTACAGAAGCTCCGGTTGTAGATGAGTAGGGTGTACAGGATCATACAGCTTTCCTCGGAACTGATATTGCTATAGGATAGTAGGGATGATGAGCTTCTTGGCTGCAGATGTTAGTCTCATCATTAGCACTTACCTTCCCAGAGTCTGGTATATGTGTCGGAACGACACGTTGATGGTATTCTCATCATCCGTGGTTTTCAAGGCATCGTTCGAGACTGTCCGAAGGAGAATACCTCCCGGTCAGAACGGGCCGCATTATTTCGCTAATTTCAATGACGTACCATTGCTATCCCTTAATCTCTTGATCGCTTCCTTGAACTCATTTGCGAAATGTTTGGGGTCCTGGTTCGTCAAGAGGAGGAACAGCAGCGCGCTCTTGTCCCCCAGTGGCGACGGCTGTATTTCGTCTGACGGTCTCGCGGAAAACAGGTAGGAATATGCGCTGTACAGCATGCCTATGAACGACGTCGATGAGCGACGATGGTCCCTCGCCCTCAACATACATGCAAAAGAACCCACTCCCTGCTGCAACTGGTGGCGGCGGTCGATGAATGAAATTCATGAGAAGACGCTGTATCCCGCCTCCAGCAAAGTGTCTTGGAGATATGAGTAACACATCGGTGGTTCGTACACAAAATCAACGCCTACCTCAACCGATCCATCACAAAATCCAGAAAGTACAACCCGTCGCCTGCGTCGGATTGATCGTTCCTCAGCTGCATGGACGCCATGACGATAAGGAGATTCATAGCTTCTATGTAGAAGTCATGGTTGATTGGCGTGCTAGTGATGGAAAGTCAGAATGTCGAAGGTTCGAAGTGTGGTGAAAAGGACGTTACCTGACTTCTGCGTAGATGATCACTTGAAACAGCTCCTCTAGCAGCTGCTGAGCTCTCAAGCGTTTGTCTATTGTGCGGTGTAGGTGTTAGCAATGAGCGCCCGGTTCCTTGCTGCCGAGCTAGTTACCATTCAGCACATGCGAGTCGATACAGAGAACGTCGCCCTCTGACAGTTGCTTCAAAGTTGTTGTAATGCGATCCGCAGGAATCTGTAAGGGTAACGTGCGATCCACTGTGAAGGTGTGAGCGTACGAATCATTTGTGTCCCAAGAGTCGGATGGAGCACCCACTTTCGAATTGCTGATGTAGCATGATCTGCGACAGGTTGCCGACAAAGTACTTGACGCATAGCCTCACGAGAAACAACGCATTGTACGCCTCGAAAGTCCAGTCTCTGAAGGAGGGCTGGACATCAGCATGCCTGGTCAGCGGGACGCCTTGCTTTTGAAGAATGAATTTACCCTTCATAGGCCATCACTCTCATGTGCCGCATATGACTGAGCAGGTGCAGGAGTAAGACGCTAAAGTTGGTAGTCACAGAGTTCGTCTTGGCTAAATGCTGCATAAGTGACGGTGCATGTTGCTTGGAAGCGGGTGTTTACATACATATGCCTTCGCCCACCAGCAAGTTCAACATCTCCAAATCGAATGCTTCCTGACTGACGTGAAACCGGTGCACGTCAGATCATCGCACACCCTTACGCTTCGCTCCCACTGCACGACAGGACTCTAACCTATTCGCCGGCTGCGGAAGCCGGTCTCCGCTGAGAATGCTCCTCCAGAAAGACTTTCCATCCAAGAGAGACTGTCCAGACGCCATCTTTTGGAATGCGCCATAATGCTTATGCGAGAGGTACCGGTTTTCGGCAGGGGTGCGGACCTGGTATGATGCCCTCCGAGGTGGGGAGATGGGCGTATTCCGCACACCGGCGGTCCTAGCCGACTGCGTCGGAATGTGAGTAGGTACAGATGGCGGCCTCAAGTCCACTTTCAAGTTTCCTCGTCCTGTCGGAGATCGATTGGGTCGAGCAGCTTCGTAGGAAGTCCTTGTTGGTGTTTGGTCGGCACTGACCACTTTTTCCATATTGGCAGTGACCCTAACCGCATCCGCCTGCGCCGAAGGTGCAGGTGATGGCGGTTTGGAGGCCGGGGTCGCCGAACCCCTGCTATGGCCGCTTTCAGATTTCCCGCCCTTCTTCCTTCTTGCACCAGCCCCTGCTGAGAGGTCGGCGAGATCACTCCTCCCATCTTCTTCAACCTTCAACGGCGTTTCTTCGGCTTCACCGCGACCGGCCCTCCCGTTTCCCGCTGAGTCACCCTTCCCACCAATATCCGACAAGTCTAGCATGTGGGACCCGAGCGTGGCCTCCTCGTCGTCCGCCATCTTGGCGCCAGCCTTGAGAACCTACTACGGGTATAAGACGCTAAAGTGCAGCGGTACATTGACACCCCACGAACACCAATGGCAGTGGTGTTGGGGACAGCGGCGTTTTCCAGACCGGCAATGCTGCTCGTCCTTGGTGTACTTGAACGTGGTGCAATAACCCAACCGAGAAACGTGGCGAAAGGGAACGCGGCGGGGATGACTTCACGCTTCTTCACGCGTAGAACGGAGTAGAACGGGTGTCGGGGAGTGGCGAGGAGTCGGGGGACAGTACAGTAGATGCAATCGTTTGCCAGCGGCAATCCGGCGTCATACCCGTTTTCGGATAGATAAAGGAGAGCGAGTACGTCCAACGTCACCTGTTACATTACTTTTCGGCATTTTGGAGTTGCGAGAAACGTGGCTTTCATAATGGCGGCTCTCCGCTGTCAACTCCGCAAAGGACTGCCGGGATGCGGCCTCTTCCCAAGCTTTAAGTTCGGAAAGTTTAGGCAGCCGAACCACGTCGCTTCCAAAGCAGCGTCTACCTGCGCCCGCGCAGCTTCCCCATCTCAAAGTAGCAGTCGGTCATTTAGCTCTACGCCCCGGCCAACTCAAGCCCAGAGGCGAACGCAAATACGCATAGTGCCGAAAGACCCATTACCACCTCCGCAGCGCTTTCCTGGTTTTGGGAACGACAGACAAAATGGAGGATATCAATATTTTGAAAATCGTAAGCCTCTCCCTGCCCAGAGCCCTCGGGAAAGAGGCCTAGATCCAATGATTCGATCAGGATATTGAGCCTTTCCTTACAGGTCGAGGGCAGAAGCTGTATACCAATCCAAGATTCTGGAAATTCACGGGAGTAGCTGGGGCGCTGGGTGGTGTCTATTATGTGATGTGAGTCTGTAGTTTTGCTATAACGCCATGCCACAGTTGAGCAAGTGTCATAATGCCTACACAATCATCAGGCACCTCGAACCTGTGCCCGTCTCGAATCGGAAGCGGTTCATGAACGTCAGTCCCGAAACGGAAATGCTCATGGCAAAGCAGGTAATGCATAGTCGTATCCTTTGCCCATCAGATTTGACATGTCGGTTAACAAATGGGCTTGTCACTCTCCATGAAATCCCCAGGCGTATGAACAAGTGTTGCAACAGTTCCGGCACCGAATACTGCCTCCAAACCACCCTTACTCGATATTTGTGCGGAAGGTCGCACGAAATCTTATCAAAGGTGCCGCTTGGCATGGCTGGGAACACGTTTCCAAAGCGTACAAATGCTGATACTTCGAATCACAGTCTCCGGGCTCGAGGACCTCAAATGGGAAGTCCACGTCGTTGACGATCCGCAGAAGAACGCCTTTGTACTTCCTGGTAAGGAGATGCATATAAGGGCAATGTTCATTGTAATGGTTTCATTTCATAGCTTATTGACCATATGGCCCTGTCAACCAGGAGGCAAGATCTTCGTGTTTACGGGTTTGCTTCCGATTGTCGAAGACGAAGCGGGAATGGCAGCCGTCTTAGGGCATGAGGTGAATATCAGTGTCTGTTCTCCCTCGCGCCGCGACGTTCTCGCTCAACCCTCCACCAACTTCGACCGCTCCATCCAGATAGCCCACCAAGTAGCCCGTCACAGCGCTGAAAAATTGTCCTACATGACCATCACCACCATCCTCCAACTCCTCCTCGCCGCCCTGTTCGATCCCAACATGGTGTTAACCCGCATCTTTGTCGAGTTTGGGATCAACATGCCTTTCTCGCGGAAGATGGAGTCCGAGGCGGATTACATTGGGTTGCGCTTGATGGCGCAGGCGTGCTATGATCCTAACGCTGCTGTTAGGATGTGGCAGGTTGGTTATGCCGCATCACCATATCTTGCGCGGAGTAAGGGCCGAATTGATCTGATGCATGAGATGTGTTCACGTTCGTAGAGAATGAAGGAAGTAGTCAACCATAGTGAGGTGATGGCGTACCTGGGAACGCATCCAAGCCCAGGTAAGGCCACCTGTTTGTCGTCTTCTCCCTCGGTACTGATCTGATCGCCACCAACCAGGCAAGCGGATTGAAAACATAAAGGAGTGGCTGCCTGAGGCCCAGCTCATCCGCGAAAACTCCGACTGCTACCAGGTGACGTCGTCTTGATTCGGCTGTTGGTGCGTTTCTTGGCCACTCATAGCGCATCTTCCTATTTCCGGCTTGAGCAGATGGCACCCGTCGCATCGCGCTTCCGCCATTTCGATAGACCGATCTGGTGATCCGCGCCGCAGGGTCGAAGGCCTCATATGGCGTATGTTACATAGGGTTTTGTCCCGAGTCTGCGTGTTCCGTAGTTGAGGGTCGTTGCTGTCTAGCAGACGCCTTCGCCGTCCCTTCACGGCAGCTGTCACATTCCCCATGTTTCTACAATACTGTAGGCGTAGGCAGAATTTGCACAGTTCACAGTTTCATACATCAAAAAAGTATACAAGCAATACCAGTTCATATAGATATGTTCAAAGCATCCAAACATCGAACTTTCCCCACAACGTTATCGATCGTATTGTGAAACAACAAGGTCGATGAGACACTAAGGGAAGGCTCCGACCATCCTGAAACCCGTCCAAGGCAAGGCAGTCGTCCCCGCCATGACCAACAATCCCAGAAACTACCATCAGACGGAGGGGGTAGGTGGGGTATCTAAGATGATGGACGGGGTTGCGCAAAACCATCCAAAGTCGTGATCGTGGGGAGTAATCGCGGGGGCCCACGCCAGTAGCGACAAGTCTTGAACTTGGAGAGAGGGAGCAGCCAGCAGTGGCAGCCCCCGGGCCGATTTTGGGTGTTGCGCAGCCCACTCTCACCATATAGATCCGACGCTCACTTCTTTGCTTTGTCCGAGGGACCGGGCAAAGGCTTTGCTGGAAGCGCGTGTGCCTTCTTTGGCGTTTTCGGTGTTGACGGAAGCGCAGCTAGCCGCTCGGCCCTGTCTGCCTTTTTCTGCGCCTTCGTCTTCTTCTTGTTGTTCGTCGCCGCGGGTTGGACAGGCGCGTTTTTGAATTTCGTCTTCACGGTCAGATCTTTCTTCGTCAGAGGCATCGTTTTCTGCTTCTTTGCGGCGGGCGTGTGGTAGATCGCGGGAGGGGGCGCCCCTTTCCCTTGGATGAAGGGGTGGTACCCCGGGTGGTCGGGGTGTGTAGGTGGCCCGTGCAAGAGTACCGTACGCTGGTGGTCCGTAACGATTGAGTTGCCGAATTCTTGCAGTAACTGTCTTTGATACTTATTCGGTATTGGGGGACGGTACCCCGGGTAGCCGGGGGGTGGTAGACTGTCCCCGTCCCGAAGTTGGCGGCGCAGCACGGACGGCCTATTTTCAAGGACGTTCCGATCAACGGTCAGGATGTGAGCCAGCAGAGATTTATTGGACGGGCTGCGCTCGGGTGTGAGTCGGGGTGCCGGCGCTTTCCCGCCCACAGCAGAGACACGTGCACCCGAAGGTCCCGTGCTTTCTGTGGCGGTCTCCCCAGCATGCAGACGTTGAGCTGCAAGCAGCTGATCGTAAGCAGCGGCTAGGTGCTCCGTTACCACGCCGATCTTGGCTAAGCTAGCTGTGACGTTCGAGTGCTCATTTTGAGGATCTCGGATGTAGAGCTTCTCAGACGGTCGTCCTTGCTCAAACCCAAGCCCTTCTCTTTTCGAGAAGATCCAGGACCCTCCAGAGTCACCCGGCGCCAGTCCAAGCTTCAAATAATCAAAGCTGAACCCAAACAGCAGCAGAAAATCGGTCAACAGAATACCCAATGCTTCATCCGGAGGAAGAATCATAAAAGTGTCCGTTGTGTGGTCAGCGCTCGCTTCGCCTTTGTTTCGCCCGTCGGTGAGCAGCGGTCCGTCAGGATCGTGGTCAACGCTCCCTTCGTCTTTGCCAGTGACGTTCGCTGCATCCTGACGGACCGCTTTGTACCGACTTGCAAAGACATCAGGGTGAATGCGCAAGAAGCCGGCAACCCAACATGTCAGACCATACCCCCCGACGGATCCGTTTGCACCCACGTCCAGACCTCTGCAATGCAAGAACTGCTTTAGCACCATGACTAATGGTCGAAGCGCTGGCAACTCGGTCATCAATCCTTGAATCACTGGTACCGTCGCGATGCCGTTGGCCTGATTGAAGCTGATGTCCAATTTAAAGCCCTGTTTAGAGCCAAAATTCGAAAGTACACATCAGACAGGCCTCAAAGATGAGTTCCAGTGTAACAGGCATGTCATACTTACCGTAAGATAGTCCCTGCAATTGAAAATGGGAACTTTGGCCTTCAAGATGGGGCAGAATCCGGAGCACTGCTCCGCAATCTTGTTTCTGTATTTTTTCAACTCAGTGGCGGGCGCCCGAGGTTGAGAAACGGTCGATTTGCTTTGGTCAAGAATCACGAGATCGATGTCGCTATGAGCCAAGACTAGGCCAGTGGCGAAACTGCCAAAAACCCCCAAAGTGGCCTTCGGCGTGACCTTCTGGATCGCGGATTGGAATCGCTCGACGACTTTCGCGCGTGACGCGAGCTCCTCCTTTGTGGCCTCCATGAACTCGACAAAATCGAGAATCTCGCTGTGCAACCGCCGTTCCAGATTCCCGCTGTATATCTGACCCGGTTTGATCCAATGCACGGGTAGATGATGTTGATGATGGCGAATATCAACCGCGCGCATAGCTGGGGTCTTCGAAGCGAAGACGAAGTTGGAGGGTTGATCCGCTCCCGGTGGCCCACTACCCCCAACATCCGTTTCCCGCTTTCGCTTTTTGGTTGGAATTGCATCGACGTCTATGACCTCCCCGTCCTCCAGCTGAGAGGGAACTGGGGCACAGTCCATAAAACCTCGAAAGTTGTAAGCTTGAACTTCGTCACCCGTCCCATTTTGAGACCGCAGTTGTGTCGAATTCGAAATCGAAGGTTGTTGGGGTTGTTTGCGCGACATATTCGTTTACTTCGAGAGGCAGAATCTGAAACCTTTGTACACGACGATCGAAGCTCGGATATCAAGGGACCTTCGCCGGATTTGCGTACGGCAGAGGCTACGTCGCAAATAGACAACGTTCACAGGTCTTGCACTTCTCAACTCGAGGGAAATCGTTGGCGATTCGGGGTTTCCCGAAAGAGTTGAACGTGCGCAGAACGTGCGCAGAAAGGGAGTTCGATTTTAATACCAGAGCACGTGACTGGAGCTCCCGGTTGCTCGAAATGTTCTGGGGAGTTGCAATGGGAGGACATCACCTGCAAGAAACCTTCGCAGAGGATACGAATCTTCGGTCGCCGTCAGTAACACTCAAGCGTCGTTTGTTCAGCATGTCCCTCTGTCGCTTCCGGCCGGTGGCAGCGCAAGTTGTGTGCCACGCACATTCGGTTCGCACGTTCAGTGCGTCTGTTGCTCCAAGAAGCATAAGTGCTTGGAAGAAGGTAGATAACCCAGTCCATTGCAGTGTCATTCTGACTTACTCTTCACCAAACATATGCTCGATTTGGTTATCAGGGTGGAGGAAAGGGGAATTCGAGCGCTGGGGAGGCCTTTGCACCGACGATACGCGCGCGAAAATCAGTGAAGTGGCAGAACGAGGAGATCACCCTAGGAGACTGGAAGCCTGTTAGTGTTGTCGTGAGGGCCGGGTTACGTCTGTAAAAGCGGGAGGAGATCTAACTGGCGGTCGTCTTGCAGAGCAAAGCCGAAACGATAAATATTGGAGAGATCCTGCGGTTGCCTGAAAAGGTTCGACAAGGCGCGACAAACGCACCAGGCGGTCTGTATCCACCTGTCCTTGCACGAGAGGTGAGTTAGTTGATGATAAAGCCAGGCCGACCTCGGTCCTCTTTTTGCTTGAATGCTGACTTGCTGTGCTCAATAGGGCTTATCCGCGTTCATGTTACGGAAACACACCTTGGACGTTCTGTCCACGATCGAAGCAGAGAGTGCAAAAACCGAAAGCGAAAATGTTTATGTGTTGGGTGAGAGTTCGCGCGGTTCGTTTGAGCGGGGCATCAGTTTTGAGATGTTAAACAATCTCGATGTCGACTTGGAACAGATGGGCCTCGTGGGTCAGGGAAAACCGTCACCCTACTGCAAGCAGTGAGCCACTTCGTGCAGGCAGGGTGGATCCTTATTTATGTGCCGCAGCGTACGTTTGGCATCTCTGGTGCAAATTTTCTGACACACATGCTCAAACGCCTTCCATTCCAGCAATACATTGGGTCAACGGGACACAGCCATTTGACCCCCTTCCCACCGAAGACAATGCCCGCCCACAATTCGCACAACCAACGGTCGCTTCGCAATTTCTGGAACAGTTTTTGAAGATCAATAACGAAGCCGCGTTACGGTCGATAGCAGTCGAGGGCGAAGGGGAACAGACGGTGTTGAGCGTTGCGCAGGAGGGCATTGCACGGCCGGCAACTGCACAAGCAGCACTGGGAACTCTTCTGGAGGCTCTTGCCAATGATACCAAGCGGTAAGCTTCACGCCCATGCCGAATCAACGGGCTGTGATACGGGCGCTAACGCCACTTCCAGATCACCAGTACTGATTGCCATTGACCAAGCGAACGCCCTTTACGCAAAGACGGCCTACCACGACGTGGAGAGCCGAGCTGTGACTGGAGACCAACTGGCCACCATCAAGAGCCTCATTTCCCTCTTGAGTCAGGAAAAGCGCTTGGTTAGTCTGCCTACAGGTTCAGAAATCGTCGGACTTCTTACTGATTCGTCCTGCTTTTCCAAATATAGAAAAAGGGAGCCATCGTATGCGCGATAGACCGCAGCAACACGCAATTCCCTTCTCCATTGCTCGAATCCCTCATCGCATCCGCCCCGTCCGTCTCCACACCAGCAGTAGCGTCCCTCAAATCCCCAGAAGGCAGGCGAGCGGCTGATTTCTCGCACGTCGATCAATATGGCGTTTTGCTCTCGCCAAAGGCATCGCCAGCTAGCTATGATCCTCTCACAACGGCGGATAGCATCCATCCGCGAAACTTGAAGAGGATCGACGTCCCGATCTACAATAAGTTTGAGTTGGCGAGCGTACTGGATTATTACCACACTTGCAAACAGCTAGCGGGTGTCGGTGAGTAGTTCGCCTGACTGCAGGATGAAGGGAAAGGCAGTATCTGATCATTTCCCTTCCCTTCGCACAGATTCTATATCACGCGAGTACGTAGAGAAGGAATGGACAGCGACCGGGGGAAACGCTTTGAAGGTGTACAAGAGATGCTTGTCATTGTGAGATAAATGTACCAGAAACACCCTCCATGCGTCACCGACTTTAGATAGATATGAGCCCCGCTCTCTTAAGAGACACAATGCATAGATAGATATGATGCCCGCTCTCTTAAGAGACACAATGCACTCGCTGCACACAACGTCGTGACTTGGGCGTCATCGGTATTGATGTTTATTTTACGTAGGAACAGTCATAGACGGTTGTGCACAGGTGAGCCATGTAGTCAATATCATGGTTCGCGAGGTCTGCTGCCAAGGACATTGTTTCTGAGCGAGGTGTCGATCTGGTAAAAACCGAGTTATGCGATCAAATCCATCGAGAGAAAGAGAGGGTCGCACCGCAACCAGACAGGGAAGGTGGAATTTGCAAAGGTATTCAATTACAGAACTGGATTTTCGGAAGAAACTAGAACCAATTTCCAATATCCAAACTGCTTCCTTGTTTTCCCAACGCCTTCCCTCTGCTCCATACATAACTCTATGAGAGACCTCCCCCATAAATCCAAGCCTCACAAATCAAACGCAATGTTGATCTTCCTCAACGACGGACTCCCAGACTTCCTCCAATAAAGCGACGCCGAGTTGCTAACCGCCACCCCGCGCTCTCTCACAACCTCCGCCCACCCCCGCAGCGCGGCCGCATAGCAGCTCGCGCGCGGCCACACGGTGGCGATATCGTCCAGGGCTGGGAGGAGGATCTGTTCCAAGGTCGGCGGAGGTGGCTGGGAGGGAGATTGGGACGCGGTGTTGGATACCGGCGGGGATTTTTTGGCGGCGGTTGAAGAAAGAAGCGCGCCGTGGCGGGAGCTGAGGACCGGGATGGCGGGTACGGCGAGGAGGACGGCTGTGAAGGGCAGGGCGACGATCTGCGGAGGGGGCGGGATGGGTGGCGTTGACGCGGAGGGTGCGGTCGGGGTTGTGGGCGCTGGTGAGGTGGCCCCGGTGGAGCGTCGGCGGTCGGCGTAGATGGATTCGACGATTTGGTTAATGCGTGCGTAGACGGCGAGGCAGATGTCGAGGCTTGTCATCGTGGTGATCCGTGGGTCGGTTGGGATCTCGCCACGGTCTAGTGGACCCATGATATCGTGCACGACGCGCCCATCGGCGATGTGCGGGTGGTGGACGAGGGAGAGCGAAGCGAGGAAAAGCAGTAAGGTATGTACAGAGACGGGCGATGAGAGCCGGCCTGGCTCGATGACCGGCGGTGAACCCGCGAGGTAGACGTAAGGTCGGATGTCGGCAGGCAGTGAGTTGGCTAGCTGCATTAGCTTCAAATGGAGGGGCGAGACTTGTTCGCTGGCGGACTGTGGTGGCCGGGTCATGATGCGGAGCATCTTGCGCAGGAATATCGAGAGTCGGATGTGTGGTTGGACGCTCATCTGAGACATGGCGAACGATGCGTTAGCTTGCTGTGTAGATTTTTGAATCTCACTGTCCGCCGGAGATGTCGGGCTGCTAGAGGCTGTTCCGCTTGAATGATCGAAAATGGTGTCCGTGGGCGTACCGAGGATCGCCAACCTCCAATCTTCGAATCCCGGATTCTCAGGTGTTGGGTAGGGTTCTACTTGATTATCCGCCCCTCTGCCAGGTGTCGTAACACAGTAACGGCTCTCCAGAATCCCCTTCTCAGCGGCCAAAGGGTGCGGAACACTGCGACACAAACTGTGAGGATCAAGCAACGACTCCATGTATCGCCCTTCGTCAATCTGGAAGTCATACCCGGTACACAGCGAAGTGTACGTGTCGAGAAAGAACAGTCCCCACCAAACGCGTTTCCGCTCTTCCCGGCTGGCAACCATCCCATCCGTCTGCGCTGGCCGTCCATTGAGCACGTGATAGAGCGTCCCACACGGCTGTTCAACAGCGATTTGCTGTTTCTGCGCGATTCGCCATGTCCCAGGGAAAAGCTCCATCTCGCCTCCAGTGTTGACGGTGCAGCCAAAGGTGCATAGATCAATAAGGCAGCGCGCGACTACATCGCTTCCTTTGTGCAACGCGTCTCGGGCCCGACGGATGAATCGTTCCCCGGCCTTGATCCGACCACCAAGAACCTGCAGACATGGATGAGCCGAGAACAGAATGCCAATAGCGTAAACCGCGTTCAGCAGTGCTTCCGAAACCGCCCCATGTCCTTCTGGCGGATGGTTGGTCCCGAGATTCGAGTCGTCACCGTCAAAGGAGCCGACGTACCCACGCCAGCCGTCCTCCTCCTGGGTATCCACCATCGAGGCCTCGTCCGATGGCGTGCCCTGTTGGCTGCGCTCCCCAGCATCCGATAGGGGCGGCGGCTTTGGCTTTGCCACAAGCGAGGCGAAGAAGGCCGCTTCGTGTATGATCGGAAACGTCGGGTGGAAGTAGGTGAAATACAGGTTGAGAATGTGCAGATGGAAACCGTCGGGGAGGTCTCCGCGAATTGATTGCGGGAAACGTAGCTCCGGCGATATTAGCGAAGGCAGTCTCCAGGTAGAGTCGGAATTTGGCGTAGCTTGTTGTTCGGGTGCAACGGGTTGCGTGACTGGAGCCAACTTCCTCGCCTTTCGGTGCCTTGTCGTGTGAGACAAACCGCGGGGCCGGCGGTCGCCTTGCGGCGTACTACCATCGGGAGTCAAGATGGCGTCGGGAGCTTGAGCGGCCATGGAGCCGGATGGCATCGAGTAGGGACGGTATGGCCCCGCTTTAGGCCCTGCAGACTGTTTATCGGGGTAATACATCGGAGTAATGTTCCACTCCTGTTGCTCCAAAGTCTGCTGTTGCATAGCCCGCTGTTGCATAGCCCGCTGTTGCATAGCTTCATGTTGCATGGCTTGCTGGTGCATCATTTGCTGCGCCGACGCATACGAAGACTCCCAGCTCTGATTGTGTCTATCGGGTCCAGATTGCCCATAGGAGTTGGCCATGCCGTGCGCCGTCGGCTGTGTCCCGTCAGGGCTCATCTGTTGCATGACACCCATCTGCTGATAGAAACTGGCCCGACGGTTGGCATCTTGCAGTTGGTCATTCCCCATGTAGCGCTGTCCGCCGCTCAATGATGAGATCATCCGAGCGTTGGCTCTCTCCAATTCCATCATAGATCGTGACAAGTCAGCGGCGGCGACGCTGTTGTCGGAAACCTGTTGGCTTGAAGACATGCCGTTGTTCATCAGGATATCCATCTGGTGATTCGAGGCGATCGTGTCCCGTATGAAGGCATCTCCCGGAGTATCGCCAAACGAATTGCTGTAGTACATGGTCGAGGGAGATTCCACGTGAACGTGGGCTTCGTTCGAGCGACCCTCATGATACGCTTGCATGTTGTGTTTGAACTGGTCGTTGTCGATATCGCTCTCATCGCACGCTCCCTCATATATCTCGTCGCCGCTGAGATTTCCCGTCTGATATTGTCCACTGAACTGGTTCGACGGCCCGATATCGAGCACTTCGAGTTCACTTGATGTAGAGCTGCGTTTCGGGCCCCTCTTTTTCTGTTCGATGAACATCGTGCAAGTTGTGCCCGCTTTCGCGCAGTTACTGCACGGATCTTCCCCGTCGCAGCGTCGCTTCTTGGCCTTACAGCGATCACAAGACTGGGTAAGGCGTTTTCGAGGCTGCCGATGTGAAGTCAGCGTCGCGAGATAAAAAAAACGCGAGCAAGATGTGGGAACACTTACTTTCCCCTCAAGTGGGGTAAACTCGTCCTGAATCTCCTCCGGAGTGTATTCGTGCTGCATGGATTCGCAACAGCACACACAATATACCAAGCTTGACGCACGAAGTGGATCAAGGTTGCAAGCCGAGATAGTTCGATAGGGTCCGCAGTCGAGAACGAGACCGTTTCCAAATGCCGGAGACGTTGCAGCTTTTTAGGGCAGAGTGTAAGAAGTATGATACGAAGCCTATTACGCAACTGCTCCTCGTAAGAAAGCAGTTCAAGGTACAGGAAGGAATGGCACCGCGATTGCCAAAGAAAAACGTAGACAGGCAAGCTAACCTCGTTCGAATGTCACACCCTCGACATTGGAGGGGCCAGATATAAGAACAAGGGAAAGTTGATGACCTCGATGAGTGCACAACGACCAGCGGCTGGCTTTCCACCACACCCCGACTCAAAGGCCCCGACGGTGTTTTTGTGTTGACGCAGGTTGAGGATGTCGGCGGAGGATGGCCTGCTGCGAGCTCGAGAGCGACGAAAGCGATCGTAATTTTGTTCGCGATGATCGGCCGATTTTCAATTGACTGGTCACTGTACCGAGAACCGTGCCTAAGATGCCAGATGTGAGAGATCGGCGCGTGAGGATCATGACCTCATATGGCCTTCAAAAGGGTGGGAGGCAGGCATACTGTACTGTACATCTGGTCGAGACCGGTCGATGTGATGCCCTCAGATACCCTCTCAACCCCACTCACGAAGCAGGAGTCAGGAACAGGAGGTTCCATCCAGTGACGGCCGGGCTGAGCGAGGGCTTACCTTTGGTGTCGACTTCAATGGGGAAATGGTTTGTAGGCGAATCGAAGCCTCTGAAATGCAGTCAATGCGAACGTAAGAATGAAAGAGACGTTTGGCTGGCGATGATTTGAATGCACGGGCGGAAGCGGATGTCCAAAGCCACTATATACTGCAGACGTAGTCACGTTAAAAAAATACGTTCTCGATGTGCGCCGTAATATGCAGAATCTCGGAGCTCCAAACTCTTTGAAATTCTTGGCATTTGTCGATTTGTAAATCGAAAGGACATCTGGATACATATATATAAGGAGGCAATGCACGTCTGCCACCCCCGCTGTTTCTAGAAAGTATCTCCCGTCCGAATTATCTGGAAAGCGCGGAGGGAGGCTGGGAGACGGTTTATTGGTCATGTCGAGGAATAAAAAAGATATCCGTGAGGAATTAGCCGAGGACCCAGCACGGGCCGTGGGTTTGCCCCGCTCTTCCGCCTTCCAAGGGGTCAGACTTAGAGCCAGAAGTTCAGCTGCGTTACCTCCCCGGTGCAGGTGGGGCTGTGCCTGGATGCATGTCATTGTGTCAACGTGCTGTCCTCGAGAATCGGGATCGGGAAAGGACGACGAAAGATCGGCAAGCGCTACCGAGAACCGGAGCTCACAGGGCTCCGGTGATTTTGATTTACCGAGGGTTCGGTCCGTGGTGAAAATGGACTCTTTTTGGGAATGGATACATTTCCTCGGCGTTGTTTTTTCCTGTTCTGCACCCAAGACCGCCGAATTGCATATAAGCACATGTACATGTTTGTTTGCCAACCCCAACGTATTCTAGCTGAGGGACTTCGAGCTCAGTGATGTTTGCTTTTGTAACAGCGATTCGAGCGGTAGCGAACAATCATATGCCCTTAACAGGCGGGCTACATACTGTATATATTGAGCTTGCACTTCACCCGGGAAACCGAAGCTCCCACATCACCGATGCCGCATACCGTACATACATACATGCACGTAGATCAGGATTAGATGTTGCGGTAAACTGATATGCAGGCAGGGAGAGCTGGAAGCTGCTGTCATCTTCGACGCGTTAGTCCGAAAACATGCTGCTCGATTTCGGACATGCACAGAGATGCACCGCTTGCACATGCACAGTGTAATCCAAACGGCAAACAGCCATGCTCAAATGAGTACTGGGCCCAGAGCTCAATACTATCAAGCGACGGACAGCTTCAAGCTCGGCTATCACACGCGTATGCCTTGGAAAGGCAAATCGTCTTCGGATTGGTGGTGGTCCAAAGGCAAAGGCAAAGGGAAAGGCAAGGGCAAGGGCAAAAAGGCCCGCAAAGATGAAGAGCCAGAATGGCCGTCGTCAACCTTCCTTCTCACAACGGAGGAAACTGACCAACGCACGCACTTGGATGACACCGTCGTCCGCTCAAAGCCATACGAACGCCTGCTAGACATCAGCGAGTTCTGGACGGCCGATGTTGAGAGCAACAATGCGAACGGCGGCAACACTTCCGGGAACGACGAAAGTGGTGGCAAGGGTTCGTCGCCCGCCCGGCAACGCCCACCCACCCTCATGCAGCTATGCGCAGTCGTAGCCGCCCGCAATCACCACCTCCTCGCCGGCGTCGGACGTGTTCCCTACACCGGCGGGAAGCTGATACTCAACGAGCTCTACCTCCACAACGCCAAGCTTACACCCATACTTCTCAATGCAATTTTAGGCGCATATCCCGAGGTGCGCGAGAAGAATGCAAGGCTCGTGCTGCGAGGGACGTTTGATCGCGATGGAAGGGGCGGGGCTTATGATCCGATTTTGAGGCGGATTGCTGCGACGGATGGGTTCGTTGATGAGGACGATGAGGATGGTGACGTACCCGGCACCGGCATCCCCGCCAGCATGAATGTGGGCATTGTGGGCCGGTACGTCACGCATTTGGATGTCAGCAACACGAATTTTCGGGATGATATGGCGTGGTGCTTGAGTGGACTGGCTGCGCTGAAGGTGCTGGATTTGTCCGGCACGGATATCGGAGATGAGGGGATCCGAAGGATGCTGAGGCCTGCCTTGTATGCTGGCACCCGAACTGCGGAGCAAGCGAATGTGCCCGTTCTGGATCTGGATGCCGGTTTGCATATTGAGTTTGAAGAGGCGTCAGCGGCATCATCGCAGGAGCAAGGGGTCCTGACCGTTGTGCTGAGCAGTCTGTCACACCTGAACCTATCGAAAACACTTGTCACCGAATCATGCGTCGGCTATCTTATCCGTCTACCGACCCTGCTGGCAGTGGACTTGACGGGAACGAAACAGTCATGCATCCGTGCGTTTCGCGAGAGGGCCGGTCTGGCAATGGAAGGCACTGCCTCCGGGCATCAAACAGACTGGTACACGCTCCCCCGAGGTATACCACTTTTTCCGACCCGGCGCACGAATGGCAACGCAGCGGCTCCAACATGCGCCATCACTGCCGACCAAATAATCCGAGTCGCGGGACTCACAACGCCTGCCCTGCCCTCGGAACGCATCCGAGAAATCCTAACAGCAGCGCATCCCCTACCACCAGTCCAAATCACAAAGGAAACAACCGCAGCCGACCCTCAAAACCACCACCGCACAGAACTCTGGCACTACCTCCGCAACGCCCGTCTCACATCCAACGACACGCGTGAGACCACAATCACTTTCCAGCCACCCCACCCATCCGCAACCTCCACGGCAGCAAAACAACCCCGTGTTCGAACTGTTTTTGGGTATCATGAAACGGACCGCGTCGTGCCGTCGCTGGCTAGACAGGTCATGGATGATGGGCTGGTACGCCCGGCAGTTGTGGAGGACGAGGGTTGGAGATTTGTTAAACTTGCACGCGACACGGGTGGGCAACGTGAGAGAGAGGATTACGCCGTGCGACCGAAAGCGAAGCTGGCGACGTTGAAAAGAAGGGAGACTACAGGCACGGTAGATGTGCTTCCCGCTATGAAACGCCCGAGGATGTGGTTGGAAACTACCATGTTCGTGCAAGATATTGCAGCGGCCGAGATTTCGACATCAGGATCGAGTCTCGTTTTTCCTGGTGCCCGTGACCCTCTTGAACGAACGCCGCCCGACGACATGTCGTCCCAGCAAACCCTCGTCTCGGCGCACATCCCGCATACCTCCTCACCGCCGCTTCAGCCCTCGGTTACCGCGGAACCCAAATCATCAATAGCCGCCATTTTCCGCGCTCGAAACGCATCCAGCACCATTGCGACAGCACCCACACCACCTTCCACCGCCGCAACGCCGTCCAAATCCAACCCATCGTGTGCCCCAACGACACCCTCAACTCAACAACGCAGGAGCTTCTTCTCCCGCTCGTCGGCAGCACCGCATACGTTCGCGCAGAAACAGACGCAGCGCACATCGCACTCCCAATCGCCAATCGGCGAAACACCGCCTGCCGTACGCCCGCCGGTTATGCAAATGCCGCATGTCTCACATGTCGCGCCGCCTGCGCATATCGCGCCCGCTGCTGAAGCTATGGCGGTTCCTGCAGCTACGCCGCAGGCGAATAAGACACGTGTGCCGAGAGGTATCCTGAGGCTGAGGCAGCAGCAGAAGTGAGTGCGACTTGCAAGCCAATGAGGGCAGTTCCAAATAGATTGCTTGGAGAATACCGCCAGGACATCATAGGTGAACCTCACCTCTTGCCCTCTGCCGGCCGGCTCTCCCTGCATGGATGTGCAGAGCGAGGAGGATGTATATTAGTCGTGCTTTTGGCTACCGTCCTTGGCGTATTCATGTTTAGCTTCCTGAGGGGATCGGGAATCACGAATGGCCTATTTGCGACCACTCGGAGTCGGTCGCCTTGATCCTGTTTTGGACGGGGATGAATACATTTGCATTTGTATTGGCGGGCTACAGCGGTTTTCGTTGCATCCTCCGAGTGCAATGTTTCTGTCCTCCTTTACAAGCGCTTTTGCCCCAGCGGACTGCCAGCGTAGGAGATAGCCCTGACCCAGATGGCTACCTAAATTTTGCAAAGTACTTCCTAAAGGCAATGGAGATCATAAAGTTTGCGATTATGTACAAACACCAAAATGCTACGCAGCTACATACATCCAGTAATATGCCCACGGGGCCGACGACGCCGAAATCGGAGCGCTAAGCGCAATCTATCAGGGGCCATCCCGTCGTACGTTCTTCGCTGGGCCCCTGTGACGCCGAGGTTTTCATCAGAGAGAGGGCGAAGCTGTGCAGGAGATCCAATCAATCAGACTTGGATTGGAGCTCCGTTCCAGCGTGCTGCAATACGCGGATAAGCCCATGCGTATTACGACGGTGTTCACGCCGCCAAGCTCGAGGTTTGGCTGGACTCTCCGATACCGAAAGTTGTCCATCCAGGTGTGCCTCCCACTCGAGGTGTCGAGTGACTCACCCCCAGATATCATGTACCTCCCCAAAGACCCCATTCATTCCCCATCCCTCCCTAGGCCAACTCGGCCATCTCCGACCGAATCTCATCCCACGCATCATTGATCTGCTCCCCAATCTCGCCCAGCTCCGCTATCAACTCGGCGACCTCCTCCGCGTAATCCTGCACACCGAGATCCGTTTCCGATTTACGGATTTGGTACATCGCCGTCTATCGACGTAAAGAATCCACCATCAACATGTTTATCCCTATATAATGCCAGTTGTGGAGTGGGAGGACAGCGTACCTTCTCGAGTTTTGCCCGTTCCCAACTCTGCAAGTTGAGAACCAGCTTAGCGAGATCATCACGGCCGAGGTCGCGTAATGCAGACTCTTGAGCTTTGATCTTTTGGGAGAGGGATGAGAATGAGGCGGTAATGGTTTGAGCAAGAGTTTGGTACTCTTCGGATGTGCTTTGGCGGGTTACGTATTGTTGGAAGCCTCTACGGAAATTTCGCGGCATCGTCAGAAAGGGCATGCTCATCGCTGGAGAAAGAACAAACGGCAACTGACGCAAAACGATACCTTTCAAACTCCTTGTAAGTCTGGACCCGTTTCGATTGCAGGAGGTTGCATTCGTGTAAGCAGTCGAACGGCGTTCGGGGTGAGCTTGTGACGGGCATCTTCTCGTCTCCAAGACTGCTGGTAGCGGTCTCAGTGCGGTGTTGCAGTTCCTGTCCCGCGAGCATGTTGCCAGACGTCAGAGACCGATTGGGGCTTTGATTGTTGAAGTGTTGTAAGGATGGACAAGTGAGGAAGCGAGCGAGATTGCACGCTGTTGACAGGGTTGAATGACCCATTGACAGCGTCCAACTTGCTGTCAACAAACTTGGACTCGGAGGTTGACGTCCCCACTCCCACAAAGGGACGGCATCGCAAGCGATGCCACCAACAAAGAAGCAGCAACGACGGTTCTCGCCATACAGTACTCCGTTGCAGAAGCGTCGAGCTTCAGTCCACGATGAACCAGGCCCAGTTCGGAGTCAGTCGTTTGTTCAGCCACCGCAAAATGCACAAAACTCAACGGAATGGGCAACACTTCCCGAAGTCGATACGGGAGCCCCAGCCGTCCGTTTGCAGAAGTTGAACGACGCTCTAGAGCTAAATAGAGCGCTGCAGGAACAGCTTCGCGAACAACTGAGGGATATTACTCGCCGGAAGCGAGAGAATGAGGATGCACAGGTGGGATGCTTTTGGTCCGCGTGTGACGGTGCTGAGTTTGCGGGGCAGCTGACCCAGCGCTTCCTACTTCCAGAAGAAGGTGGAGCCGTTGATAGAGCCAGAACGTCCTCCTTATCCGACTCGTCATTTTTCCATTGACTTTGAGGATGCGCGCGACGGCTCGGTATGTTCATATTCCAAGCCTAGTACTATCGAGACTTCACAGGGTTGACCATATTATTGAACCAGGTCCCACCCGACAACTACGACGTCCAGATCGAAAAACTGCTGTTTGGACGCTGCATCAAAGCGGAAATCATATACAGGAAGGGCCGATGTACGTTGAACGGATTGTTGGCCTGCGTCACAACATGGTTGACCCCAATCTGAGCGAATAGTGCTTGTGTGTAGGGAAGCCGACTGAACACGAGGCACTTGTGAAGGCGATCGATTTCTATAATAAGAAGCTAAGGTGAGATGTTGAGCAAAGATCGCTTCCCGGGCTCCTGGCTCATGTGGTGCATAATTCCTCACGCAGATACAACCGACAGACAGGCGAAATTGACCCGGGGTTGGAGTCTACATCGGAGGAGTTCATTCAGCTCTTGGACTGGGAGGCCGTGTCTGGACTTGTAAGTCTCAAATTTCGCTCGATGGACGCTAGGCATCAGCAACCGGACTAAATGACCATCCAGGTTGGAGAGCGGACTGCCGCCGAATGTAAACGAGAATGGATCCTCAACCGCGGTCAGCTGGCACGAGGGCCCGTCGGAAGCAGGAAAGACTTCACCACCAAGGATATGAAGAGATTGAGGCAGGCGGTGGCGACATATGGGGGCCGAAGTTGGGATTTGACTGCCGAGTATGTTGGGGTGAGTACTTGTTCACAAGCGCTGGTAAGGTGGACAACCCTCAAGCTCAATCCACAATCAGAACGATGCAACGCCTATCCAATGCTTTCGAGAGTACCAGATCAAACTGACCAAGGATGTTAAGAAGTCAGTTGCCGCTGCTCCATTCACGTTCACCAGTAGTGCAGCACCTATCTTACATTCGCTTTTCTCTCGCCGCCAGTCGCCCATGGACAGATGAAGAAGGCGTGATCCTCCGCCGTGCAGTTCGCAAATGGGGAACCCGGTGGTCACGGGTAGCGGAAGAGGTCCCCGTTCGCACCGCTGCCGAGTGCCGGCATCACCATGGCAAGATGGTCACTGACGAAAAAGCGAGGGTCAAAATTGGGAAGTTCACGGAGCGGGAGGATGATGTGAGTGGGAAAGGGGTTCCTGGTTCTTCCCGTAAATTCGTCCGTCATCTGCCATGAATCTGAACTTTTCCGTCTCTAGTTTCTAATTGAACACGTCAAACACCACGGAAGATCTCTCGGGCTCTGGACAACAGCCGCCGCCATTCTAAAACGGACTCCTGCTGCTTGCCGCGATCGATACGAGCGCACTCTCACAATTCGGGATTGGCAGAAGGAGGTACGCCGAGGTGGCATCTGAGGCTGGGCGTTTGATGCCGTTCGGGATTAATCCAAAAGGACCGGTTTTGTGCAGACTTTCCAGAAACTGCGGCAATTGGCAATGGAAGATCCAGACGCCCAGCCGTGGGCCAAGTGGGCGCGCGAGCTCGGGAGTGCCGATCATATGGTAACTGCAGAACCACCTTCACCTCAGCGCTTCATTTCGGACCACGGGGGGCCTCTCGGACTCACCCACCCCTTTTTCCCACCTAGGTCCGCCACTACTACCACATGCTCAAAAAGCGGGGCTACTTCAAACCGCGACCCGACAAAGAAGCGCTGCAGTACGTTCAGCTCAAATTGCGCCACCCGCCTCAGAAGGAGAAGGCGGCAAAGCGCGCTATGGAGGAGGCGACATCAATGGCTGTCAGGGAGGCCACGAGGGTGGCTGTTATGAAGAAGAAGGGTGATAAGAAAGGGGGTCAGGAGGATGGCGAGGGTGGGGAGGATGATGAGGGTGAGGAGGCGCAGGGCTAGGGTGACGAGGAAGGCGCGTATGATTTCAGCGGTAGCCTCCCCTTACGTAGCCTTGGTTATATTTGAAAAGCATCTCCGTATGTTGGGAGGACGGAGACCGATGCAATGAGAAGCGTATCACCATATTCAACGTCACACACTGAAGACATATGCTTCTACATGAATTGTCGTGACCTAAGTAAACTATGTATAGCTAGGCTGCCCTTCCTCTTGTCATTATAACATGTGCATCCTCGACACTTTCCTTCACACGTAAACAGTAAAGTACGTATTTACAGCCAAGCCACTCCCTAATCATAAATAGAGCCATGCAGAAGGGGACAGGTCGTTAGTATGCCATCTCGGCGCCTGGAACCCAATCCATTCAAGTCAGGAACACTCACCAACGGGCCTTAAAACCGCGGCCGTGCACCTCAGCATCCCGTGCCACCCAACCAAGTCCGACACCTCCACATCAACATCACATCACATCAACCGTCCCCAAAACGATCAAGATGGCATCTAATCACCCAACCGATACCCATGGTACTCAAACTCATACGCCGGTGTCCCATCTGCATTGAAATGGAACCGCTCAAAGCAGTCCTGGCACCACACGCACGGGTCGCAGTCTGCTCGGACGTCTCCTAGTGTTACCCAACTGAGAAAAAAAGTTGGTTTACAGATGGACGAGAAGGCTAGAATGATAGATGGGCACTTACGCGGCGATACGGTACTCGCACACCTGGCACCGCGAGGTTGCTGTCGCGCGTGCTTTAGTCACGAGGATTGCGCGGGGATATTTGGAGGGGTTATGAGGGTCGGCGGGGGTGATCGATCTGATAGCGAAAGAATCAGAAGCTATCGTGCGGCAAAGATACGGGAGTGTGTCCAAACACGCACCTGATCTCATCGAAGTAGAGAACGTGCTGGCAGCACCCCTGGTGAACGAACAGGTATGCGAACCCCGGCCGGACGCAGAGCTCCCCAAACGTGACATCCGTCATCGCCTTGCTCGTGTACGCCGCTAACCTGCGCTGTTTGTGACGACCATCCTGATGTACCCACTCGATGATCTTTCTATCACACAGAGGCCCAATAAGTCCTTCGTTCCCCCTTCACAGCATCATAATCCTCGCAAAACAGCACATACTTGCTATAATCCTCAGCATCCGGATCCCTCAAATCGTTATAAAACACATCCTCGATAAAGAAATACGACGGGCTCGTCCGCCGTTTCAGGGTATTCAACACGGTCGGCTCGTCGTCATCCAGGTGCAAAAAGTCAGTCGGGCAGTGGAATGCGTCGCGGAGGACGGTTAACGGCTGTGATCCGAGGACGTCGAAGGTCGCGAGCCGTTTTTCGTGGTTTTTGTGCCGGTTGTAGAAGGAGGCGGTTAGGATGACTTCGTCGGGTGGGATTGTAGTAAGCTCGCCTTCCTGGGAAAATCGGAATGTTTGACTGACGATGGTTCATTCACCCCCGCAATACCGAAACACCCGACATACCCTTTCCTCATCCTCCCACTCATCATCCGAGGGCTCAGACGGCTCCTCCCCATCCAACCCTCTGTCAATAGGCTCCCTAGACGACGCCTTCTCCTTCCCCGACGCCGCCGCTGCCCCCGCACCAACCTCCACATCCTCCCCCAATGGTTCCACGGGCGGGACAAAAGTCGTATCGCATCTCTTTCGCACGTCCGCCTGCTTCGCTGCGCTCAACTTGTATTCCGTTGTAGTTGAAGCGAGGACTCGCCCTGATTTGCTCCGGAAATCACTGATGTTCACGAGTTTTGTTGGACGGTTCATGCTGGTCCTTCCTGACTCGGGAGCGAGTTCCTGGCCGTGGCGGACGTATGTAGAGTGTGCTAGCTAGCCGTTGTCCGGTTGCAACGAACCCGAATCCCGCCCATAAGCACGTTTCAGAAGATCTCCAGCCGCGACGAATGCTTAGGGGAGAAGGATTACTTGGTAGCTAGCGGCTGGTGTCCGGTTGCGGCAGTCGGTCCAGCCCGGCTCTCACTATACAGCTGCTTACAAGAGGGTCCCAGTGAACTCTTTGGTTGAGCGTTGGTGATGGAGGGAGTTGGAAACAGTCCAAGCGCGCAAGGCAACAACAGCTCCCTGAACAAGCTCAGAACAGCTCCGGGACAGTGGTGACTTCACAGCTTCACGAGCTTCTTATTAACGTCCAAATGCTCTCTGCAACCCTCATTCCATTTCCTCACCCAACTCCGCTCCCAAGACGCACACAAGCGCATGCGAACCTTCCATCACCGCTCCCACCTAACCCCCCTACCGTCACTGCTGCCACCTCTAGCCCCTACGCACGTTCGATCCCAACCTCACCGTGCGTCATTACCCCCGCCCGCATCATGTCACCCCGCTTTCTCGACCTCGACCAGAGCCCGCCATGACCACGATGGGTCATATCCCTCCCACAGGTATAAGGGATACTGGGAGTTGATATTGAAGCAAGTGCGTGAGATATGCGTAGAAGTTGTGGGAAGATTGAAGGTTATTCTCACCCTTTGGTGATTTTGTAGCCGCATAGCTATCAGTTCGACCCAACCACGTTACCTCAAGCACAAGCAGCGCACAGGAATACACATACACACACCACACCTACCCCAACAGCCATAGTATCCGACACCTCCCCGCTATCATTCATGCCCGGTCGATCGAATGCGGCGCCGCCAGCGGCAAAAATATTCACGCCTCTAACTTCGGTGGAAGCCTCATCGGCCGAGGAACTGGCCCGGCTGGAAGCGGAAGAGAAGGCGCTGCATCCGCCTGCGGCTCCGGATAATTGTTGCATGTCTGGATGTGTCCACTGGTTCGTTTTGCCTTTCATCTATGCCCTTACGTCCACATCTGTATCAGAGCTAACCTCAAAACTTCTTCACAGCGTATGGGACGTCTACCAAGCCGACATGGAAGCCTTTCAACTCACGCGAAACCGCATCCGCGACCGCCGCCGCAACCTCCTGATAGCGTCAGGGAGGGAACAGGAAGCCGCACAGGCTGCCGCGGAGGCGACGGCGGCGGATGCTGATTTGGATGCGGCGGGTGGAGGGATGGATCCGGGGATGGCAGCGTTTTTGGCGATGGAGAAGGATATGTTGAGGAGGCAGAGGGAGAGGGAGGTGGAGTTGGTAGAAGGAAAAAGTGGGACAGGGGTTGGGCTGTAGTGGGCCTGGCGCTTTCAAGCCATACCGAGTTAACCAAGTTGGAAACACCAAGATATTGGGAGAGGACCCTTATAGGAGTGAGTTTGTCGGTGCCTCCGTACATCTCTATACAGTTTTCCGTACTGACATCGCAATCAAGGTGTAATCGAATGATAGTGGAGACAGAGAGGCAGGAGGGAGACAGCCACAGCAAGGGCATTAGTTTACATAGAAGACCGAGAAGACCGGTCTCAAAATAACATAGGCTCGAGTCCGCCCTTAGCGGTCATCAAGAGTAAAGGACACAAGTTAGCATTGCCACTCCGAGGGAGGTTCGTAATCAATGAAGTTCCCTCATCATCTTCTAGGCAGTGCATGCATACAAAATTGAAAACATAAATACAAAGAATAGACCAAAAAAGATGCGCAAACGGCATATTATGCCCTCTACGTGTACATCCTGCCTTCCATCTACGTAGCTATGCCGATTTGTTTAGTTCAGGGCTACACCGCTCTCTCATTTGGTCCCTCGTGTCCTGCTAATTTATGCTGCCACCCGTCTGCTCTCCTCCGTGCGATAGTGATGCCAAATGGGCAGAATCGTGCCGTTTAAATAGCTACCGCCTGTGCCTCACGCCCGTCGTCCAAACCCTCTGAGCAGCTCGCTGCCAATATTATCCACCTTCTCCATTTGCATTGTCTAGGGTCCATCCATCTACTCCTTACGCAACTGACGAAGCTGCTTCTTCTTCATCCTTTTCACCTTGGCAGCAGAGACCTGATCATACCCAATTAGCATCAGTCCCCAGCTCAAGCAGTGCACGCAAAAGTATGACATTCATACCTTCTGCACGACCTCAGCCTTCTTCTCATTCTCCTCTTTCCGCTTCAGACGTTCCTTCTCGGCGTCTTTCCGTTTCTACAGTTTCCGCAAACGGCATTTGTATCAGAAAATCCCCATTTACACTGGTGTATGGTCTGGTGACATTCTCCATACCTGTCTCTCAGCAGCCTTCTCATCCTTGAGCTCCTTCTCAATAGCTTTCATTACTTGATGTTGCTTGCGCTCTTCTATTTGCTTTTGCCAGCCTGTAAAACCAAGACGTAAGCTCTTGGTCGTAGAGTGTATTGGGAAGTTGCACTGGGAACTTACCTTGACGAAGCATACGGGGCTTCATAGAGGTGTGCCTCTTTGTTTGTGTGGTCTTCCATACTCGTCCTATTGTAAAGTGCAACGAGAATGGCCCGTAAGCAGTTTGACCTGGTGAAAGAAAACGGGAACCAAAATGGGACGAACCTGAGACTGGCTTGCCACGGACGCCCGCGGCGCCGCTCTTCCCAGAGCCGGCTGCGACGGCGGGGACTATGGTCTCAATGGTTACTGTTGCGTCGGCGGACATGTTTGTTGTGGTTGAGGGAAGTCTGCGAACGGGTGGAAAGAGAAGTGCCCCAAAGTCAGGCGCGTCCGCTCGCAACTCGAAAAGGTTCAAAAAGGCTCAGAAAGTTTCGTCCTCCTCTCGACAGCCCATCTTCTGCAAACGGATTCGCACACACAGCCCAAGGTAAGCGCCCAGCAACGCAATATATAGGGAAGAGCAGCGGACCAAGTTCTCTCATATGCAAGGCCCCTTTCCTGTGTACACGTTTGTGCTTTCGTGCTCGTGTTGATCTCCTGAAAGTCATAACCGCTCATCCTATTTTCCAGCACCACCTTCCTTCACCCCCGAAACCCGCACCAAAGATGTCCGCTGACTCCGCCCCCGTCTTCCTCGGCATCGGCAACCCCTTGCTGGACATGTCCGCCGTCGTCGACGCCGAATTCCTCAAAAAATACAACCTCAAATCCAACGACGCCATCCTCGCCGGCGAGGAGCACAAGCCCCTCTACAAGGAGATGCCCGAAAAGTACGAGGTCGAGTACGTCGCCGGCGGCGCCACCCAGAACTCCATGCGCGGCGCCCAATGGCTCCTCCCCGCCAAGTCCACCGTCTACATCGGCTGCGTCGGCAAGGACGCCAACGCCCAGAAGCTGCGTGAGGCCGCCGCCAAGGACGGTTTGCGGACCGAGTACCTCGAGGACGCAGAGGCGGCCACGGGTCTGTGCGCTGTGTTGATCACTGGCATCGAGAGGAGTCTGTGCACGGATTTGCAGGCCGCTAACTTGTACAAGATTGATCACTTGAAGAAGCCGGAGATCTGGGGTCTGGTCGAGAGCGCAAAGTTCTACTACACCAGTGGTTTCTTCTTGACCGTGTCCCCGCCTTCGGCTATGTTGATTGCGGAGCACGCGGCCAAGACCAACAAGGTGTTTGGGCTTAACTTGTCGGCGCCTTTCATCAGCCAGTTCTTCAAGGAGCCTTTGAACAACTTGCTTCCTTACGTTGACATCCTCTTTGGTGAGTGCACAAATCCCACTATTTTCTGTCCATCTCACCCCAAAACCATAGAATACTCATCTTGCATCCCCCACACCACACAGGCAACGAATCCGAAGCCGAAGCCTACTCCACCTCCAACAACTGGAACCTCACCGACGTCTCCGAAATCGCGCTCAAACTCGCCTCCTCCCCCAAAGTCAACGCCTCCCGCTCCCGTCTCGTCGTCTTCACCCAAGGCGCGCACGACACCGTCGTCGTGCAAGATGGCAAGGTCACAAAGATCCCCATCATCCCCATCGCCCGCGAGAAGATCGTTGACACCAACGGCGCTGGTGATGCGTTTGTGGGCGGGTTCTGGGCGCAATATGTCCAGGGGAAGAGCCTTGAGACGGCGGTCAAGGCCGGACATTATGTTGCGAATGTAGTTATTCAGAGGAGTGGGCCGACGTACCCTAAGGAGGCCCACGGTTTCCGCGAGTAGACTTTTGTAAGATATCGGCGTAGCGGATTGTACGTTTAGAATCCCATACATTAGCTGACTTTCACCTTCTCTCATTGTGTACCCATTTCCTTCTTTGTCCATATATGTATGCTAAGCGTTGTGAATATGTATAGAACGGATGTCTTCACACCGAAAGTTTTTGTTGTTGCGTGATCGCGGATTGGTAAATCTGTTCCATTTTCATTTTCATGCCCTTCTCTTTCGATACAAGATGACATCGGACAGGAGGGGGAAAGGTGGCCAGAATTGTCATTCTAAGAGCTAGTCAACATATCTATACGTACGCTCGGGGATGTGGAAGGGAGAGAAGCTATAAATGCGATAATAATGGTAGGGAAAGACTTATCCCAACGCAAACTGTGACAAGCGATGATCTACGGCTGGCACCTTCCCATAAACCTAGGGTACAAGCACACCTCCCTCACCGTGTACCTGTTCAAAAGCCACGCCAAGAACCTCTCCAACCCCAACCCAAACCCACCATGCTCACACGTCCCATACTTGCGCTGGTCCGTGTACCAGTAATACGGCTTGCCATCAATCCCCTCCCTCTCAAACCCAGCCGCCAACTCCGCCAAGTCCGTGATCCTCATACTACCGCCAACAATCTCGCCAACGTTGGGCATCAGCACGTCCACACTCTCAGTGAGACGCCTATCGTCACCACAACGCTTCATGTAGAACGATTTGATCTCCGCCGGGAACTTGCACAGCAGGATCGGCTCGCCGATGGCGTCGGTCATCTTGCGTTCGGGGGCTTCGGGGATATCTTCGCCAAACTCGTAGTCGGCCTCGCCGATCTTGGTGCCGTCGGCATCGAGGACGTCCTTTTTGATGCCATGGTCGTTGAGCCATTTGATGGCGTCGGAGTAGGCCATGCGGCGGAAGGGCTTTTTGGGGGCGACGAAGTTGGGGTTGAGCTCTTTGAGGATTTCGGCGCCGAGGGGGTCGCTTGTTACGCGTTCCATTACGGTTACGATCTGTGGGGGAAAATAGCGAGAGTAAGCATGGTTGTTCTTAGATCGTGTAGATTTGCGTAGACATAACGATGTACCATGTCCTCGAGGAAAGTGAGCAAGTCCTCAAAATCAATGAAGGCGAGCTCCCCTTCGATGTGGGTGAACTCGGACAAATGTCTCCGGGTGTGGGACTTTTCTGCACGGAAGGATTCCGCCATACAGTAAACGTCACCGAGGGACGCCAAACACGTCTCGAGGTACAGTTGTGAAGATTGCGTGAGGTACGCCTGAACGCGGAGACGGAAGCGTCAGTAAACGGATCTACCACAACCAATTCGATAGGAGGGCACTCACAGATTCCCCGTAGTAGTTGAACTCGAACAGGGTGCTGCCACCCTCAACCTGCGTCTGGACCATCAAAGGCGGTGTAACCTCCGTAACTTGCCGGGAGTCAAAATACTCGCGAAAAGCCTTCAGAACCAGGGCGCGCATCTTGAGAACGTTGGACGCGGTCTCCCCACGGATGACAAGGTGACGCTGATCCAGGAGAATATCGGGGCTGGTTTCGGTGTTGAACTTGTTGTCGAACGCCTCGGTCCCTCCGGGAGCTTTGCCAATAATTTCCCAGTAGTCGACTTTGAGCTCATGCCCTCCGGGAGCCTAGTGTTGAGATGTTCAGGCGGAGAATGTGATATTGGTCATCATGAACACAAAGCGTACCTTCTTGCCTTCAGGGACCACCTGCAACACTCCGTACACAGTGACTGTTGATTCCCTGATGAGAGTGATTGCGTCGTATGTTTGGCACTAAAAGAGTCACCCATTTAGCGTCGTCGTCGTAAAGGCAAGAAGATGGATGCCTGTTCTCACCAGCTTGCCGTTCAGCACACATTGCAGGTAGCCAGTACCGTCACGCAACACCAGAAACATCAAGTCCTTTCCCTGCGAGCGATGTCTGTGGAGCCACCCAGACACCTTCACGCGTTCACCCCTGTGCTTCTCGCCATCACGGATTCTGATCTGCGTTGCGGTACGTTAGCATCAGGTTCAGAACGCCATTCACGTATCACAGGATTGCATACCTTCTTGGCCGCCGGGAGACTGGCGTCCTCCGTGATCACAATCTTCTTCGCCTCCTCCAACTTCTTCTCCTCAGCAGCAGCCGAGTCAGCGGCAGCGGCCGCAAGCTTCTGGGCCTTCTTCTGGTTGGCCTCAAACAGCTTCTGAGCCTTCTTCAGAGCAGTCTTGGCGATCGGCTGATATCCCTCCTCAGTCGACTTGCGGACCACGATGTTGCCCTCTCCAACCGAGGGGTGCTCCAGTGCTTTCGCAACCGTTTTGTAAGGAGCCTGCTCCGTGCCCTGCCCTGCGTCATCGCCCTGGACTTCACACACGTGAACGGGAGTGCCTAGAGCCATGTTCTTTATGCCTTCGATGACAGAAGCCATTCCTGTTGGTCTATCGGTGGTTATTTGTCGACTGGGTTGACCGAGCGAGTTCGGTGCAAACTGGAGTCGGTTGGTAGAAAGGAGTACCGAGGGACCTGTCAAGTGCGATAATTCACATGAGAAGTTAGTTTCCAGACGCCTTGACAGACTCTTCGAGCCTGTTCCGTGGCGATTCCTGTTGCCGTTCCTCACCCCTTCACACCTCTCCTGGAAAACGACCAAGACCTACCTTGATGGAAGCCGAGCGAGCGAAGCGTCGTTAATCGCGTGAGAATCGAGCGTCCTGTCCGTAGACCTAGCGTACGCAACAGAGATGTGGACCTTCCGGCGGCACAAGCAAACATGCAAACGCTAAACCGATCGACAGACTATATGACAGGCTGACAATGGGTCGAGCAGGTACCTGTAGGGACTTTATAGGTTTTCCGGGAGGGAGTTGGGCGGTCGGAGATCGTCGCCTTGAAGCGCTTTGAATTGTCTCCGAGTCACGTGCCGATTGTATGACTCGCATGAGATGGATGATGGGCTTTCTGGAGCTTTTGGGCTTGAGCTCCAAAACCGAGGACGACATCTCAAAGTTCGCACCACCAAACCACCCACCGCGGGCCCACGCAAAACGCACTGCTGGTTCCCTGTTCCTGAGGCAGTTTTCTTCCGGAGTCTTCTGCAAAGCGAGGGGCTTCGTCATCTAGGGACAAAATAATGGCTACCCCCAATACTTATGCAGCCAGCGGGACGAGAAGTCGCCGGAAAACGTCCAGGGGTGATGGCCGTCCTGGACCATCGACGCCAGCAACGAACGGCCGAGAGGGCGAAACGCAGCCCCGCAATAGCACTTACAAGGATGCCGCAACGTCGCCAAGGCCTCCTCCACGCGATATGAGCGGTATGTACTTCTCAAACCGACATCTCTCATGGCTAGCGCGTGACTGACCCTCTCAGATCCCGAAACACTGGACAGTGTCCTCCGCATCATAAGGACTCAGTTCGATTATGAGATATTACTGAAGAGATACGAATTGCGGGATATTAGACAGCAGATACAGAATGCACAGCACGCACTGGCGCACATGCAACAAACTATTATTTATGGTGAGTTTTGGAAGGACTTGTGGGGGATGGCCAGGACGTGGGAGGTTTTCCATACTATTCGATACGTCGGAGAGGGATTAGGGAAACAGAGTGTAGAGTACTTGATGAATCCGAGCATATCTGCGGTGGTTAGTGGGCTTTCTGTCACGTTATCAATTAATACACAATATCAATACATACGTGTGATCAGCCTGAGAGCATCTTATGCGCATGACTTTTTGAGTGCGGCAGTGTTTATATCAACTGAAGATGCTGATGAATTTATCATTTGTCCATGCCAATACTAGGCGGAGCCACACATTTAGGAGAAGTAGGGTCTCCATCGCATCCTGTTCGAACGTCCCCCGAACCGATCCCGCAGTCCGCTCCACCATCAATCCCCGGACCCGCATCACAACAACCGCCTGCGCAATCCAGCCCTCGAGTCAGCTCCTCCGGGCGTCCGATCAGGAGCACCGCGTTGCATACTACATCATACGCGCATACCGCAAATGCGCTATATTCTCGGAGGGACGATGGGGCATATGTCAGGTTGGCATGCATCGCAACACGATTGGAGACGAGATACTTCTCTAACAATGGAATATGTCAATCCCTGTCCAGACTGGCCTGTCCAGCCTGCCAACGATGGCAATTCGCAAACATGCAAGGCTTTATCAACCATTGTCGACTGAAACATGAGATGGAGTTTCCGTCCCATTCGGAGGCGGCGAGAGCTTGTGGCGCTGTTGTGGTAAGCTTTCCGGAATCATTTACTTTGACATGAGAAGCGGCAGAGCATTGAATGTCAGTATCATAGGACGAAACCGAAGTGCCAAAAGACCACCCCGCCCGCCGAATCCCCGTCAAGCCCGCCGCATTCGACAAACCCACCAACTACGTGTGGGGGATCGCTCCAACTCCCAGGCATGTGTAAACCTGCGAGTACGAACACAGTCTCCTCCTCTTGACCCCTCACATCCCTCCTGCCATAGTGATAAAGCCGAGATTGCCGAGCCTGCCCCGATACCCACCCCTGTTGTAAAAGAGCGGGTATGTCTTTGCGTTCCTCGGTTCGTTCCTCATTCCACGCCTTTGCTCAGAGCTCTTTGTCCATGTCCGCCCGATAGCCAACGATCAAAGTCTACGAAGAAGACATCGACTATGCGGATATGGAGGTTTCGTCGCCGATAAGTGCGCCCGCTCCGCTGTTGCTCATGGACCCGGTGGATTCAGGTTTGTATGGGCAAGTGTAACAGTGAAGCAGTCTGCCGGTTTGCTCACGCACCATAATTGTAGGAGTGCAACCGATGGAGATCGACGCCCCTGCCGGAGTCAAGCCCGAGATCCCCTCTATGACGGAGAACCCGCAAGAAGGAGGGAAATCGATCACACCCACTGCGGGCAGTACGATACCCGAAGATGCGGGTGATGGGTCGGCAGCGTTCGCAAACGACGGAGTTGAAGCTATGGATGTGGATGAGCCGATCTCCCGAAATTCTGATGAGGGCGTTGGCAGCGCGCCAACGTGAGTGTGGTGTCGTCAAGCATAACTAGATGCTTCCGGGTTGTGCGGCGCTCATCATATGTCGTACCCTAGCGAAACCGTAAGATCGGCCCTACCGCATGACGGAATCACAGCCGACGAGGGATCCCGGTTCTACGTGAAGCGGCGCGTGTTGCTCGGGAATGCGTCGAGGTTTATTCCACCAGGTGACGTGTTGCATAGCGGTTGCTCGGTGTGGGGTTGCATGAATGCTGATTTTGCGAATGCGCATGTTTTAGATCAGCGCGAGACAGGAATGGAGAAATACCTCTTCCGCTGGAAAGTCTACCTCCAAGGCCCGCCCGAGGTACGTCCATCCCTTCGCACCCAACACCCACATCCACACCTGTCCTTACGCCATCCCGTACCCCCAACAGACACCCGACATAACCCCCTTCATCCGCAAAGTGCGCTTCTACCTCCATCCCGACTACCGGCCCTACGACGTCGTGGAAGTGTCCGACCCGCCATTCCACCTGACCCGATACGGGTGGGGCGAGTTCCCTGTCCGTGTGCAGCTGTATTTTGGGGATGAGAGGAATAAACCTGTTAATCTTATCCATGTGCTTAAGGTATGTGTCAAAACCTCATGCTCTCGGTGATTAGCAGTCTCGGATGCACTGAGATTTACGGGATGTTTCGGTTGCGTAGTTGGATCAAATCAAGACGGGACGACAATTGGTCGGCGCGGAACGCTTCATTGATCTGGAACTGGACCGAAATACCGTGTTTGGCGAGTCCCGCGAGCCCGCGAAACCTGTTGCTGGAGTCGAGCCACCAGATAAAGAGAAAGAAGAAACCGCGGCAGCGGCAGATAACGCGGCCGCAGAGCAGAAGCGGGTGGATAAGATCTTGGCGGATTTGGCAGGGAGGTGGCCTATCATCCGTGCGGGTACGTCTGGTGATCAAATGAGAGTTATGGACTTCGGGGGTGGTGTGCACGGTGATCTGATGTGCTCGTTGCAGCTGGGACAGGGAGCTTTTTGCCGTATTCAACCGCCAAATCGATTGCGGCGTATATGGCGTGGCCGTTAGGAAAACGGAAAGCTACTGAGGTATATTCGTTCCACTGCAACACCACGGAACCCGCTTCTCTTAACCTGGCTCAATTTTCCGCAGTTCCAACGCGCCAAACAAATCCTCCAATCCGCCCAATCCCACACGGCCGCCCTCCCTCTCCTCCAAAACCTAACCCTAAAAGACATCCTTAAATGGTGCATCGACACCAACCGGACACCCACATCCCGTAAACCTACCTCCTCCTCCGCATCATCAACAACAAAACCAGCCACAACGAAGAAATGCGTGGAATACTGCAGATACTGCGGGATAGCGGGCGCCCATGATGGGGATGATGCGGTGTGTATGCGGCGACCCACGATGTGGAAGGGGAGGGTGTGGAGTTTGGCGCCGGCGGGGTTGGAGGGGGTTGTTAAGGGGGAGGGTATAAATACGGGTAAGGCGCACACTCATTTACATATTACTACTTTCGAGTGTTTCTGACCTACTTGCGATGTGTTTTTCTTTTGGCAGGAGATATTAACGTCCACAACCTCTCCGACCCGACTAACATCATATCATCGACATCTTACGACTGGAGCAACACCCCGCACCCAACCGCTACGGACTCGGAACTCGCGTGGGTGACGCAGACGGTGGCGCAGCTGAGATTGCCGGGTTGGCCAGGGAATAGGGGGAGGGTGGAGGGTTTGAATTACGATGGCGGGGCTGCTGGGGTTGTTTTTGAGGTGAGGGCGCGTTCAGGTGTTGTTGGGAATGTGAAGAGGAGGAATTTGATCTTTTGATCTACAGGCTGTCAGGTCGTTTACGAGGCGGTTGATTGAGTGTGCTGTGGAGGAGTATCGGCGGGATGAGGAAACGGATGCGGCCACTCCGATGGATAAGCTTGACGGGGGAATATTATCACCGCATACATCCCTCCCACGGATTGAGGGAGCGCAGACGACACAACCATTCAAGGAGGAAAACCCGGCACTCGCCTCACAAACAGAAGCACAAGCACAACCAGATACACAAACACTCCCCGCACAACCACCCACGTCGACACCACTCGCACCCGCTCCAGCAACCGCGGCAGACCCCACCACACCCACAACCGCCACCGCGAAACCAACAACTAACCCCTTCTCCCGCCTCCTCGTACCCTTCCACGTCTACAGAGGAATCATGAAGACTGAGGAGATGGACTTCCTGACAGGCGCGGGTTTGGCGGGGGAGTAAGGCTCGGGATGGGTGAGATGGAGGGACGGACTTTTGCATCTTGAATTACACATGCTATGCGTTTTTGGAGAGGACGACAACAGTGTCTTCGAGTCCTGTACTGGACCATTGTATACGGTGCTATCCGCCGTGTTTTGCATGTCAGCTCGCTGTTTGCTTCAGTCTTTTGCATTATAGAAGCAGCAAATGTTCATTTCTTTCAAAATCGTCGTGATATGTTACCAGAACGTTCCACGCATCTACACTTCTCCTGCAACACAAAACTGTTGCACCCAATATTATCAGCTGCCTGTTCGACTTCCGATATTTGGACGCCTTCCTGCTTTCGGCCACCCCCCGGATCGGACCTATCCTCGTCTTCGAAGAGAGGGTTCCCGAACCGTTCCCATCCGGGCTGAAGGCGGGCGGCGGGGAAGGGTCTTGGGGTATGGCCTCGAGCGCAATGCCCCTGACCACTCCCACTTCCTCCCCCACTCCCCCTCCCACTACCCCGGTGCACATCATGGGAATGCCCGTAAGTATTGAGAACGGCACTTGCCTTTGCATTGTTGTCCCTGCTTTCGATACCGCGAGAAAGGAGGACCTATAATCAGGTTGAGGATGACGCTCAGCTCCGTCCCGCTCTCCTCGCTGCTAAGGATACTCAAACGTCGGGTTAGAATACCTGCACGACGACGTGAGTATCGACCCCCGCAGTTGACACACTCCTGTCCTGCCCGCGGTTTGCCTGCACAAAACGCGTCCGGGGATCCCGAATCGGCGATGAGAGACTCCCTTTGAGAACTACACGTTGGGCGATCAGCGGTAAAAACATGCTAAGTGGATTATAAACGCAAGTTGATGCTGCTTGCAGGGGTTTTGCGGATGATGCTCTTGGAACAACGTCGAAGCACGCATTGCGATAAAACCGACGCGTTCCACACGCGTTTTCGCTTACGTTAGCAGAGCGGTGTGCGACACGGAGCTAGTGCAGATGGATGAAAAAGATGAGAGGTTGAGTCTGCGATTCACCTTAGCGGTTTGTCGGACAGGTATACATTATATGCGTTGGATGCGGTTGCTCGTTTATAGCCGACCAAATGAGGGGAACGAGGCGAACAGCCGGGAAGGCGGGGGACGGGGCCACACGCAAAGGGGGGTCCCGGGTTGAGGAGATGTGCAATTGGGGCGGAGATGGATTTCGCTCATGCGATGGAAATCACGTATTGACCCGACCCGTTCGCTTGAGCCCCACGCGCGACTGCTAAATTGGCAAGGGTTCATAGGCTTGCGATGTTTTATGGGGGTGAGAAAGGACGGGACCCCGTGATAGAAGACGAGGGAGGGCAGAAAATGATGAAAAAGAAGAGAAAACGTTTAAGATGCCACGGTTTTTGGGAACAACGCGCCAATTGCCACGGTTTTCAAATAAATCGCAGAATGCCACCATCTTTCTTCAGAGCCGTCTGGGCGGACTTGGAGCCTTTACCAGCGGACTTGGAGCCTTCACCGTTCTTTTGTTTTGAAAACCGTGGCATCTTAAACGTTGTCTCGAAAAAGAACGAAGGCGAGAGCTGCGGTCGGTTGGGCCAAGAAGAAACAAGTGATGAGAGTAAACCTAAGAAGCAATACTGCAATACACCGGTCCTCTACATGAGGCGAATGCGGCTGTAGGTAAATCCTAGAGGCGGTGTACTTGGATTGGCGCACGCTCTCGAAGCCGAGATCCGCCCGGCACAGCAACGCGGCGTTTTCGATCTGCCCTCAACCGGGAACGCACTTCCATTGCCGACAGCTCCATTCGGAGCAGGACATTGGAAAGCTCCGTGTAAACACAATTTCGTCCTCAGGGAACGAACAGGAGAGTGGCAAAGCGAAAGGCGGGCGATAGCACTTCAGGCTAAGGTCGAGAAAGTGAATGAGAAGGTTACGTATGGCAACATGGTGGCACCTACATTTTCATCGTAGATCTTGACGATAACATTAGACCGCTTGATCAAGTGTGTTAAAGCTTGAAGAAAATGCAACTCTGTTATCAGACGATGCCCATTCATCTCAACTCCATAAGAAACTTGCGCCGGTCAGCCGCAAACTTCTCGACGCTGTAACGGAGCATAGTCCGTGGCATATCCCTGGCATGCACTTCAAGAAAGTCCTCCACGGCCTGCGGTTCCCTCTTGTGCGCCTCACGCAGCATCCACCCCACCGCTTTATGTATGAGATCGTGTCCGTCCGAAAGCAACATCTCTGCGAGCCTCAAAGTCTCAGCTATGAGCCCCATCCTGATAAAGTGAAAGGTAGCCATGATGGCGATGCGGCGCTCCCACACAACGGGAGAGACAGCAAGGCGTGATAGTGTCGCGAAGAATCCGTCCGCGCCGGCCAGCTGCGCCGTGTGGTCGTGGAGATAGACGCCAAGAATCTTGTCCGCTGTGGTGTCCACGATGTCCCAATTGTTGACCGAGGCGGTGTTCGCCATGTAAAGGTCGTTGATGCGACCCATCTGGCCTTCATCCTTGTTTTTCCGCGCTTCTTTGAATTGCTCGGTCACAGCGAGCCATCCAAGAAGCCGTTCCTCGTGGTACTTCGATTGTAGAAGATGCTCCCGGATCAGCGGCAGAGAAAACTGCTTCATTCGCGTGGCATATGTCCTGGAAGTGGGAACATTGATCCCTAGGAATCTGTCCCCTTCCCCATACTGTCCCAGGCCAGTCTTGAAGAACTCTGCCGACTTTTTGGCTTTCTGTGGGGAGCCTTCGCTGCGAAACTCTTGGAGGACCGCTGGCATTGAATCCGCAGTCGATTCGGTGCGTTTGAGTCTTTTGGATCGTCGCAAGGGAAGGGTGGTGTGTGAAACAGATCGTTTTGGCGACATCGTGGCTTTCAGATGTCCAAGCATTGGTACTTAGGATCGATCACTGGTGCTGGCAGTGAGCCCCGCAGCAAATAAAATCAAGATGCATAAGCTGGGCGGTTGGACGACTTACGTCGACCATCTCAAGTCGGCATTTTCTGTACCTTTCAGCGTCAAAGGGACCAATGGACTGCCTGCCTCCACGTTTCAAACAACGTGCAAATTGCTGCACGCGAGAGGCGTCCGGATCCGATGACGGTAGCGGGGCGATGAGTGAGAGGGACCGGCGACGTTGAGTGTTGCAATAGTGGGCTGCGAGGGACGATGATACGAGGTAAGAAACCACGCCTGTCCTGTCGATTCACCTGCGCAAACTACAGTTAAGCCAGAAACCTTTTAGACCTGTTCCCTCGACGCGTTAGGGAACCCTCCTTTTCCACGCGCGCGTCTCCCCACTTGCCACATTGGATATGCATCGATTAACTCGGATATGAGGACAGGCCCCTTTAGAAAATGCGCCGGCATTCAAAATCCAGTGATCAGAGCATTGTCCTGATCCAGTGCCGTCCCTCCTCGGCTCCCAGCGTTTTAACAACTTTGACCCAAAAATGTGCGTGTTTAGAGCGATAAAGTACAAATGTGTGCGTCTGAGTGACAGAGAGTACAAGCGCATGTCTCGAGTCCCTAGTTGACACCAATCGGCCCGCTGATGATCCCAAGCTGCTGATGGTGCGCCGCTTCAACGTACGTAACGTTGAGGCGGCTCTGCGGGTGGCGCATGGGTGCGTTTGTCCGGCCTGGAAGAGATGAATACGAGATCAGCGGGCGAAGGTTGTATGTAGCAGCTTTCCATAGGACGTGTTTTCGGCACCCACCATTAACAACCAACAACGGATTCGGCATCTCCAACACACTCTCATTCACACTGATCCCGTCCAGATACTGTTTCAGGATCCCGCGCAGGTGGAGATTCTCCTCCTGCAGCTGTGCGCGCTGCTTTTCGAGCGCTTGGCGGTCTAGGTTCACTTTGTTATATCGTTTGTGGAAGGAAGTCATGGAGGAGAGTTCGGGTGGGAGGTGGGGCGTTGACTAGGGCGGTTTGAATGTGTGAGAACTGGAACGAAGGGGTGCAAGACCTCGAAGCCATGCGTCAACCCACCTGCACCCCCTCGCCCTCCCCCTCCAGCCCCTCACTCTCCCGATAAAACGGCACAATCTTCTCCTCCTCCGTCTCCAACTTCCGATTCATCTCCGCCAACCTAATGATCTTCTCCGCCTGCTCGACCTTCCCCTTCAGCTCCTTAATCGCCTTATTGCTCAGGATCGTCAACTCGGTCAGTTTGCGCCGCTCTTTCTCGCGGAAGCTGTTCATCTGCCGTTTGAGGTGCTGGAAATGGTGCTGGATGAGCTCTTTGTCGGATTTGAGCGTCCGTGTGCGCTCGTCGTTTTCTTTGGCGTTGAGGAGGAGGCGGGATTTTATATGGGAGATCGTTTCCTGAGAGTGGAAGGGAGAGGTGAGGCGGGGAAGGAATCGGAGACGCCGGTCATGCGGGCGGCGGCGCTCGATTTGACGAACCTGGAGTTTGACGAGCTTGCGCATTTGCTGCTCGATCTCTTTGGCGTTTTTGGCGTCTTTCAGTTTGAGCTCCTCGAACTGCTTTTTGCGCTCCTCCGTCGCAGCGTTGTATTGATTCAGCGCCTATCGTCGATGGAGTAACAGCAGCCCCAATGGATCAGTTCAAACGTCTCCGTCTCCCACATGCCGCATCTGCGGAGGAGGAAGCTTTACCCACCGCCTGAAACTGCCTCCAGAGCTCCTCCACGGTCCCCTCCAACTGAATCCTCAACGCATGCTTCTCCTCCAAATTCTTATTCTTCACATCATCCCTCAAACTACTATACTCATGCCTCGCATCCGCCTCCGCATCCTGGAAATCCTGCTCCATGCGTCCCATAATCCCCAAAATGTCCGCTCGTTCCTTCACATGGCCAGCCTGCAACCTCACGCGCTCCGTGATGAATTCCGCCTCAAGGACGCCCAAGTCGCCTTCGAATTGGTGTTGGAGGGTGTGTAAGCGGGTGGATTGCAGGTGGATGAGGGTGTCGACGTTGGAGCAGTGGGATTGGAGGGCGGTGGAGAATTGGGATTCGGCTTCGGCGACGTCGTGGGCGAGGTTGGTGATGCCGGCGGATTTGGCGTCGAGGTGGCGCTCGTGGACTTGTTTGAGGGTGGAGATTTGGGAGGAGAGTTCTTGTGCTTTTGCTGTGTGTGGGAGGGGGAGGTGGGTTAGTTTATGAACACTTGCTTTTGGTTCGGCCGTCTCGATGACCCCAGCGCACTACATCAGAAGAGAAGCTAGGCGAGGAAAGCGCCTCAGATGTAGCGGAGCGACGCATGGAAACAGCATCCTCATCGTTGCGCTCGCATGCGTCATCAAGCATTCTTGCCCCAACGGTCCACTGGGACTTCCCGTCTTCCGCGCGGAATCTGCGACCCAACGCTCCATCAGTTCCAAATAACCTGCCTCGTCGCCGTCCCTCTGCCTCCCCCTATCATCCCAACTCCCCCCCCCCCCCCCCCAACGCACCAGCCTTCATAATCTCCCTCCACCGATTATGTATCTTCAGCCGATTCAGATGAGCATTTTTTTCCTCCAGCGCCTGCTTCTCCTTCGCCTTGTCTTTGATATCCTGCAAGTAGCGCCGCCGCGACTCTTCGTCCGGGAACTGAGATTTGGGGGCGGCGCCTTTTTTCGCTTTTTTAGCCATTTTGATGGGAATGTGTGGGGGGTAGGGGTGGTGAGATGGTAAGTGTGGATTGGTGGGGAAAAAGCGAGTCTGGGAAGCGGTTGGGGTACTTCGCGGATGGAGAGTGCAGCAGCGATATGCCGGGTGAAAGCAGCGAGCGGAAGGCAGCGATGCTCCTCGCTGTCGAATTCGCGGTCGCAGGTCTGTCCACGTGACTGCGTGTGCCGATGCGAATATAACTCTCTCTGTTCTTCCGCGCCCTCCTCCCAACAACAACAACCACCGACACCCATCACCCACCCACCCACCCAACACCCATCCCCGCCTCACCCCCTCACGAAACAACATCAGCAATGTCCTCCGCCATCTTCCGGTTCGCATCAAGGGCCGCCGCTTCCCGCTCCGCCATCTCCCGCCTCGCACAACCACAACAACTCCACCGTGCCGTCGCACGGCCGATGCTCGCCGCATTGCCGGTCCGATTCTTCTCCGCTGAGAAGGCCCCTTTGACTCCTCAGCAAGGTATGCGAAGCGTCTGGCATGAACCTCTTGTTTTCTGGATATTGGTTCTTGAAGGCTTGTGCTCTGGGGACAGTCGGGAACTGGATAACGGAGGGCGGAACTTGAATTTGTGCGGGATGGGATCGGCTGTGTGGAAGATACGAGGCGTGGGAGGGAGGTTCACAGGAGGGGCAAGCGGTCAAGCTTGGGGCGGTTATTGCTTAGCAGCTGGAAAAGACGGTGTTTGAGATTGGTCATTTGGCCGTAATTCCGAGTGGCCATCCTCCGAACAACGCGCACAAATCACCCTTGCTCACGAATACCTCCTCACCTACAGTGGAGGACCGCGTGCTGCAGCTGCTACGTGACTTTGATAAGGTTGACGCTAGCAAGGTATGTTTTCAACAATTCGCTGTGTCCACATTGGTTGTGAGCTCTAAGGCGCACGCGAAGGGGAAAATTGCGCAACCCTTGTCCGTTTCATAACGTCGTTCTAATCCTTCCTTTCGTTTCTTAGTTGTCCTTGGACGCACATTTCATCAACGACCTCGGATTGGACAGCCTGGACCAGGTTGAGATCACCATGGCTGTAAGTACTCTCATCCGCGGAGGTATTGGCAGAGACGTCGTGAGCTGGATTAGGTGGATAGGGAAGGGAAGGAATGAACATTGGATGCCCGAGGAGGAGGGATTGTGATTGCGGGGCTTTCCCATGACGTTGAGGCTACCGTGAGCAAAAAGCGGTGCTATCATCGAAAACCTTTGAAAGCGATAGCTAACATCACATTCTCCGCCCCGCTGAACAGCTGGAAGACGAGTTCAACATCGAGATCCCCGACCGGGACGCCGAGGAGATCCTGACTCCCCGACAAGCAGCTGACAAGGTAACGTCTCTTACACCTCATCCCCATGATCACACATTCACGCAGCGGTTCTAATTCCGCTGTCCAACAGATCTTCAGCAACAAAAACGCCATGTAGATTGCCCCTTTTCTTCGATTACATGAATAAACTTACGGCACCCTTTAGCCTTACCTCCTGCTCTTTCCGCCCCTCCCGTGCACACCATCTCTTTGAATATCCGTTTGTGAATATATATCCGCGGGTTCTCTCCCCTGTTTTTTTCCGACGTGAAGCAGTGTTGGCCGAGGTACTCTCCCCATGGGGCACACGCAAAAAGACAGAACGGCTAGAACCCATCCGTACGGACACAGGGCGGTATTGGCTGCTGATCCCACACCAACATGTCATTTCTACAAGCTACACCGGGGGTCACAGTTCCGCCCCGCCGTTTCACAACGTTTACTGATTTCAATTTTTGACTACATATCATACCACACCATCTCAAGAACAGAAAATACGCACAGTACGCCGTAAGAAAGAAAAGTTGTCCGCAAACTAAACCCCACTGTCTAGCTAATATCAACCGTCCGAGTCCATATTGTCCGGGGTGTATGTCCATTCCCTTCTACCCAAATGTTTGAGAAGACGGCATACCTATTCGTCGACGACTTCCACATCATTCCACACCGCCTCGTCATACCACCACGAATTGCGGACATTCTTGCCGCTGGTCGTCGAGAGCGCCGCAGAATGTGCGCGTGCGCGTCGGTCCCTTCCAGACCCACTCCCATTCCCATCATCCGCCGGGTTATACGACTCCTGGGTGGTCGTCGGCTGGTCTCCCGGGTGGTAGTAATCGTCGAAGTAGTAGTACTCGTCGGTGTCGGACTGGGCGGTCTGGTCGGCGGCGGCGACGACGAAGGTGCCGGGGCGGCGGATGGGGTGGATGTGGAGGGGTGGTTGTTGTTGTTGTTGCTGGTGTGGGTGGTCTCTGTTCGTCAGATGGTGGTGATGCCGGTGTTGATCATGTTGGTGATGTGGAAGCGGGTGTTGTTGGCCTTCGACATCATCCCCGCTCAACAGATTCGTCGAACTGACCCCCGCAAAGGTAAACCAGCTCATGCGTTTCTTACTCAACAATGAGAACCTGTTTTTCTTGCCCGTGTTGCTAGAATCCTGCGTGGAGTAGGTCAGCGGGCCGATGGTATCCGTCGGTGGGTGTTCGTCCGGAGAAGAGGCGGGGGCGGTGTGGGTGGAGAGGGCGGAGAGGGAGCCTGGGTGGCGGTCGGTGTCTGTGGAGGTTGAGCGCGGGGTGTATGTGTTGTTGTTTGTGATGGGGTTGGAGCCATTGAGAGACGCCTTGCGCCGCGGGGGGACGGGGGGCATAGGGGGCGCGGGTGAATTGAACGGGTGGGTGGTTTTGCCGACGAAGGAGACGCGGCGGTTCTTGTAGGCGGCGGCTGGGTCGGTGGTGGAGCTGGAGGATTGTTGTCGGGAATGGCTGGAGGGGTAGTATTGGCTTTGATCCGGGAAATACGAGTTCTGCTGATGATGGCGGTGGGGAGAACGCATCGGCGAGCGCGGTGACGGGGATGGGGGCGGGGTCTGCAGGACGCTCATCTCCACGCCGCCGTTCAGGGGCACATTGGGCTCGCTTTTAGATCTAGCTCGCGAGCTCGCCCCGCCGTATCCTACGGTATGCGAGCGGCTCGGGAACGGTCGGTAGGCCAGACTCTCACCACCACCACCGGCCGAGTTCGCACTGTAAGGTCCGATTGAGATCCTCGACATCCGCTTATTGTGCACGCTCAGTCTATGCTCTCTACCGCTCGGCCCGCCGCCATCTGTACCCAACTGCATCGACATTTTCCGCTGGTCCAGCACTTTCCACGACACCGGAGTGGTATTCCGTTTCGATACCCACGCAGCGAGAAGCGAGCCAACTGCAACCAGTAGAGTCGCTATACCTAGTGCAAAAGCGGCGGAATAGCCGCCGTTCCCACGGAGCACACCTGAAAAGTGCGCGAGGTCGTCGCTGGCGTCGAACCATGGTGCTTGCAATTTTCCGACTGGGGAGGGTGTTGAAGGCGAGGCAGCCTCTGCGGCGGCGTCTTTGAAGGGAGTGGGTTGCTTGTAGATAGGGACTGTGAGAGGTGTGATAGGAGGAGTTGCTGTTGGGGTCGGTGGTGTGTTCGGGAACCCAACGAGCCTGAATGACGTTGGCACGGCTTGCGGAAGCGGGGAGAATATGGTGGTGGTTGTGGCGGATAGCGGCGTTATTGTTGGTGTAGGCGGAGCTGCGACGGCTCGGGAGGTTATATGGAAGAATGGCTCGAGGGTGTCGACTGGCGGGGGGATGACAACTGGTGGCGGCACTTGCCGTTTTCTGAGCAACGGCATCCCTGACAGAGGGAGTGTGCGTTCGCCGCAGGAGGAGGAGGAGGACGAGGAGGAGGAGGAGGAGGATACGAAGCGAGGGGAATGGAAGGCGATAGATAGAGACGACGACGACGACGAAGGCTGATGCTTCAGTTGGCAGGAATACGTAGTAGCAGTGGGACGGACCCTTGGACGTGGGGTGGGTGGGGGGCGTGCAAAGTGGCGGCGGGTGAGAAATGGGACGAGCGGCCGAGGGCAGTCAGTCACAGTCAGTCACAGTCAGTCACAGCTGAGTCACAGAGAGAGAGAGAGACAGAGACACGAAACTTCGGCAAGTCGAACGGCATTGTTTTTTTCCCACGCAAACAGCATGAAAACCCAGCAGACGTATGATAGGTTCACAGCCGTTGCACGCGGGTCTAGCGCAATCTCCACACTAAGGCCGGTCTTCAGACGTCATGCCGGTTCGTGCTTGCTCTTTGACCGTCTTCTGGACTTCTTTCTCATCCACGATTGCCTACAGGAAGAAGGAGGCAATCTATAATTCCCACGCGTAGTGAACGTCAAATCTCGGATTCAAAAAATACACTTCGCACAGGGAACATCGCCCACAGGCTTCTTCAGTCAATTACTCCTCCTCAGCGCCCGACGCGGGAACTCCAGCTAACACACGATCGATTAACGAGAACACCGACGAAGGAACTTTGGACAGGTTCTCGAACAAATGCAGCTAAACCTCGAACATATCGCACAATAGATAAACGGCCATATAAGGTCCTGGTTGCCCCTAGACTGCGGAACGACTACTACAATGACCTTGTCGATTGGTAAAGGTGCACCGTAAGATCAAATACGTCGACCTGTTCAGCTCATGCCTCGACTGTAGGTCTGCATTGAACATTATTGCGGTGGGATTGCAGGAAGCGGTGTATTTATGGGACAAGGTGCGATTCCAAGTTGCGAGCCTGCATGCGCTCTGGTACCTGATACTTTTCAACGTACAGAGTACGGAAGTACATCACAAGCTTTGGCAGACACACCTCCCGGATTACATCAGCTCCTGCAAGTTTTCGCCAGATGGGACCAAACTGGTCATTGGAACGTTCCATGGACGTTGCGAAGTTTGGGCGATCAAAATGGATAATATGCGGGGCTCTCGCTGTATCGCACGCATCCAGCATCGGAGCGGTGTGACTGCTCTGGCGTGGGGAAAGACAAAAGACGGAAGCGTTATCCTGAGCACAGGCGATAAAAGTGGAGTCATCAGGACTTATAGCACGACTGCGAGAGCATCAAATTCCCGCCACGGAAGCCCTGCAGATTCAACTCTAATGAGCCCTGGTACACCTACTCCCATCGGCAATAGTTCACCCATCTCAAGTGCTTCCGGGAATGGAGACTTCGTCTTGATGCAAACGTGGAGAGGATTCCATACCGGTAGACTAGTTAGCTTGAAGTGGGGCGACGGAGTCTTGGCTAGTGGTGGGAACGATTACCGGCTCTGCTTCTGGAACCTCGGTTCTGATGCGCCCAAACGTATCATTCACGACAACAAGTCGGCCATCCGAGGTCTCGATTGGTGCCCATGGGATCGGAATCTCCTCGCGGCGGGATGTGGACGAGATGACCGTCGCATTCGCGTATATAACTCTCAAGGTGTGGCTGACAGTCAATAGCAACTTTCATTCGCCGGAGAGCGGGGTTTACTTCCCTTTCATTTGCATCTTACCACACACAGGGGACCTGCAAACCGAAATTTATACCGGTTCTCAAGTCTGTTCCGTACACTGGTCTAAAAACTTCCGCGAACTGGTCTCCACTCAGGACGACATGGACCAGCAAATCGTCATCCGGAAATGGCCCTCGCTGGAACCCACCGCGACGCTCTCAGGACACCGCAAGCGGCCGCTGTTCACCGCCATGAGTCCCAACGGCGAGGATCTCTTGACCGGTGGGGGCGACGAGGAGTTGAAGTTCTGGAAGTGCTTTGCTGGGAAGCCGCGGTGGAAGGTTGCCACGGATGGGAAGGAGAATAGACTCATGGCGATGGATTTGCGGTAGTAGCCCAGAATGTAGATAGCGCAAGAGACCTATTCTAGAGGTCTCAAAGTCAACGAAGAATCTCTGGTAGTTGCCTGAATGCAAAATCTATTGTCCGTGACGCTGAATGTTCGAATCTACGAGGAAGTCAAGGCGTTTATGCTGTATACGGGGTATAAAGATAAAGGCTATGATATAGTGACTGGGCGATTTCCTACACGTAAGGAAACGTTTTCCACGCCCTGATCCGTAACCGTAAAATGATACTCGAAATTATTCTCCACCGCAAAGAACGTCCCCTTTTTCAAATCCAGCGGCTTCAACTCCCTGATCATATACATCCTCGTCTGGAAGGACGAGTGTTCCGAGAAGTTTGTGCCGGGAATCTGGTGCCTTTTGTAGAGCAAGGACGTGCCTTCTACTTCAAGTGTGAGTGTGCCTCCTTCACCGTAAACTCCGGCGAACTTTTGTAGGTCGGCTTCCGTGGCCGGGATGCCTTTCAGGGATTTCGGGAAGCCGTCCTCGGGAAGCGTTTCGCCATGCGCCACGCGACTCAATGTCCAGGCAAAGGTTTTGATGTTGCTCATCTCGGTGTTTGCGAGAATCATCAAGTAGATGCCAGAGTCGAGGTACGCGCGGTGGCTAGAGTAGAACCCCTCTGTGGCCCCGTCGGTGTTGATGAACAGGCCCCAAGGGCTGGAGTCACGGCGCAGACCGCAGCCGTAGTAGGCCTCGGGCCCATACTCGAGGAGCTGGCTTGGGTCCTGAAACAAGAGGTCTCGCGACTGCTCAGACAGTACCGGTGACTGGCCTTTTGGGGCGAAGATGACCGCTCTTGCCCATTTCTCCATGTCCCACACGGTTGAGACGAGGCCTCCGGCGCCCCGCGCAGTGTCCATGGATAGTACGTATTCGCATTTGCGCCATTGCGCAGTCTTTCCGTACGATCGGCCTATCCTTCGGTCGAAATTGTAGCCCGTAGCCAGGCCTTTTACTGACGCGAAATCCTCCTCTAACAAAGTCGATGTCAGGCCGGCCGGCTTGAAGCAGAATACGTCCATGAGCTCCGATATGTCCAGCCCGGTCACCGTCTCCAAAATGTGGGTCAGGACGACGAAGTTGGAGTCGCAGAACTCGAAGCTGGCACCTGGCTCGAATCGAAGCGGTATGTTTTTGATACGATCTATAATGTCCCTCTGCCCGTTCTTGGTGGGTAGGTGCTTGGTGTCTTCGTAATCGTCCAGATTCACGTAATCGGTGAGACCGGTGGATTGGTTCATGAGGTGCTGCAGGGTGATCTTGGCAGCCGCTTCCCTGGGGAAGTATGGGTCTTCCTCGTTCTTGTTCAGATACTCGTCGACGGTTCCATCGATTTCCAACCGTCCGTCTTCAATAAGGCGCAGAGCAACGACACACGTAAACTGCTTCGAGTTAGAAGCGATTCTGTACTTGCAATCGGGCGTGTTGGGGACGTCGAATTCCCGATTGGCGAAGCCGTATCCCCGAGCTAGGAGGATTTCGGTTTTCGCAGAAGGGTTGGCGGGGTCGCGGCGAGTTACGATGACCGAGCCCTGAAACTTGTGAACGTCCGCCCAAGCACGACACAGGTCGTCGAGCGTCGCGGTGAGGGGTGAACTTTCCATCTTTGCGGGAATCGGAGAGGATGCGGATAAGTTCGTCGACGTTGGGAGTTTGGAATGAGTTACGATGGGCAACCTTCAGAACCAGCCGCTATTTGAGTACAGTACACCCCGACCTGCAGCTTCTCCTCCTCCCTCACTGCGACTGCTTGCCTGCGGCCCGTCCGCGGCCCAGTGGCAGTGGGCGAGTCCCATCGTGGAAGCTGCCAGCACCACTTGGCGGACGGACGGAGAGTGGACGGAGAGGGAAAAGTTGCATGCGGTCAAAAGTGGTTGTGTCAGTCGATGGCGGTCGCGTGGCGCAGCAATTGAGCGTCTCCTCCGGAACTTTGGAAACGTCTGGCCGGCAGGCAATACCTCCGCATTATTCACTTCAGCACAACAACGCTCTATCATCATTGCGGTATTGACCTGCGACTGGTGCGACTTCAACTCGCTGCTCTGTCTGTTGCTGACCTCCTTGCGCGCTTGGTCTTTGACATATTCAGCCTGGTAACGAGCATCGGTGCCATCCTAGAGTCCAACGCCACCGCGTTCCAATAGTGCTCAATAAACTCCAAAGGAGCTCCCCGGAACCCCTGCCGTGAGCGACAGCTTTGGTAGATCAGCGCTCTGGGTTCCTCGTTCTTTGAAAAATGGATGACTTAGGGGACTTGGCGTGGAAATCCCACGGTTTCGCTGCCAAGCCCTCCGTTCGCAACAATGCTACAGGCAACTCTACCCCGCTCAATCAATTAGGAGCGGGCTCAACGAATCCTGCGCATGCAGGCATTGGTGGAGCCAATGCGGGAATACGGAACAACGCAACTCCGCCATCATTCTCTCCATCGGCATCTTCGTCGACGACGCCACGCATGGCGTCTGCGTCAGCAGGCTTTGTTCCTCTTTCGAGCAATCAGCAGTTTGGGAACGTGGGAAGCGGTGCGAACAATCCTACGGCCGGAATCAAGTCGTTCACGTCGCTGTCATCTCAATCTGGTGCATCTGCGTCGCATAGCAGGTCAGCATCTCCGCGACCGCCAGCCCCGACAGGGTCAGGAGATGTTTTCGGAAATCTGGTTTCCTTTGGCGGAGCTTCTGCTGCACCGAAGCAGACGCTGGGGAACATGACGATGGATCAGCAGCGTCGAGCCCAGGAACAGCAAAAAGCTGGGTATTCACAGCCTCAGCAAGTGCAGCAGCAGCAATCGGGGTTGGGATCCTTGGGCAATTTTGGGGCAGGGGGAGGATATGGTTCCGGCGTGAGCTCTGGACGAAACAGCGGAACGGCCACGCCAAACCTATCTCGAGCGTATGGAGGGTCGGGTGGAGTGGCATCTGCACAGAACGCGTTGCCAAGTAAAAACGACTTCGCTGATTTGTTTAGCGGCCGCACCGCGCAGCCTGCGGCACCCACTCCATTAGGAAGTGGTCTAGGAAAGCCCTTGCAGGCAATGGGAAACAAAGCGTCGCAAGCTTCACAACCAGCAGCTCAATCAAATGACGCATGGAACTTGGATTTCTTGGCGTCCGGAGGGGCAAGCGCTGCCTCTAGCACCATGAACAACGGTCCTGGCAAACCCCATTCGGACGATCCGTTTGATTTGGAATTTTTGGGAGCCCAATCTAGAAATGGCACGCCAGCAAGCGAGCCCGTGGCGTCGCTACCAGGAATCAGTGGCGCGAAAAGCCACACAGCAGATGACGATAACTTCCTGGGTCTTTTAGGACGGCCGGTTTCGGAAATGCCAAAGCCAAAACCTGCGCCTCCGCCTGCTCCTGTGGCGGCACCAATACCCCAGCAGGCTTCATCCGCCAGTCATTCCCGCGCGTCCTCCGTCCCGGTATTATCTAAGCAGAGTGCCGAATCTACTTCCCTCGATTTCGCGATAGCTCAGATTCTCGACATGGGCTTTGACCATCAAAGCGCTCGAACCGCCTTGGAAGCGACCGGCAATGATGTCACCGCCGCCATCGATTTATTGGTTCAAAATCGCGAAGCTCAACAAGAAATCAGAGAGCATCCCGATTCCGCGAGAGGCAAACCTGCAGCCTCGAGACAACAGCCTCAACAGCCGTCCCCGTCCCACGCGCATCGAGTTACCAAGTTCAAAGATGATTATGAGGACGAGTCGTCAGACTCAGATTACCCCGGTTCAGGAGCGCGGCGAGGAAACAGGTCGGCAATACCATCTTCTCGTGCGGACTATCAACATGCTCGCGAGTCCAGTGCCGGATCGAGTAACGCCAGTGCTGGTCTGACCCAAGAGAAGCTTGTGCAGACTGCTAGTGCGATTGGAACGTCTGTGTTCAAAAATGCCAAATCTATGCTGAATTACTCCAAGCAGAAAATTACCGCGGTTGTTGAGAAAGCTCAGGCGGAGTTGGATGCCGCCTCTTCTGGCGCAAGACCGAGACAGCAGCAAAATCGTCGGGGTGGATATGACGACGAGTATGACGATGGCGACCAGGAGGCCGAACGGCGATACTATGAGTCAAAGGAGCGGGAAGGACATCAGAGGGACGACAGTGACGAGGAGGACAATGCCCCTGGGAGGGGTCAATCTCCGAGGTTGCAATTCAAGGATGAGGGAGACGACGGATCATCCCGCTCCAAGTCTTCACAACAGCAACAGCAGCAGCAGCAGCAATCTCCGCGTTCACAGCAGCAAACAAATCATTCGGCGCCGCAGAAGGAGTTCCGCTCATCCCCATCCCACCAGCAGGCCTCACAGCACGTCACCAGCCTCTCCTTCGCGGCCCAGACCTCCCCAGCCCCCGTCCGCCCTCCCGCCGCCGCCGCCCCAGCACCAGCCCCCCGCAAACCAACCCCACCACCAGCCGTCACCGCCACCCCCCAACAACTCGAACAATCCAACCTCCACAAAGAAGCTGGCAACGCCCACTTTAAACAAGGCCAATTCGGCGACGCCGAAGAATCCTACACTCACTCCATCAACGCCCTCCCGGACCTGCATACCAACCTCACCGCCCTCTACAACAACCGCGCGGCCGCACGACTCAAAACGGGGCATTACCGGGAAGCCGTCGAAGATTGCACTTACGTACAGCGCATGGACGCGAAGGATCTCAAGAGCCTGTTGCGCCGCGCAACGGCGTGGGAGGCGCTGGAGAAGTGGGAGAATGCGAGGGATGATTATAAGGCGGTTATGGCGATTGATCCGAGTGTGAAGGCGGCGAGTACCGGGTTGGCGAGGGCGCAGAAGGCGCTGAAGCCGTTGAGTGAGAGTACCCCCGCTGTGGTGGCGCAGAGTGCGGCGACTGTGCCGGTTGTTGCGGCGCGGAGTGCGTTTGCAGACTTTGAGCAGCCTGTGTCGAAGTAAGTCAACTTTATCATGCAGAAGCCCAACTACATGGCCACGATCCTGACGAGTCCTTATTTCTGTAGGCCCATGGACCCATATGTCGCGAACGCCGTCAACACAGCAGTCGCCAAGCTACGGGAACAGAACGAGGCGGCGGAAAACGAAGAGAACATGAAGCTTGCGCTCAAAGATCAAACGGACGATTTGGTAAGAGTCCCAGTTTCACATGACCGCACGATCTCGTTTGACAACGTTGCTAACCCACCCCACCCTCTCCTTATTCAACAGATCAACCGCTGGCGCCGAGGCAAAGAAGACAACCTCCGCGCCCTTCTCTCCTCCCTCGACACTGTGCTCTGGTCAGAACTCAAATGGACATCCATCAACCTGTCCGAGCTCATCACGCCGCAGCAGGTAAAGATCAAGTATATGCGCGCTGTTGCGAGGGTGCATCCTGATAAGGTAAGACATTGCGGACACGACGGCGTTTTGCGAAAGGCGCCTGTGCTGAATAACAATTCCCTTATATGATGCAGCTGAGCCAAGACGCGACAGTCGAACACCGACTGATCGCCAACGGCGTGTTTGGGACACTGAATAAGGGTTGGGACGCTTTCAAGGCGCAGAACGGCTTGAATTGAAAGGGAAAAATAGCTCATAATATCGATATCCACCTTATTCATCCCACCATTTCTTTACTTTTTTGGATATGCGCAACACGGCTCCGATTATCATTTGCGGCATTCTTCTCTCTTGCATATTCATGCGTTCTCTTCGAGGGTTTGAAAGAATAGATGGTATAGAAAGCTTGGCGTTTCAGAGCAGTAATTGATGCAGTATGCCGTACGTTTCCAGAAGAAAGCAGTCCATGAAACCAAAGGTGCCACCAACCGCAACCCAATAAAACCGAGAAGGTTCGCTACAAGATACTCATGGAATTGTCCAAAAAATCGCATCAAAATGCCAGCGAAAAAGAAATCTAACAAATGCCAAATACGCCTATGCCTGACTACTCGGTGCGGTCCCAGGGCCGCGCGCAGAGCATGCCACGCTGTGTTCCAGAAGAAGTAGCATTAAGCGAAACCGTTGGGCGTCACATCCAGCCGTTATGGCAGACCATGAATAACTCACAATTTCACCCGTTCCGCCTCCAAGATATCTCCACCATCGAGTTTGAAGGTCGGCCGGTCCACCACGAACGTCCAGACGTCGTCGCAAAAACGGTATTCGCGGAGATGGCCCTGGGTTACCCAACAAGGGCAAGTCAGAAGGTGCATACAATGCTGACTTCTCTCCAGGGCTTTATAAGTTTGTCACCCCCAACCTTTATATGTGTCTTCGCCCGGACTTTTGAATGCAGAGCTTCTCCTATGGTTACGTCAAACTGTGGTGGGAATGAAGTCAGTAGGAAGAGAATTGAACTTTCCCTGGGTCCAGCCTGCGTAAATAAGAGCCTCCTCAAAGTCACTGGCAAGCAACAAAATTGCCTGCTCCCTGCACTCCTCCTCACCCCCTCGCTAAGGCCTCCATGAAAGTATAAGGCTATGCATGAACCTACCTGCTGCAGCACCTTAATAGCAACCTGCGGGTCCAAATGCCCTTCCTGGATCAAGTCGTCTAAGGTGTCGGTCAGGGCGAGTCCGAGTGACGACCGCCGGTATAGCTCATACTGCGTGGCCATTGTCGAAGCTGCCGACACCCAGTGTTGTATGTGGTGAGTGTGGGTGCAGATAATCCCTTTCTCACAAGGGTCTATATATGCTGATGAGTGTGGGGAAGCATGCGGGGAAGGGCAAAGAAGTGACGCAGCTCAGGGGGAGACGGACGCGTTTGGGGAACTGATGGAAGGTTGTGAACTGCAACATTTGCGAACATTGCCACCGTGAGAGTAGCAGCACATGCAACCATAACAAAGCAGGCCCAACACAACAGCCCAATGGAAAACGGAGCGGCAGTCGCCCAGACCCCAAGTCCAGCCCCGGCAACGATGACAGCAACAGCGGATACGCCCGCGGCATTGGCTTTACAACGCCATACCTGCTATGATCTCTTACCCGTCAGCTACAAGGTCATAGTCCTCGATACGTCGCTGCCGGTTAAGAAGGCGTTGGCGGCTTTGTTGCAGCATGGTATGGAATGTCTGTTAGTAGCATAAGTATTATGACGGCTACTTACGAACGTTTTGCTGTTAGGTGTGCAGTCGGCGCCGTTATGGGATTCGTCGGAGATGAAGTTTGCTGGCATGTTGACTGGTATGTGGAATGTTCAGAGCCCGCGACCAGCTCTGACGATGATGGATATTGATTTTAAAGCCTGGCAGTAACGGATTTCATCAACCTGATACGATACTACTACGACCACGCATCCTACGACTCGGCGCTGGAGGAAATCGAGCAGTTGCTAATATCAGGATTACGAGGTTCAGAAGGATTACCTGCTCTACGATCCTCGTGAAGGCTTCACTGACACCAGCGCTTCCACCTCAACAGAAATCCAACGAAAAATGGGCTCCCTTAAATCACGGAATATTTCAATACATCCCATGCAGACACTCTACGAAGGTGCGAGGATGTAGCCCCGATTCGCATTGATCTATCTTGAGAGAAGCTCACAATCCTCATCTACAGCTAGTCAGATGCTCCTAAACGATCACCTACATCGCCTGCCGCTTGTCGATCGGCATGAGAACCAGGAGACGATAGTGTCGGTGGTGACGCAGTATAAGATTCTGAAGTACTTGGCTGCAAATGTGAGGATTGGGTGAGATGGGCACCATTGTTTATCGTGCTCGTTTGCGTTCTTTTCGATTGGGCGGTTATGGACCCTTTTGGCTGAACAGCATTTGCCATCTGATCAGGCACCAGCAGTGACGCGGCTAGCAGTAACGTTGGGGCAACTCGGCATCGGCACCTTCAAGGATTTGGCGACGGCTACGGCATCGACGCCGCTTATACAAGTTTTGAATTTGTTTATGGATAGGCAGATATCTGCGGTGCCTATTGTAGATGCTGAAGGTAAAACTTGCGCGCTTGTAACACTTGGTGATGCAGATACTTATCAATGGACGGTTGGCAGGGATGGTGCTGGATGTGTATGAGAAGTATGATGTGCTGGTACGTGGGGACGAGCGACGTGGAAATGGACCATCAGACGAACAGAATTCTCACCGAGACCGCGCAGATGCTTGCACGGGAAGGCGCCTATTACGATCTAGAGATGCCCGTCAGCGAAGCACTAGTAAAACGAGCACCGGTAAGGACCGCCCATCCTCCCTCCAGAATCCGCACCTTCCCCATATCTAGCCCTCATCTCGCAACCCCCTCCACGCCCCCTCCAACCAGGACTTCGAAGGGATCCACACCTGCACACTCAGCGACACCCTCGGCCACGTCCTCGAAACCATACGACGCATGCCAGTACATCGCTTCATCGTCGTGGACCAAGGGAAGCTGCAAGGGGTGGTGTCGCTGAGCGATTTGCTGCGGTACCTCCTCTCGCATTGAGAACCTGGAAAGTGACCAACTTTCAAGTTTTCGGGCTGGGATCATTTGACTCGAGACATCGCAGATCCTTTGTCTTTTTTGTATATATTCTTGTACCCTTCCGATTTTCTTTTTTGCTGCCACTGTGAATATGCATATGGCTTAGGGATGTACCTCAAGAGGGCGTACGTTCGGCGTGGTGACAGTGTTGCCTTCATCAAAACGCTCTCTTCCAAAAGCATTATAATGCTGGGGATCGCACAATGAATCGTTGTTTGCATGATTTTCATTTGTACTATTCTCCTCCTCTTCGAAAGCCCAATGGGTATTTTCTCTAACACAGATATGCCTAAGTTCAGTGGGATAGTTCGTCTCATCATCTATTCCTCAGCTGGTGCAGCGGCGACGGGCTCCTCCTTCTTCAGGCCGTCCTTGTAAAACAGTTTCTCCCCTCTCCGTGCTCCCATCGGTTGCACCTTGTTCTGTTGAGAGCAGAAGGCAGGGAGAGTAAGTGTGTGCGTCGGGACGTTGGTTGAGCGACACATAAACCGAATAGCCTGCTGGGTTGGCTGGCGACGAGAGTTTTGGCCTCGCCGGCCCTTTCTGTCGTCTGAGCACCAAGCGCTAGCAGATGCCCGCGATTGCTCGCTTCGTTCGCAAAAATACGAACGTTCGATATCGCCCACACACCCTTCCTCGCCTATTCTCAACCATTTCGTTGGCCCAACGTCCACCCTCCCTCCATCTCGACCCTTCTCCGTCAAACTTTCCCTCCCCAGACAAACACCCACCATGTAAGTTGAAGATCCCCAGTAAAAGAACCCGGGAATGACAAGAGTCAGGATAATCCCGAAAGCCGCGGTACGACGGTTGAAGCGGTAGTAAGCGTGAGTGGATTCCTTCATATGATACCATTTTTCTGCAGAGTCAAAGCCCGGTTAGAGACCTCCCAAGGTGAGATATAGAGGGTGTTACTGGTCCATACCTATTGCCGGGTCGATCTAGTTATCGTGAAGAGAGAACAGGTTTGCAATCGAGAGACTCGTCAGTACAACAAGGTAGAGAGGCGTGTTTTCGCCATAGGAATCCTCCGCACTGAGTGAGAGGGGGAACATACCAAGAGAGCGGGGTATTTTCCGTGGCCACCCATGTTTGCTCTGCTGGGAAGGTGTTGAAGTTGAGAAAACGGTCTATACGTGGTTTTGTTGTGGGTCTGATTGCGTCGTCCTGGGTGCAAGTTGCAGGTCACAGTCAGAACCTGCAGCGCAAGTCACAGCGCAAGTCAGCAGTGCGCGCTTTCCCCCAACTGGTCCCTCTGTTCCCGAAAGCCACAGTCTAACTTCCTTACTCTATAGGACTCCTTTGGCACGGGCATTATCTCCCGTTCACATACACACTCTCCCTCTGCTTCTGAATACCGGCTACGGGGCTGGCATCGGGTTCTGGTGGCACCTTGCTCCGGTTCGTCTCAACGTACACAGGTGGAATACAAAAGGGAAATTGCAAAAGTCCCACTTTCCACGTGCATATAGGACATAACTTCCAGGGACAGCTACTCCGAAAGGCCAGATCACTCAGTTGTGAAGCAGTGGCGTAGTCAGTGAATTCAGGACTGTCTCGCAACTCCTCTGCATATTCCATAAGCCCGTATTCGCTCCCAATGGCTAGTTCGTCCAGCTCGGCAATGGAGGACACCTCCTCCTCGTCAAGTTCAACGAGGGCGGGAAGAACCGAAAGCGAGAGGCTCCAGGCGGTCCTGGACTCTCTTGTACATACCGCCACCATCTTCTCCTCCGGAAAGGGCATCAACTCTGAGGAAGAACCCGAACGACGGCTGTTTGACGCGGAACTTGGGAGGATTCTTGCTGACGACGGGATAAGTGTCTCTGACAAGATAGACTTCGTCACCGAGTTGGCGCAGACTTGCTTTGGAGCCGGTTGGGAGGCGAATCCGGGCGCTATTGCGGCTGGAAGGGATGGTCGCGATGATCCCGGAAAGAGGAAGCGCAAGAGATGCACTTCCTCTGCGTCGGTAAGTTTTAGTGTTGACGTTCGCACTTTTTCGAGCAATCAACTAATCATGCCCACAATTACAAAATGTAGGAACAAGGGAAACGCCGATCAAAAGCTTCTGGGAAGCGACCAGCGGACTCGTCATCATCACGCATTGTCCCATGTCCCATGTTCATGCAAGAATGCCCCGAAGATCTCCTCCTGTACGTATTCTCGCATCTGGACGCGCCCTCCCTATGCCGAGCCTCGCAAACCTGCCGCTACTGGAAAACGCTCACGGATTCATTCGAGACGTCACTTTGGACAACCATGACCCGCCGCGAATGGGGCCTGTCGGATCCCAACCCGCTCGGGTTGTCTTGGAAGGAGTTCTTCAAGATGCATTGGAATATACATCAGGGGACGTTTCGGGTGCATCAGATTGAGGAGAGCGTGTCGTCGTTTAGTCCGCTGACGAATGGTGCTACAGAAGTGTCGAGTCGGGATGAGACTGACGGGGCTGGGGTACATACACAGCTTCCAGGGACAGGGACAGGGACGGATGCTGAAGCGTCAAATTCGGCGTCAGATTCGACCTCCTACGGCGCGGAATCCCCACCACCTAAGCGGCGTTACGTCGCCGCATGGCCAGCTGACCCCATCAACGCCTATATCGTTGCCCTCGACGCCGAAACCTCCAGTCTCGCCTGGGTCGAAATCGAAACCGACGCCCTATGCATCTTCGTCTCCGCCCTTCTCCCCTCCGGCGTCATCTCCAAACCCCTCGTCCTGCGCGGGCACGAAAACCCCATAGGCCTGATTCTCTCAAACATGGAAGGGACCCTCGTCTCCTTCGACGACTCGTCCACCATCATCGTCTGGAACCTCGCCACCATGCAGTTCGAACGCGCCATCAATGCAAACGACGAGCTCGGTTTTATCTTCTCCATGAACATCCATAAACGCAAAATCGTGACCGGTGGGCAAAACGGACGCGTGATTGTCTGGAACGCCGATACTGGCGACTCGATCTGGTCCGTCGATGTGGATGAAAAGTACATCCACCGCCTCTCAGTGCAGAACCTACTCAATGTGGCAGTGTGGGGCGATCTGGTCGCGTATGGGATCTGGGAAGGCACGTTCTGGGTCGGGGATATGAAGGAAAAGAAGGAGGTTGCGAGGTTTCATGTGAGCGATATGAAGGAAAAGAACCGGAGTGTAGACGAACGCACGAGGGCTAGCTTTTTCCAGTTTATCAACGAGAGCTCGGCTATACTGGGGACGGCGGCGGTGAATTCGTTGTTGGCTAACGCGTGGAGTGGGTTGGAGGCCTCGCTGGGGACGGAGACGGCGACTATGTTGAATATGGTGGAGCTGATTGAACGGGGGCTGCAGACTTCGACGGGAGAGGGAGGGCCAGGGAGCAGCAGTAGCAGCGGTGGATCGGGAGGGTCGTCCAGCGCGGCTGGGACCGCAACTTCTTTGAGCAGGCTTCTCCAAGAAGCACTCTCGACAACATCTTCGGTCTCGATGCACGTGAACATCGGTTATGCCGAAGCAGGACAACCGGACGGACCACCCTCAAGCGCCTCTCCCTCGCATATGCCGGGTGGTAGCCCAGACACGAACGCCAACGCCAACGCCAACGCCAACGGGACAGTCGCCACCACTTTCCACCCCTGGAACCAACCCTCCACCGACAACGACGACGCGTCCTCCACCACCTCCATTTCCTCCGACGAAGCCGACGAAAACGACACCCCAGTCCCGCCCGCAAACCAACTCCCCACCGCCCTTGCCCCTTACGGCCCCCCTCTCGTCAACTACCAGCCGCCGCCCGCCCCCCAATGGGCCACCACCCCCCCAGACGCAACCCTCTACCCCATGACCCTCGCCCTCAACGCGCACATCCTCCTCACCAACGGTCCGCTCCCTAACCAGCTTGCCGTCTGGGACCTCCGCGCACCCCACAGCGGCCGCAACGGGCTCTACACCCTCGCCTCGGCCCGCAAACCGGGATCGGAGGCGCCGCATATCAAGTTTGCGGAGATTAGCAGGGACGGGAGTATGGTGTTTGCGTCGACGGCCAGGGAGCATATACCCGTGCTCGGGCAGGCACCGCCACAGGACCCGCCTGAGGCGATTGTGAGGACGAATGAGCTGTTGGTGTGGGATTACCGTGTGCCGGCTGTGAAGGCGAAAAGGAGGTTTGAGAAGGTTATGGTTGCGTCGTTCTTGGGGGAGGAGGAGGACGAGGCGGAGGAGAGGTTGGAGGGGCCGATTGAGGTGTGGGTTTGTTGGGATGAGGTTTGAGATTGGGATTTAGGGGCTTGCATTCATAGCTACCCCTGCCTTCATAGCTCAGGGTCCTCCTTCTGTTCGTACACCAAAATCACAAATTTTCTATCTGGCGCGACAACAGAGCAGATGTTGTTTGCCCTCCGCCTTTGAATTTCTAAAGGTTATGTACATGTACAATAGTAGGGTTATCGTTATCACATCCAAAAAAAAAGAACAATCGATAGCGAGATCCATCCCAAAAGAGAAATAATCCATAGTGACACCCTCATCGTTCTCCCCAAAAAAGTCTACATATACACCCGCACAACTCTATCCAACCCCGCAGCAACCAAAACCTTCCTCACAAGCACCCCCCCACCTTTCTTGAGCTCCCTCGCCTCAATCCACCTACACACATTCACATCTACCCCACAATCCAGCTTCTCCACTCTACCCGTATGCACTTTCCACACCACCACGCCGCCGGTCATTCCCCCACCATTACTCGATCTCCTCGCGGCCTCGGCACCGGTACCCTCAACATGGTTATCCCGTTTTATTCTTCCCTTGACATCCCACGTCCCGCAATACACCCACCCGCCACACGGACTGAACGCGCCGTCGACGCGGATGCCGGCGGGGATGGAGCGGGACTGGTAGATCTTGACGGTGGATGCCGTGAGGAGGTTGAAGAGGCGGAGTTGGTTGTCGCAGCAGATGAGGAGGTAGGTTGGGTGGGTTGGGTGCGGGGTGAGGGAGGTTATCGGGGTTTTGCTGTTTGAAAAAAAAAAATAGAGGGTATAAGTTCTGGCGTGTGTGACATGGAGAATGCGGGAATTACAAACAACATACTTAGCCTTCAAATCCCCCAATTGAATCGTATGCAGCAGCGTAGTAGTCCTAACGCGATAAATCCTAATCGAGTAACTCAAACTCGCCACCAGATTCATCTGATTCGGTTCACCGGCGTTGCCCACAAACACAAACGACGTGAACGGTTCGTTCGCATGCACGGATGATTCTACGGCTCCATTCGTTTCTTCTATCGAGAAGATCTTGATGGACTGGTCGCCTGAGCATGTGGCTGCGCGGTCGTAGTCGCCGCCGGGGACAACGGACACGCGGAAGATGATGCGGGTGTGCAGTTTCTTCCATGTGCGGAGGACGGTGCCGGTGCGCCAGTCCCAGAGTTTGACGTCGAATTCCATGTCGGCGGAGAGGAGGAGGTAGGGTGATTCCGGGTGGAAGACGAGACAGGTGACGGGTTTACTGGTCCCGTTTTCCAATTGTGTGAGGAGGGAGCCTGTGCGCGCGTCCCAGATGGAGATGCGTTTATCGGAGCGGTCGTGGGAGCCGGCGGTCGCGGCGACGATTTGGCCCGTTTTGGAGACGCTTGTTACGTCGAGGGCGCGGATCTCGTTGAGGACGGGCCCGCAGGTTGTTGAGAGGGCGAAGTCGGCGGAGGACAAGTGGGTGGGCGGTGGGGGAAGGTCGGCGTCGGGGTCTTTGAGGAAGGAGTGGGAGTGAGAGGTGTGAGTGCTGTGGCGGTCGGGGTCGGCGGCGCTTTGGGTGTCGTGGGTGTCGCGGGGTGGTTTGCCCTCGCCTTGGGTGGATCTCCTCCGGTTTTTGGGGCCGGACCCGTCGTGTTGGGTATCGTTCTTTTTTGCGGGTGAGGCTGATGCCTGTGCTTGCGCGTGAGATGCGGCGGGAGCCGCGCCTGGAGAAGTTCGTTTCACTCCGCGCGAGTTTTTCGGTGGCGTGGTGAGCAAATCTGGAAGTTCGTCGGCGGTAGGAACCCGGGCTGATCCGTTTGCGCCCTCTTCTTGTTTGGGTAGCTGCTTCGAACTTTTTTTCCGAGATCGTGCCGTGCCTTTGTGATTGACTCCATTCACCGTCCCTATCTCCGCATCGGCGGTTGACTCGCGACTCACAGCCTTCTCCAACGGCGGCCCCAGACTCCTGTGCCCATCACCCGCATGCCCCTCCTCCATCTCATCCAACAACTTCCTAGCCCTCCGCCAATTCCGACTCGCCAGCACAACACTCTCCAACCTAATCTCCTCATCCTCCTCCCCAACCTCATCATCCATGAAAAACTCTCCCAACGCGCGCGCAAACAACGGCTCGCTGCTCCGATCCGGTGGCACCTCTTCTCCTGCCATTGGTTGTGTCCCGCTCGAGTTGCTGACGTACAGCCGCCTCCACCGCTTCCCAGCCTCCCAAAACGTCGTAAGCTCATCATACCATTGCAAGTCCACATACGGATTCGTCTCCTTATCACCCTGCTCACTCAACAGCTCCAGGAGTAACCCCAAATCCTTCGCAAACCACTCCCCGCGCCCTTTACTCGCCCCCGCCACCTCCCGCTCGACTTTCGGTTTCAGTAGGGTGTCCAAAACCTTCTGCGCGGTGGGTGTGTCGTCGCATTGCACGAGATGGATGAACCAGTATTTTGCAAGCACAAAGGCTAGGTCTTCGAATGCCGCTTTATGCTGCTCGTCGGTATCTTTGACCGGGGATTTCGATTTGGCCACATCCCGCACAAGCTGCACAGCCTCCCCCATCCGTCTCGCATCGAGGTGCCGGCGGAGCACCAGGCCGCGGGATACATTGCCTATTGTTCCCTTTTCGCGACAGAGGGCGAGGACGACGTTTGCGAGGCCGGCTGTTTGGGCTTGGTCGGTTAGGATGAGGGCGACGAGGTGTGGGGGGACGGGAGGGGCTGTTTCGGGGGAGGGGAGGTGGGTGAGGGCTTGGAGAGGGGTGTGGGATGAGGTGCGGAGGTTTTGGAGTTGTTGTTCGAGAGCTGCTATTTGGGCTTTGAGTTCTTGTTCGCGGTTGAGGGCAGCTGAGAGGGCTGCGGCGTCACAGGGATCGGAGATGTTCGTGTCGTCTGTGGTGTCTGGAGGTGAGTGTTCGGCTGCTAAAGCGATGCTGCCTGGACGGGTAGAACCCATTCCTGTAGAGGCCTCTCCTCTGCTATGGCCATTGCGGGCAGGTCTCGAGTGCGAAACCTTAGCTGCAGATCTGTCCACTTTAGTCGGGGCGGATGCAGAGGGTGATAGCAGTTGCTGTTCCTTCCTCGGACCCCTTGTCTGAGGCTCGAAATCAGCGCCCGTGGATATCTTCCTGGGATGCGAATTACCAGTAATCACGTCGCGCTGAGAGTCGGTCGCTTCGACCGCATCGTTCCCACTAAGAATCGACTTCATCAATACCGAACTATTCCGTTTCCGTAATCTGGCAGCTCTGTTCCCCGTATCCTCACACTTTCCAGCCTCGTCCGTGCCCAACCCACCCACATCAGGGGTCTCTTCAATCATACTGCTCGCTCCATTCGACTCGACCATACAGTCCGCAACACCATTGCCCAGCCCGTCCTCTCCGGTAGACCCGCTCCTTTCCGACCCCGACCGCGCATGGATATTCTGGCGCACCATATCCTTCACGCGCTGAATCTCGTTCTCGCGGTCCGCTGTTCCATCCCACCATCCACCTCGCTTCCTGCGCAGTTGTGGGGACGTGGCATTGGAATTAACGCTAGCATCGGTCTCGGTGATGGGATCGTGTGGTGGTAGGGGTTTTGTGATGACTGATCGACGCGATGTGGGCCGACTCGTTGGTCGCTCGGTTGTCGGCTGATGCGGTGTGTGTGTGATGTCCTGTTGGAGTGGACCTGAGGAAGAGGCTTCTGATTTGGCGAGATCATCGCTCGACCTGCGGGCTTGTGGTTCAATCCCGGCGCTTTTCAACCATTTGAGTCGAGACTGCGATGGTGGTGAGGACGCAGGTCGCGTAGTTTCATTTGCATCTTGCAAGAGCATTCCATTGCTGTCCTTTTCATCGTTTCCAGCGGCGTTTACGACGGCTACATCGGGTTTCTGCATCCTTGCTAAGCTGGGGCCACCGACAAGGCTGTTCTGCGACCGCGTCCGTCCAAGCCTTAAGTTGGCGACCCCGGGACTCCCGAAGTGGTCGAATCCTAGCCCGAGCTGCACGGGCCCAGTTCTCGACAGTGACCTACGCAAATAGGGCTCTCGGCTCGCAAGATGTTTCTTATCCGACGCGCTATGCCCATTGTCCCATAGTTCGGACGCTGGATGGTGCGCGCTGGGAAGACCATCGTAAATGCTGTTATGCAACTTGCTTTTAGAGGAGGAGTCGGACCTTCGCCGTTCTACTATAGGGGGTAAGGAGGTGAGCGGCGGGACTGCGCCCGTGACGGTCGACACCATGGGATAGCTCCCGTGATCACGGCGAAGAAAGCTCAGCACCCGGAGCAGTGCGCGAAGATGCACGCAGGTAGAAGTGGAAGCTCCGTTCCGCAGGACCAGAAGCGCATTTCAATGGCTGTGGCGCTTCAGACAAGCTCGGTTGAGGTCGAGTACTGCAGTAGGTCGCTGTCGTCTATTTCAAAAGAGGCCCACTTCCTTTGGGAAAAAGCGCCTGCAGAATGACAGTGACGCGGGGAAAGAGACCGACCACTTCCGCTCTCACTCATCCCCATCCCGAAGCCCCTTCGCAAGCCAGGGGTGGAGAGACAGCCGACAGACTGCAAGTGGAGCTTATCGTACCCTCGTACTGTAGATACCCACAGAGACATACGCACTTCGTCACATACTTCCACAAAATGACAACTTTGTCAGCAATCGCAGACTTCAACTCCCTCCCACCACCTGACTTCAACTCCATCATATCCCTCCTCTTCGAGCCCGCCCCACCGCTAGCCAAAGCTCTCTACGCAGCTCGTCCGTTCGACAGCTATGACCACCTTCTCCAGCAAACCGACGCCATCCTCCACAAACTCTCGCCAGAGGACAAACTCATAGTGATCAACGCGCACCCTCGAATTGGAGAGAAGAAGACAAACCTGTCTGCAATGTCGCTAAAAGAACAGGGGTACACCAGCGCCACAGCACAGCAGCCGAACGAAGAGGATCCACAGGTCATGGCAAGGCTGAAGGAGCTGAACAACGAGTACGAAGCCAAGTATGGCTTCAAGTTTGTTGTGTTTGTCAACGGTAGGAGCAAGAAGGAGATTGTGCCTGTCATGGAACAACGGCTGAAGGATGGGAAGAAGGAGAGGGAAATGGAGACGGGATTGAGGGATATGGTTAGTATAGCCCGTGATAGATTAGGGAAGCATCAGAGGTAGTAGCTGGTGTTTCCGCGAAAGCTGCCAAATGAACAATGTGTCGAGTGGACCAAGCTTAGACGATCTATGCAACTATGTACAGTGGATTGAATTGCTATGGCCAGTCCCAGAACGCCCTCCACGAGATGGACGCCTTCGAATCTTTGAAGCTTTTGGAGAGGGATTGCGGGACTAGGGGAAGGATGATTTCTGGCACTAGATCACGCTGCAGCCCTGATTCTTGTTTGCGACGGAGACCGAGGCCAGACCGAGGCGCCCGAGGCGCATTCGAACGCACAATGAACTTGATCTGACCTGCTACAGTACATCAGCAAACGAATAGATTGGGTGCTCGCGGGTTCTAAGCAATGTCCCTGAACCAAGTCCCCTACACCTGAGTTCGTATGTACTTGCACAGTATGTAGAGCCGATGCTGTTCAAGACACACGCCTCATTTGAGCCTTCATACACCAAATCAGGGCACTGGCGGGCGTGAAGTGAACGACACCGTGGCTGCAGACTATTTTTGAAAATGGACGTCCCTGATCAATGCTCCCGTGAAATTGGACGTCCCTGATCAATGCTCCCGCAAGCCATACCCATTAATGCAAAGATCGATGATCAGGATCGCATGCCGATGGAGGACAGGCCCGAGAGGCCCGCCGACCAAAGCGAAAAGGGGGAAATGTACGTAGTAGGTACAGTATGTACTCTATCTAAGAGGTCCGTCCAGATGACGAATGCATTTGATGTCAGAGGGTGCAGAGACGGGCTTCGTATCAAAGTTCCCACGCAGGCCATTTGAACCTCCATACGTACCAGTATGATATCTATCAATATACAGTACAGTACATTCACCAGATCAAGAAGGAGACCCCATGGCGGTCAACTGAATAAGAACTGCGACGGTCAAAAAGCAAAAGTGTGATTGGCTGATCCGGGTAAATTATCAGTTTACTCAGCGGCCCTCAGCTCCACCTATTTGGACTTGCGTACGGCCGGTGACTTCTGACGCGTAGACACTTCAGATCCTCTCGGGCGGATCGCGGATCGTATCCGGCGGGGCGTTGATCGGCGAAAGGACATCCATCCCCCTTGACGGCCACGCTTGCCCACGCATTGCAAATGGGATAGAGCGGATCGCTGTGCTGCCGTGGCAAGGGAATCTCGCATCTCCCCTTACGCCCAAAAACATGGGGCGTGGAGACGTGTATACTACCACTACTACTGTGTCTTTTGATACCAGAATGGCTGAGGGGTGGATGGCTTTTCATGGATGTATGGGATCAGGGATGACGACTATATGTGATTGTGCATACGCAGACACTGGCATCCCCTGCCATCTTCACCGACGGCCCCTGTCAATCATGTCAATCACGCAATGGAGGCGAGCGACCAGGAAGCTTTTTGGGTGGGAAGGTTTCGGTCCTCACCGTCCACCTCACCCTCACCCTCAGGCCTGGGAAAAGTGCGTATAAAAAAGCCGACGCGTTCGTCTTTTCCCAGACTTTCACCTTCAGATCCCATATACCAGGCCCCGGAGAAAGCCACTTCCCACATAACCACGCCCATATCCACCTCCCAACCATGCGCTTCCTCACCCTCACGGTCGTCGCCGTCGCAAGCCTCTTCACCTCAACCCTCGCGGCCCCCTTGTCCCCTCACCAATTAGTCATCACGGCCTCGAAGCAGCCCCACGTGGAAGGCCACCGTCTCATCCAGTTTGGACCCCAGGAGACGAAATGGATGTCGGAGGAAGATGTGTTGGGCTTGATTAGGGATGGGAAGCATTTCGTGGATGTGACGGATGGGGATATTGAACGGGTTGTTACCGGGAAGCAGTTTGCTGCTGTTGCTCGTGAGTATTTTTTTGTCACATTCCCGTTTCGCTGAATGTTGGATTGAGGAAGCTTGGGTCCCCTGACATCTTGATTTGTTTCTCGCCTTCCCTCAGCCAAAGCCCTCCCAACGACCCTCACCCACCAAACCCTCGTCAAGGACCTCATCGGCCAAATCTCCCAAGACAACCTCAAGACCTTCCTCACCTCCTTCTCCACCGTCGCGATCAACCGCTACTACCGCGCCACCTACGGCCAGCAATCCGCCCAATGGCTCTTTAACCAACTGCAAGCCGAAGCCGACAAATCCAACCGCTCAGGCGGTCCAAACGTCACCGTGTCTAAATTCGCCCACTCCTGGGCCCAGTTCTCCGTGATCGCCACCATCCAGCCCCCACCCGGCGTGACCAACAAAGAGGAGGTCGTCATCGGCGCCCACCAGGACTCAATCAACGGCGCGAACCCCATGCGCGGAAAAGCTCCGGGAGTCGACGACGATGGTTCGGGTGTCTCAACCATCTTCGAAGCCTACCGCCTGATCCTGCAAAACAAGATCACCTTCAACCGCCCGATCTCCTTCATGTTCTACGCGGGCGAGGAAGCCGGTCTGCTCGGCTCGCAGAAGATTGTTGCGGACTACAAGGCGCGCAATGTCCCTATTTACGGCGCGTACCAATCTGATATGGCTGGGTGGACGCCGGCGGGCAAGGAGGAGATTATTGCCCTTGCGCAGGATTATGTGGACGCGGGCCTTACGGCTTTCTTGAAGAAGGTTGGCGATGAGTATGCGAGCGTGAAGGTGGTCGAGACCGAGTGTGGGTATGGGTGCAGTGACCATGCGTCGTGGACCAAGGCTGGATACCGCGCGGCGTTTGCTTTCGAGTCGTTGTTCGATGACTCGGTGAGTTCTTTTCCACTGGCATGTTTGTCGTTGGAAGCACGATCCTAATGAGCTACTTTACTCAAATAGAACCCCCACATTCACACCGCGGACGACACCCTGAAATACATCTCCTTCCCGCACATGGTCGAGTTCGTCAAGATCATCTTGGGATTCGCTATCGAGCTCGGGCAGGAGAAGTAGATTCGTAGCCTTCGTGGCATGACGTCTGGACTTTTTCTGTTCCCTTGGACCCTGCTTGTTTACCATTCTAGTGGTCTTAATCGCACCCCATGTAGAACTTTTGTCTACGCTGGTTAGATGGGACCATCCTTTTTATTGTATATGCTTCCGCCCCTTCTGAGACTACTATCCCCTTATACATAATGTCAACACGGAACCCTTATACCCCTGTGAATCGCGAAGGGGTTGCATATCACGCAGATGTCCGCGGCGTTGCAGTAAAACCGCGCATAGCCGCCTCTCCGGAAGAAGCGCCCTGCGTTCCACTCACGGCAAAGACTCTCTACACCCTCCCCACCACTTCAACACATCGCCCTGCCCCCTCGCCTCCCTCCCAAACCTCTCCAGCGTCCTAAACCTCACCACCCTCGCATTCTTCCCTTCATCATCCCCCACACTCCCCCTCAACGCCCGCTCAGCCACCTCCCTCTCCCGTTCCCTCACCACCTCCCTCGTCGCCCTCTTCCCCACATCCTTCTCAGCCCTATCAGCCCCCAACACCCGCTCCACCTCCCTCGCAGCCACCTCATCCTCCCCCCGTGTCGTCCATGCCCATCCGACCTCCTGCTGGGTGGTAGCCGGAAACGTGTATTTCTGTTTGGGGTACAGCGAGCGGGAGATGCGTGGGATGTCGTGGATGGAGAGGAGGTCGGCGGTGTAGGAGGTTGGCGAGGTGGTTAGGCCGGGGGGCAGCTTGGAGGGCAGGCCCGAGGCGAAGGCGCGGGGGACGGTGCTGGCCAGCGGGGGGAGGAGGGGGGGGCGGGTTGTTGGGTCCTGATGGGGAACAGATACGGAAGATGTCAGCGCTGGAAGTCGCCGTGCTGAAAGCCCTTCCTTCCGCCCGCGCGCTTCCCAATCACAGGCATCTTCCCCGACTCGCCCGTCCTGAACTCCAACCCATTCGGACCTTAGCCCCAGCAGAAACCCACCTTAGCATACAACTCCCGCATAAAGCCCCAATGCTTCTCCCAGTTGCGCGGCGTCTGCAGTTCAAGGTGGATGGTCTGGCGCCTACCGGGTGTCAAAAAGCATAGGCATCGTGAGCAGATGCTTTCACCCCGACCGGCATCTCCAGTAGTTGAACGTACCATATCGCAGCGTCATGCACCTGGTTCCGGACCCGTGGCTCGGCGGCTACTGCGTTGGGCATGGTTGGCACTGCGGGAGGAAGTCTCGATTGGTGGTCCTGCTGGTGCTTTTGTCAAGATGGCTCGGTCGTTGATAATTGGGTGGCGTATAGCGAGTGTTGCAAACGAAAAGGACCGGCGGAGACCGGCACCCTTAAGGATGCATTGCGCCGGAGATATTGCAGCGTCTTGCTCAGCGGACTTTCTGGGTTATGCTTAAAACGTTGTTCCGTTCCCTTTTTCCCCTCGTATTTTCTTCGCAAGATGCACGCGTCGGGACATCCGAGGATGTTCAGTTCATGTATTAGTTTCCAGTCAAAAACCGCGAAAGTTGCGAGGGTCTGAATTATGAACGTATGTAAGCTCTGATTTCCTCAAGATGCCAATATGTTATTCAAGCCAACATCCTCCCTCTCCTACTCCGATTGTTCTAGCGAGAAGGATGGATCCATAATCATCAGAAGTGAAAATCGAATGTCAAGAAAGCCCGTCACTCAAAAGTGTAAAAATCACTAAATGCTTTTGCGTTCCAGGTTGGTGGATGAACGGGAAGATGTCTTGCTAGAACTTGAGCAGTTACGCGGTCAGCCGGCCCAGGTGCGATGTTCGCATTTCGCGGTTCATATAGAGGGCCGACCGCTGACCTCGGGGGATGGGTACTAGATCAGAGAGATGACACCGAGCCCATTTCGGGATATACAGGGCGTGCTTTCATCCGTGACCTTAATGGATACGGGCCAGAGGACAGCAAGAGGGATCTCTGATCCGTCGGGGCGGAGACGTGACGCCCAATGCCAGACGATCATCCCACAGGAAGGGAGATCCAAGGCCAAACCCGACAGGAGAGGGCGTAGAGACCGTAGACGAGAGACGTCAGACGACGAGAGCGTATCCGGCTCCAGTTCCGCATCGCCGCCGTCCCGCGACGACGAAACCGAGCATCACCTCCCTCCTCGGCGGCCTCGCTGCACTCAGAATGCAAACAATTCATCATGGCACGTCCTCAAACGTGAAGCATACCCTGCTGCGAAGCAGGATGCAGATGGTCGAACAAACGGGCTTCTAGACTCCATAGCCGCGCTCCGCAAATCCTATCTGAGCCGAGGCGGGATGGAGAACGAGATCTTGCGCCGGATACAGCAATTGGAGATGGATGCGAGGGAGCTTGGGAGGGATCTGACACCACAGGTGCGTTGTGCAGCTCTTGCATTTTACTGGGAATTGACAATGTGGTGCACGTTTCTTATGTGTTTGTTGGTTCTTTCGAAAGAGAAGAATGCACAATGTTGGAGCTGTGGAAGCAATTGAATCTGGTATGGCGTGCTTATTCGAGAAGATTATTCTACGGGTGTTCGCTGAGCTCTTAGCAACAGTCAGAACCGTCCCTCCTCCAAAGGAGCCGAGTGGTAAGTCGCAGAAATCGTTCTAGTTTGGCTATTGCTCAAAGATGCCCACGACGCCACGACCAACAATAAACCCGCAACAGAAACCCTTGTCGACGATGAAGAGCTAACAAAGATGAAGCTCCAGCAAAAGAAATACCTCCTAAACGTACACCACGAGCAGCAACGCCGAAGAGCGGATGCCGAGCTTGCGCGTTTGAAGCTGTAAGTAACGCGTTCAGATCACCATATGAATTATCCCTTTGCACTCATATTTTGCACTAATAATGCTCGGAACGGTTTCAGCGACCTCACTACGACGAGATTGCAAGAAGCGAGGATAGGCGACGCGTTCAACATGGGCCCTGCATACACGCTGGACGACTTTCTATCTGTTTCGGGTGTGATGTATGATGCCAGTAGGGGGTTTCATGTTTTCTGGTAAGTGTTTTTGCTGCGAGTTACGTCTGGGAATCTCGTATCAGAGTGTTGCTCAACATCTCGCTCAACAGGGACTTCCTGAGCGGCATCCCACTCCAAGTCGCATCGAAACCCATCCATGTCTCATGGACGGTATGCGAGGGTCCCATGTTGCGAAGCCCCGTCCGCGAACTAAAGAAACGTACAGCGGCTTCCGATCCGTCTACGTTTCTTATGTACGCGGGTCTGGGGGAGAGTCATCCTGTCGTTGGGGTATGTGGGGCCATTTAAGCTTCAAGGGGGTCCCTCGAGGTCAGATGTTGATGTATTTTGGGTCATCACAAAAGGTTCCGCTACTCCGAACATTCCGACTAGTCATAACCCTCCACATCGAGGAGGAGACCGCACTTGCCTTCTCGTCCTCGTCAAAAGGGCGCTTGTACCCACTAGGCTGGACCAGCATCGACATCTTCACCGACACGCTGGAACTAGACCGCGGGGCGTGGCGGATCCCCGTGTTCTCGTTCCCGATCGACTTGCAGCTCCCTACCGCGACGCTCCACCGCACTCGGAAACCGATCACAGGGCTTGGTGTGTTTGTTCGCTTGATGGATGCCGGGTTGGCGGTTACGCATGGGCAGGCCGGGGTTAACCCTTTGCGAGACCAATTGCTGTATAAGAACAAGAGTTATGAGGAGTCGAGGTTTGGTTTGCAGGCGCGGTACCCTGTTGATGAGGTGCGGAGGGAGGAACGTAGGTTGTTGGGAATACCTGACCCGGAGGTGGTGGCACGGCAGCAGCAGCTGGAGGCGGAGGCGGTAGCGAAGGCGGCGGCTGCAGTGCCCAGGCCGCCGGTGATCATGGCGTTCGCTGTAGTGCTGGACGAGATACAGGGATTGCCGCAGGTGGCGTATCCTCGCGTCCGAGTACGGGTCGTTGCCGTCGACGATACCTTATCCCCAGAGGAAGGCATGGCCATTGTTTCGGACGTCGCGGAACCGGGACAGGTATCAGGCTCGCACGGCTGGCCCGACGCATACCCCCGTTACCCATTCTTCAACAACCAATGCTCGCCATCCCGCAAACTCACAATTGAAGTCCTCTCCGACACCCCCGACGACCCCTCCTCACCCGACCGTGTCGTCGCATGGTCTCAACTCGACATCTTCACCCAACCACCCGAACGGCAAGACCCAATAAAGCCACCTCTCGCGATCCGCCGCGGTGCCTTCCGTACCCTCCTCCTCAACGCGGATGAGTCTACCGGCCCGCTAATCCCCATTCCCGACGCGTTCGTTCTTGTACGGATATGCGAGCTGGACGAACCCGCGCTGCCACGACGTTTCTCGACTCCGCGACTCCTCACCCCGCCCGTCCCAGCCTTCGCATGGCTCGATGTTCCCAAACCCGCGGTGTCACCATCACCCATCCCATTCAAACCGGACCTGAAATTCAAGATCCGCATCGATGCGGCACGATACCTCCCCGACAACATTATCATCACTCAAATCGTCGGCGGGGTCCTAGACGAGCAGCATACACCCATCAAAGGCGTCGCGGAGTTTCGCACCCAATTCATGTTCGATACAATAGCCCATTCGCCGATATACGGACAAGCTTTCGAAATTCGCAGCGCGGAGACCTTGACGAGCGGGACGGTCGTGGTGTTGAAGGTTATGGCGTTGGCTCGTGATGGGCGCGTATACCTCGCGGGGAGCTGCGTCATTGACTTGTTTACTGACGGCAGTGGGAAGGGAGACTCTACCGCATCTGAAACGGTTCTGAATCAGAGAATGTGGCAACTTCCCCTGTACGTGGGAATGCCCGACCCCATGGAGCCGTTGACGACGGCGGCGCAGGAACGGAGGTGTAGAGTCCCGTGTGCTACGTTGTTGGTGATGGTCGATTCTGTTGGCAAGGAGGGGCAAGGTATGGTGGTTGCGGATATTTGTGACGTATACGCATGTGACTTCTTGCTGATATCCGTAATGGTTGTCCAGCATCGCCAACGAGAATACCGCGATACAGCGATGGCGCATACGTATCGGTCTACAGCCGACCGAATGCAGTCGAGCAGCGGCTTTATGCGGCGGTAACGAGCGAACGGAGGGATGTTACGGTGCGGAGACTGCTAGGAGGTATGAAGTACATGTCTAAGCCCACACGGAGTCGAACGTCCGGTTACGGTGTTCGAATTTCGCTTATTTTTACCATATAACGATAACAGAATCACCCGTTTTCTCGAAACTCATGGGCGCGGATGTAAGAGCGCTGCCCCTCTTACCATCCTGCGTGGTCTTCCACAACGTGGGCTAATATCTCCTCCTTCCACCAGCTCAAAGCCACCGACTTGAAACTCACCCCCGCCCTCCTCAAGCTCTTCTCCACCTTCCCCACACCCCTTTTCGACCCCACGCCCATCGCGCGATACAACCCACGCTACGGCTTTAAACTATCCGTCACAGGCGGCGAAAATCTGCGTGTTGAAGGGTTCGACGCCGCGATTGTGGGGTTATGCCCGCCTGGGAAGTTTTGGAAGAGCGATGGAGAGGGGCAGGAGCAGATGCAGAGCGTGAATTTGGATGAGGTGTTTGGCGTGGAGGTGGCGGGTGGGGGGAGGGTGCATGTACGTTCTGTCAACCGCGTAAAACTGTTCTTCGTGCCAATTTAACATTTCTCTAAATCAGTGGTATCATCGCCGTCCCTTCATGCCCTCGCTCTCTGCCATCATCGACGTGCGGTGCATGTCCCTCGACAACGCTGCACCGCCGTCGTTGCAATCGCAGGGGTGGACGGTGCTGCCTATCTTCACTGAAGATGCATATGTCAGGATGGGATGTTTCCAACTTCCGCTGGTAAGATATCACATCCCTCTTGATCGCTTTTCGCTAAAGCGTCCATCCGGGACATTGATATTGACACCCTCCGCCCCACCTCTTCCCACCCCGCAGTTCGACGGCACACCACCCCCTAAATTCATCGACGCTCTCCTCTCCACCACCACCACCACAACCACCCCGCCGCCCCCGCCGTCCCCACTATCCCAAATCATCGCGCAATCCCTCAAAAACAAAACGATCCGATACGCCGAGAACAAGACCGGATTTCCCTCGGTCTATGTCACTGTCGTGGACGCGCGGCGGGAGGAGGAGGTGCCGTTTTGGAGCCAGGTGAGACGGGGTTAGCGACTCACGGAACGTTGTTGATGGATCCCGTCAATGTTCTCCAATTCTTCCTCGACAATCGTATCACATACATCGCTCACATCAAATCCACCAATCTCCCTTAGCTGCCACCAAACCAATCCCACCTCCCCACCGACACACGCTCCAAATACGCGCGCCCGCCACCTCCCGGGGCCGTGACATCGAAAATGACACTCAAGAAACGCGGGTCGACGGCCGTTCCCGCCGCGGCGATACCTGTGCAACAGCAGGTGCGGATGGGTGTGGAGCAGCGGAGGGCTTTGATGGGGGAGTTTGTTAGGGTGAGTTTTTGCGAGACTGTGTGTGTGTGTGTGTGTGTGTGTTTGCGTCAAGGATAGTTCCGGTGGTTTCGTCGTTCTTTCGTGTGGGGTCAAGAGGGAGCGTCCTCGCGATTTTCTTACATATTTTCATTCTGATAGATAACGGGCTTGCCGCGATGGGAATAATTGCATGGCTCGCGTAGCGGAAGGAAGACCGGCTTCACCCGCCTTCAATAGGCCAGGCCTACTCCGTATTGTGATGAAAGTAGGAGGTTGCCCACCCAGGAGCGACATGAAACTCATGTTCAAGACTGGCAAGCACCAAATATGTTATTTTCTTCATTACAAACTCTCACTATACAAACTCATCAACCATTTCCCCCCGGCTGGCTATCCACACAATTTACACGGCAACTGATTCGCAGCCCTATGGTAAAGAGTTTTTCCATCTGTTTTTATAAATTAGTCTTCATCCCAGTCCTCGTTCTTCTTGACCTTGGGCCCTCCTGCCGGTTTGCTCATGATGATCTGATATAGGAGAGTGACGGGCATTGTGAGTGGTGGGTTCAGGAGGTTAGCAGAGTAAGGGGAAGGGCTACATGGCGACATTTACCTGGTCAACACTCAGAACCGTCAAAGCAGCGTGGGTGGCAAGCTTGATCGCAGAGTACTTGGCCGCCAAAGCATCAAAGACGAACTTCTCCTTCGCGTCCAGGATCCCGTTGTCCTCGCTCTCAATGTCGACACCCATCGCCGATTTGCCCTGGGCATGTGCGGCATACAACTTGGAGATGACCTCCGTTGCGTCCAGACCGGCGTTCTCAGAGAGGGTCCTGGGGATGACTTCGAGAGCCTCGGCGAACTTCTTGATTCCATACTGGTTCAGGCCGGGCGTCTTTTCTGCGATGGCTTGAAGTTGGCGGGCGAGCTCGATTTCAGCGGCGCCGGCTCCAGCGAGGACGCGGTTGTCCTTGGCAACGGCTTTGATGACGTTGACTCCATCGTCGATGGCGCGCTCGATGTCGTCGATGGCATTTTGTGTTCCACCGCGGATAACAATGGTCGCGGTCTTTGTTGCCTCCTCTTCTTGGCGGAAGACGGTGCAACGGTCTGATCCGATTTCCACAGTCTCGACAACTTCACAGTATCCCATTTCCTCGGCCATTGGCGCTCCCTATAGCGAAGCGAGGTCGGATCAGCTGGGAGAACTGGGACTTTGTTTTGTGAGTTCCGCGAAGCTTACCATCCGCGTCAGCGCTGTTGCTCCAGTGACCCTGCATAGCCTACGGAGGTCGAATTTGGACAGAATCTTGACGACGAGGATGTTATATCGGTTGGCGAAGTGAAGTGCAAGTTCACCAATACCGCTTCCGGTCACAATAACTTTCACACCCGCATCTGCGATTTCCCGGATCACGTCTTCAAGCTTGGACTCCTCTCCTTTGCTGAAGTCGAGCATCTCTTTGGCGTTGTGGATCAGTACAGTTCCCTTCGTCTCGGTCAACGCGATGTCGAGGGCGCATGTGAAGATGGCAACCTTCGCCTTGACGGCCTTTTGGACGACGCCTAGTGGAAAGCGAGACAGTAAGACTATTTTCCAAAGTTTCAGACCAAAGTCCGCGTATACGTACTCTCGGGTTCACGGCCAAAGACCATTCCCTTGACGACTTTGGTGTCGTGAATGCTTCCACCGAGGACTTTGACCACTCTTATGCTGTCGACATTGAAGTTGGATGGGTTCTTGGGCATTACTGTCAAGGCGGCCTCAACAACCAGTTCCGCTAACAGATCCTCGTATCCGTACTATAGGCAGCAGTGAGTTATGACGCTCCAATGCGTTGAACCCACAAGGAATCGTACCTGCTTCGCGGCGACAGCGGTCTTCACCACCTTCAGAAGATCCTCCCTACCGGCGACGTTGGTGAGAGTTTCCACAGGGATTTCTGGGACAAGACGGTTAGATTTAAACGTCTGCGTAACAAATGAGCATGCAATTGATGTACACTTACTGTCAAACAGCTCCAGACAGCTCTTGCTCGCGGCCCGGTATCCCTCAATGATGTCACTGGGGTGCAATCCCATCTTGAGCAGGTATTCTGCGCTCTGGAGCAGCTCGCCAGCGAACACGACAACGAAATTTGTTGCATCTCCCATCTGCCCAGTTTCGATAAATAAGTACGGGAGCTTCTTCTTGGCCCACTGAATAAGAAATCATTACCTCCGCTTCCTGTTGCTGAGAAGCCATAACCAGCAGCTTTGCCGCAGGGTGGATAACCTCAAGCTCTTTGATAATAGTGGCGGCGTCGTTCGTTACAAACAACTTTTCGAGGTGGTTGATGACCATTTTGTTACGTCCTGGAGAGCAGTTTTACTCGGGAAATGCCTTTGCGGACAGTCAATTCGAACAAGAGACAGGCATACCGTTTGGCCCCAGAGATGTCCTTGTGATCTGGGTCAATTCCTTGATAGCGGCAATATTTCTCAAGATCGCTTCGTCTACCCCTGAGAGGTGCTATACATTTCCGACGCCAGATGTTTAAGCACCGTGATCACGCAAGACCCATTGCCTCTATGGGCAGGTTGTCCCGAAAAGAATATGCTAGTGATCCAACGCACCTTGTACCCATCCTTGAGGAGCTGGGTGAACCCCGACTTTGGAATTTTCATCGCCATGGCTGCGACGTGTTACTTATCTGACTTGCTGAGAGCGGCTGAAAGAGGGACGGGTATGCTATACGGCGTACGTGCTTCGTGGGAACAACGTTCGATACACTATGTACACGTATGAGCTGGGTTATTTGGGTGATCTCCGTGGGAACTCGAAGCGAAGGAAGCGCAGAGAGCGAGTCCGAAATTCAGGAATTCATTGGAGATGCGCGTGGGGTCACGTGAAACTCAAAGCACTTTATTTGCACTTTTCATTCCTCCCCATTTCTGACGTTTCCCCACTGGTCGTGAACTCCCCAATGGCTTGCATCACCACCAAAAGACCAACCCTCGCATTGCAGGTGAAGCTCCGGTACTCCAGGTGTTGACTACTGCACAGTCTGTTAGCGTCTCCCTCTGCCTCACAGCCTTTTCCATACTGCGTTCGTCTCGCGGTATGTATCAGTCTTCTTCCAACCCATCTTGCAAACATCCTGCGATTCCCACGCTGACTTCCAACGCTTTGACCACAGACATCTACAACGAATATAACACATAGCTAAATAACATGCGGAGCGCAACGTGCAGCGCCGCGTTCCTTGTCGCGTCGGCCCTGTTACCCTTCTGCGCGGCGGCCACAACCACGCCATTCTTGTTATGGAGCGGCAAAACGTATGCATCTTTTTGGCGAATGTTTTCGTTCATTTTGGGCGGTGGGGATGGGCGCGCGTGTGCCGGGCCGACTATAAAAGCAGCCAGCGGTGGTGATCTTCCATCCGCCGTCTTGCGATGCGATGTGGCCGGCGTGGAGATGAGGGCTGGGCGTGGCAGTTGGAAGTGGGACCTATGGACCCCGTTGAAGGTTTCGAGTATCAACTGACTCAAGCCCGCTTGCGTGCACAGGCTGTCGCTTCCAAAGGAAATTGCACCAACCATCGAGCGTGCGGACGTTGGCAAGATTGTCGAAGGAACAGCATGCGCAAAATTCAACATTTTGTTTGCACAGGAGGACGTAAGCAGATTTCCTGAGACGCATGAATCTGTGACATCCTGCGAGATGGTCTAACAATCTCTCGCTTACTTTTTGATATAGCTACAGAGCCTTGATCTGATGCGTCTTCACGGCAGCACGCAGCGCTTACGAAAAGCCATTGAGGACTCCACCACCAAAATACAGGTGCCATTTGTGCCAGCAATGAGCTCAGACGCGGAAGACGTCGTTGGCTGGTTGCGAAGGTCGTGTGCGAAGAGGGAGGTTGTTGTTTCACGGCTCAGCGTTGGTACGTAGCGAACATAGCGAACATACCGGTGGTTTTGTTGAATGCTACAAACGTGCACATGTACTGCTCCTGACACCTGGCACCATCCGTGTTTAGACTCGGCGCTCCGTACGCTTTTTCGGGACACCGCCAACCCACAACTCCTCATCGTCCGTCTCCCATCTGCAGGCCACGCGGCTCCGTCCGACGGCAGCCCGCGTGACATCAGCACCCGCGCTGCCGTCATGGATAAGAACGACGAGTTCATCAGCTCCGTGCTGGACGAGGTCAAGAAAGTCGCGGGTGACGACTGGACAGCCGTGTTGACGGGACTGCAGTTGTCCGAGGCTGCCCTCTCTGTAAGTCCCTCTTCCTTAAACACATTATCTTTCGCACCCACTCATACTCAAACCCACCTTTCTTGTTTCACAGCTTCAAAGACGCAGCGCAACCCAACCCGCCCACCCCCTCCTCTCCGCACGCGCCGCAACCAACTGGACCGCGATCCCCTACAGCAAACGCCCCATCTTCCAGAAATACGTCTTCTTCAGCCCCGGCCTGTTCATGTGCATCACCGCCATGATCCCTATTGTTGTTGTGGCGCTGCTGGGTGTCAGGATTCTGATGAGTATTCAGACCCCGAGTCGGTTTGAGGGCGGGAAGAAGGATAAGTGAGGCTTCTGGGGTTTGCGCCATGGTGCATGGGTGCAGTGTGGGAGTGTAGGCGCAGAAACTGTTGGTGTTTGATTTTGTTGGGACCGTCTCCTTACGTGTTTGTATTGAGAAAACAAAATGCGAGTCTCAGTGCAAACTTCCAATGGTTTACTTGTTATTCATACCCAAGAATGAAAGCTGCCTAAGAGCGCTGCCCAATTTCCTTTCTTTTGCGGGCTGCATCGGGTATTCTGGCCGCTGGTTGAAAACTGACGCGAAATCCATCTCCTAACTCTGGAAGACTGTCAGCTCGACTCTAGAGTCCAAAGCGTTCCAAAAGTCCCGACCAATGTGCGCGCAAGGGAGTGTAGAAGGGGTGGAGCGTTAACCAACAGGGAGAGGGTTGAGATTGGGTTTCCGCCGGGGGTGTTTGGGGAGGTTATGAATGTTTGGAGGATTTCAATGAGTTTTCGATGGTGTAAGGTCGTTTTGAGAGGGTTACACATGAATGTATTGCGTTATGTCCATTATACCTTCTCGTTGTCGTCGGCGACATCTCGTCGCAGGTGGCTCCATCAGGTCTGGCGGAGGGCCGGAGGACTGGCACACAATGACTTTGATACTACATGAATCGACTTGTAGCTACATTTACGCTATCTAGAGCTTCGTAATCTCGATACACTTCTTTAATGTTCTACTACCTCCAAAAGATATCCACCACATGACACTCATCGATTCCCGACATGTTGCTCAGGACTCGAACTTGAGAGACACGGAGTTGACGCAATGACGTTCGTCCGTGGGTGTTTTGAACCCTTCGCCTTTGAAGACGTGGCCTAGATGGCCTCCGCACTGGTGCGAGAGGAAGAGTGAATAATGAGTACAACAACGGTAGGGACTTAGGTTCAGGGACATTCCTCTCCAACTCACAGCTGTGCAAACAATCTCAATCCGCTGCATCCCGTACGCGTTGTCTTCGTGGCGGGTGATGGCGCCTGGGATGGCGTCTGCGGTGGGGAAAGAAATGTGTGAGTGTGAGAACAAGAGTGAAAAAGGAAAGGCACAGCGTAGATGGGCATCTCAGGCGATCATCCTCATGTGCCAAGACGAATGCAACCCCGCCAAGAGTCCCAGACTTCAACTTCACCAACTCCGCAAACTCACCAAAGAAGGCCGGCCACCCACACCCCGAATCGAACTTTGTCGTCGACTTGTAGAGCGCCGCATTGCATCCCGCACAATGATACACTCCTAAAAGGAATCACAATCACAATCAGGCCACCCAATCCATCCAGTCCACCTCGAATCACCCTCCTTCCCAGGACATTCATACCGTCGGCTTTGTGCTTATTGTACTCCCCCGTCCCAGCAGCCTCGGTGCCCTTCTCCCTCAGCACCCGGAACTGCTCTTTGTTGAGGACCGCCCTCCACTGCGACACACAAGAAGTTTGTCAGAAGCGATCTCCGCCGTTCGGTTTGCGGAAGAATTGTGCGTACCTCGTCTTCGGATTTTTGTACGGTTGACATTGTTCTGGTTGCTGGTGTGCGGAGTGGGAGGTATGCGTGGTGGAAAAGAAGAGAGGGTCGCAGGAAGGATAGATGGGTTGTTGTTGTTGTTGTTGTTGAAGTTGAGCGGATGAAGCGGGGAGCGAGGTAGCGCGACATTCTTATGGAGCGAAACCGATGATGGAAGTTGGCGGTCAGTTAGTTCTATTAGTCAAAGACGCGTGCCGTAAGAGGGGGCGGAACAGACGCCGGAGGGCTTGCAACTGGGGAAAGAAGCCTCCTGTCCATGTCGTTCACTAACAAGACGCCTCACTGCACAGCCTTCCATTTCTTCCTGAGCCTACCCTTTACACTACAGTTAAGCACTATGATAATGATTTGTCCCTCTCCACAAATCCGCCACACATTTATCGCCCCTCGTACCTTTTCGGGATGGGATTAAGTCAGTGGCCCTGGGTAACTCAGGCGCTTCGGGCAATCTGGAAGAAAAGTGGGTGGGAGAGGGCTGGATGGCTGCCTGGTGCATGGTGGAGAGCTCTCGGGTGTTTGTTTTGACCCTTGTGGCCCGCTGCTTTGAGAAAGAGGATCTTGCTTGGGGTTTGGCATTTCCCGCTGGGAGATGGCTGCTTTTCTGGGGCATTTCAGAGTCGTTGAGGGTTAGCCTCATTGACGACGGGGGTGATTGGAGAATGTACACATAGAATAGGGACATCTTTTGGTCATCGATTTCACAAAATAGGACACTTCGGTACCATTCCCTTTTCCCCCAAAGTCTCTTCAACACCAGTTCGGGCCCGCATCCCAACTTTTCCCCACACTCCAACTTCGGGACAGCCTTCTTTCGAATGACGATACGTAAAGAGGCTTATTGTGATGCGAGCGACGTAAGGTTAGGCAGGTGACTTGTGCCCCCAATGGGACCGTGTGCGGGATCTCTGCTGATGCTGGGGACGTCGGGTATGGCGGGAGGTCCATGAATGACATGATTTCGTCAACGAGCGACTTTTTTCTTGGGCCGGGTCTCGTGCTCGTGCTCGGTCGGACGCGGCAGCGAAGAGTTGCGTTGACGGAGAAACTGGCGGAAATGAGGGCGTTTGAGTAGGTGGAAAAGGCCATGCGCGCAATGCCGTATCCGGTAGCGATGGGTTTCATCAGGAGAGGCATTGGTGGATCCGGTGACGATTGGATAGGGAGAAGATTCGATCCGTGCGATGCCGTATTCGCTTGCGTTGGGGATAACATTTGCTGGACTATGAGACCAACACCCCCTAGTCTGGACCCGTACTACCGCATAGTATGGGTCCAGATTAGGCAGCGAGGCGTGTCGAGAAGGGTTCTATTGGTGTTTTCCACTGAAGAGGCTGGTATATCGAGAGGTAAGCCCGCGAGGTATTTGAAGCGGAGGAGTGTGGTGCTGTTATCAACAATTTGAGAGCCGTAAAAAGGGCTGGGTTATGCCATGTCGACACCGGTACGAGAGGAAGCCTTCAGCTTGATTTACTCACCTTCGCTAACCCAAGGTAGAAGAAATCTTTGATGTATGCCCGCTTGTATGCCCGCTTGTACACCTTCTTGTAATGCCGCAGGTATGCCTCCAGCTCTTCAGGAGTGAACCTGTAGAGAACGGGGCTGTTGTTGTTCTTGGGCTTGGGCATGGAGTGCTTCGAACTCATTGAAAGTTCCGGGGGAGAAACTCACAACGGGTTGTTGCTGTTCGGCGAGGAGGGTTGACGAGAGAGGTGAAGACGTTGTCCATGTCCAAATAACACGCGCGGGGCTTGCCGACGGACCTTGCACGTTGAGAACAAGCCTCGTTTCCTTCGCAGACGACACATTCTGTAGGAACGACGGACCGGACGGCCTCGGACAGCCCTTCTTCGCCCAATCTGCCACGCAGAGACGTCAGATATCCGGTGCTCACGTCCCGCGTCCCGCAATGCTCCGGCAAACGCTCGCCCAAACCCTTGCCCGCCGGCCTATCCCATTCCTCACCTCTCGTCGCCACAAGCCCGTCTCACCTCGGCACACTCGTACCTGCAGTAGCACTGGACTTGCCTGGAGCGTGAGGAGACTGCACTCGACTGTTGGTGGTGGCAACTTAGGGGACGAGGGACGTGGCGCGGGCGAAGCGAGACCGGAGGGCAACGGAACACCGACAGCGCGGAGTGCCGTGAAACCGGTGAAGCCGATACCCAGAGACGACACGGTTCACCAGGTTGACAGTCAGGAAACGGAGGTGGAAGCCGGTGGACGAGACGATATTGACAGCTCGACCCTTTCGACAAATGCGACTGAGGTCGGGAAAGCTGCGGCGTTGGGAGGGGCTGAAGACGGGACGGGTTCTGGAGATATGATGGATCTGGGAAAACCAGAACACATCGTCGAAGAGACCTTGCAAGAGAGATACGTCAGAGGACTGCCTCAAGTTCTCGTCAAGCGGAAAGGATTGAAAGACCCTACGTGGGAGCCACTCAAGCATGTCGAGAAGACTCTTGATGTGAGGAACGAGAACAATGGGTCGGATGTGGTGACAGCTGCCGGAGAGAGTGGAGCGCCGGCAGTCAGCGTGGGGACGGTATCGCACTTGACGGATAGGGCTGTACCTATCAGCGAAAGTGGGGAGGTCGCTACAGGAATCCACGAGACGGCTTCACCGAGTACAGATGCGGCAGGCGATGTGAACGCACTAAACGCATCCACGGGAGAGATCAACATCCCACCCCCACCACCGCCGAAAGAGAAAAAAATGTCCGCCTCAAAACTCAAGAGCCTCGAAAAGCGCCACGCAAAGCAATCTCAACGCATCGAAGAAAAACTCTCCCGACTTGCGCAGCACCACCACCAAAACCCCATCCAACAAACTCCTGGCCTCACCACCCGCCCGATCTGCCCCGGCTGCGGCGCCGACTTCCAGTCTGCCAACCCGCTCGGGCTCGGATACCTCCCCATTCGCGCCACCGACGAAGCTGCCAAAGGAGAGAGCATTCACGCCCGCGCCGAATCCTCCGACGCCCTCACACCCCGCGAAGCCGCAACCCTCGCCCAACACCACCACCACCTCGCCCAAAACACCACCGACCCCGACGCCGACATCTCCGCCCTCGCCGAAAAAGCCTTCCTCGCCGGCACCCCACCGCCAGTTACACAGAAACGCACCATCTGCGCCCGCTGCTACGCCCTCACGCAGCACCGTCGGCTCACCCGCACCTACACACCTCCGCAAATGGAGAAGCTCCTCTCGACACTCCGCGTGCGACCTAACTGCGTCGTGGTGTGTATCGTCGACGCGGCGGATTTCCCGGCGAGTTTACTCACCGGCTTGTCGATGTTGGTTGGCGCGGAGAAACCGGTGTTGGTTGTGGCCAACAAGATCGATCTCCTGCCGACTGATGTGCCCCTTGCGACGGTCGAGCGGAGTGTCCGCAACCGGGCAGTCAAGTGGGGGATTGGTGGCGGTGTAACTGCATCACCGGCGTCGTCAACAAAACTGGAAAAGCAACCACGCCAACCATTATTGGATGTAACCCTAACATCAGCAACAACACTAGCCGGCGTCCCCGCCCTCTGCGAGAAGATCCGCGCCCACCAACAAGCCGGCCGCGACGTGTTCCTCGTCGGGTGCGCGAACGTGGGCAAATCCGCGCTGATTGGCGCTATGAGGAAGGTAGCGGGCTTGGATGTGAGTGCGGCGCCGACGGTGAGCGATGTGCCGGGGACGACTGTAGCAGTTTTCGATAGTGGGGTGGATTTGGGGGTTGGTACCGCGGAATTGGAAACGCCAGTAGACGGAGGAACACCACCACCACCACCACCGCCACGGAGACAAACCATAGGAAAGATCTTCGACACCCCCGGCGTGCACACACCCACGCAAATAACCCCGCTCCTCACCCCCGCCGAACTCGCCATCGCGACCCCCCAAAAACGTCTACTCCCGCACACAATCACCATTTCAGCGGGAGAAACACTCTTCGTCGGCGGGCTGTTCAGATTGGACTTCAAACCGCCTGATTCATCCCCCTCCTCCTCCTCCTCCTCCTCCTCCCCCTCTAACGACACACCCAGCCCCCCACCCTCAAAACTAACACTAACAGCGTACCTCCCTTCCCGCCTCCCCCTCCACCGCACAAAAACCACCCGCGCAACAGCCCTCTCCAAACGCCACCGCGGCACCATCACGCCGCAAATGGCCGCGCGGGTGATGCGGACGCGGAAGATGGCGGAAACAAACGTTTCGGGCGTTCTGGCGCCGCCGTTCAGCAAACCGGGCCCTGACGCCTCTTCTGCCTTTCCGGAGCTGGAGGTCGCGTTGAGGGTGACGGTTCCGACGACGCATGGCAGTTCTAGAGGCACGACACCAGCAGCGTTGCCAAAGACGGCGGGTACGATACCACAGACGCAGACGCAGACCGGCCCGATGGATATATGTCTCGGCGGTGTGGGCTGGATCTCTGTTGCGCCGACGGTGCGGTGGAGACGGACGGTCGTGGAGGTGTGGACGCCGGCGGGGATGGGGTGTGTGCAGGTGAGGGAGAGGGGGTGGGTGGGGTTGGGAAAAGGCATGGGTGAGGCGAAGCGGAGTGGGGGGGAGATGGGACGGGATCGGGGTCGGGGTGACCGGATGAGGCGTGAGGGGACCGAAGGTACGGATGAGAGGCGTGAGGGTGAGGCAAGGGAGCCGATGGATGGGAGGGATAGGCACGGGAGTGCTGGGAAGTACCCGCCTAAGCGATCACGGAATGACGCCGGCGGGCCGAGGGGAGGGCCAAGGGGCGCTGAAGGGGGTGGAAAGCGGTGGACGCGATCTTGATTGCACCTATCGTTTTAGTGGGCTGGACGACCACACATGTACTATAAGGCGTATCCCACCCAGTCGGCGTAAACCCCAAAATGCACACCCCCAACGGTCCGAATCCGCTTTAGCCATGCACGAATCTGTAAATTGCAATAACTAATATAACCATACGAGGGATTCCAGAACAGCTGTCTTGCAAGTTCTCTATTAGTATCCTGGATATCCAAACTGTACAGAACCCCCCAAAAAGCGTGTATTCCCCAAAATGCTATTCAACCCTGGTCAAACCCCGCGCCCAAAAAAAAACCACCTCTAGTCACGCTGCGTGGACTGCCCTACGCCCCACTCCCGCCCCCACCACTCCCTCCGCCACCCCTCGCGAAGAACCCCTTCCTCTTCCTCACCCCGCCAATCCCCCCACGACTAAACTCAATATACGCCATCGAATCCCCGCCCGAAATACTCTGCAGCGTCCCCGTCCGGCGCACCGAGACCCCCGTGTCAAAGAACGATCGCGATGTAGGTTGGTGTTGTTGCGGTGCCGCTGGACCCCCCCTCCCTCTTCGTGTTCCTCGCTCGTCACCGCTACTACCGTCATCGTCGGTGTCGTCGTCCTCGGCGTTAGATACAAGCACGGTATTCAGCAACTCGATCTGTTTCTGCTGCGTCGCATACACCAGATCCGGTAAACCCTCAATCCCCTCCAATCTCGTAATGATCTTGAAATGATACCCCTGATCAATCAAAAACTGCTGCCGTTTGGCGGCATAATACACCTCAAGTGTATCCCTCGACACCAGTGAGTAAAAGTACGCATTGAAGCCTTCCTCGCTCCGTTTCTTGGCGCGGAGGATCCGGCCGAGTCGTTGCGCTTCCTGGCGACGGGATCCGTAGTGGGAGGATATCTGGATGAGCACGGTCGCTTCGGGGAGGTCGATGGATGTGTCGCCGACTTTGGAGAGGAAGACGGTGTTGATGGCGGGGTTGTATTGGAACTGGTTGAGGATGCGCATGCGTTCCGCGGGGGAGGTGCCGCCGTAGATGTAGGGTTTGCTTAAGCGGGTCGCGTAGTGTTTGAGTGCAAAGACGTTATCGGAGAAGACAATGACTTTGTCGCCGCGGGCTTCGTGGAAGTCGATGAGGAATTGGCAGGCTTGCAATTTACGCGGGTTCATGACGAAGAGCAGCTGGCGTTTACGTGAGGACGGTTCGCGGAGGTACTCGCGGTAGAACTCGGTTGTCATGGGACACCAGACCTCGGCGCACTGGACGTTGGCGATATGGCCCTTGCGGGCGAGGTCCATCCAGTTGGCTTCGAACAGTTTGGGGCCGATGAGGTAGTTGAGATTGGTGATCTTGTCGTCTTCGCGGACGAGGGTTGCGGTCAGGCCGAGTTTGGCGTGGGCGGCGATGATGGTGAGGACTTTGCGGAACATGTCTGCGGGGACGACGTGGACTTCGTCGAGGAGGAGGAATCCCCATTCGCGGGATTGGATAAAGTTCATCATCTGTTGGGCGTCGTAGGCGCGTTTGCCTGTGAAGGCGACCATGGTGTACGTGGAGATCATGATTCCGGCGTCGCCGACGAATTTTTCTTTTTCTTGTTGGGTGAATTTGGCGACTTGGCCTTCTTTGACTGTTGACCAGGTGCGGAATTCTTTGGCCCATTGCTCGACGGAGACGGAGGATGTGCAGAGGACCAGACAAGATTTCTTGATTGTGCACGCGGCTGTGACGCCAACGAGGGTCTTGCCGGCGCCGCAGGGGAGGACGATGATCCCGCTGCGGGCGCGGCCGTTGCCGAACATCTTGCTGAGGGATTTTTCTTGGTAGGGGCGCAGGGCAGTGGCGGGTTTGAGGTCGATGTCGAGGTTGGGGTTTGCCACGTCTTGACGGAAATCGTATTCTTCGAGGGTCGGGTAGGAGAGCTCGCTGCAGCGCTTGCGGACCGAGTCGACTGAGGTTTTCGCGATCTCGAAGGATCGGACGAGCTGCTCTTGCTGCTCGGTGTCCTCGTCCGCGTCCTCGTTGTCGATGGTGATTACTGATGCGAACTGGTTATCTGAAGCGCTGGCAGGGTCGGCGAGTCGGCCACTGTCCACGGCGGAACTCCTGCGCTCTGTTTGATCCTCGGAGGAAGCGCCTTGCTTCGCCGCCGGCTGCTGCCCATTGGCTTCCCCTGGGTCTGTGGAACCGCCGTCGTGCTGGAGGTCGTCATCGTTGAAAAGATCAAACAGCTCCAAATCGTCGGGAAACTCGTCATCAGGTACGTCCATATCCTCCGGCACGTCCCACGCCGAGTCTGCCTCGTCTTCGGGATAGAAGCCAGGTCCCGCAGGAGCAGCAGCTTTCTTTGGTTGCTCAGATTCCTTTCGATTCGGTTTGTGCTTTTGCGAGCTATCTTTCGTTCCTCTTTCTGTTCCTGCTGCAGGCCTTGTTTTTGCTTCAGACGTCGAGTTCCCCTGTTTTCCATTCACCATCGGCGTTGTGCCCACCTTTCCACCATTTGGCGCCGCAAACCCAGCAATGGTCAGCCCAGCCGCATCCGGCGCCCGTTCCGTAAACAGCACATCATCCTCCGTCTCCGCCTCAACTCCATCAGCCGCCACACGACACGCCCTAATTTTCTCATCCCTCAACAACGTCCTCAAAACGCCCTCATCCGCACTCTCAATCCAATACCTATTCCGCTTCAACACCAACTTGATCTTCCCACAAGAAGCCGTATTCGTCCTAATAAAATCCTCCAACGACGGCGGCAGGGGGCATTTGCTCAACCGGTTCAAAACCTCAATTATCCCCTCGGTGTCCAACCCGACCGATACGGCGGCATACAGGGAGTACTCGGTGAGTTTGTACTCATGCACACGGTACGGCCGCGAGATGGGTTCAGACACCGCGATGAGGAAGTCCTGCGCTTGCTCGGCGATGGGGGAGAAGGCTTCGAGGATGATGCGACCGTCGCCGAAGACCCAGAGCGGCCGCGCGGCGTGGTCGGGTTTTAGAGGGAAGCGGGAGAGGTCGGCTACGGCGAAGAGGGTGCCGATGGAGCGCTGGAATTGGCCGAGTTTGAGATTGTCGAGTTCGTCATCTGAGTTGGCGTCGTCGTCGATGTAGTCGACATTTCGTGATATCGTTGTTTGGGACGGCCCAGTCTTTGATGTCCTGCGAGAAGCTGAACCCCCATCTGCCCGCCTCCGTTTCACCGGCTCTGCCTCCTCCTCATCTTCTTCATCAACCACCGAATTTCTCTTTCGCTTGGTGTCCCCACCAATACCCTTGCTACTCGTCCGCCTCGGTGCATCCGCACCAGTATGCCCCGGACTCCACGCGCCATCTCCGTCTCCGTCCTCGCTGTCCACCACCACCACGTCGTCACCCTCTTCATCAGAGTCGTCATCGTCCACTATGAAAGCCCTGGCTGTCCTCTTCGGCGTTCGTCTTTGCGAGTTTTGTGTTGGTTGTTGGGCGGATGTCGCGCCACTATGCCGACTAGATCTTCTTAGGCGGGAAGACTCCCCTGACATTGCGGGTTGGCGGGCTAAAGGTCGAGGGGGCTTGAAGGGGTATCTACGTACTATCGACTTCAAGGGAGGGAGCCACTCGCCTGATAGCGCTTGGAAAGGTACAGTATACATACCAAGTGGGAGTGGGCTCAGTGGGGATGGGTGGAAGTGCTCGCGAGGGTGGCTGTGCATGCAATAACGCACGCCATTCCGACAGCAGCCTCCCGCCTCCGACCCTGTCAAACAACCAACTTCACAAACCGCTCGTTGCAAAGTTATAGCTCACTACGTAGGATAAGTAGAGTGAGTGGCCAAGTGAAGCTGCGTTAGCGAGCTTGGAGGTTGGGGTGATGATGCAGATGACATGAACTCTTGACCATCAGCCCTCATCGCAATTGATAGAAAATATCAAATACAGACGTGTGGTGGCACCCCGTCTCCCCGTCACCTCCCCTCCCTCCTCCCCCTCCCCCTCTGCAAACAAAACAACGCAGCCGGCAACGTAATCGCCACCCCCACCCCCTTCCTATTCCCACCCCCAGCCCCACTCATCTCCCCCAAACTCGTCGAAAACCGCTCATTGATACACTCCACGTTTATCTTCATTGGTTGTTTGTGCGGTGGGTGTCTGTGGATTGGTGGGGTTGTGGTGGACCCAGAGTCCATCGGTAACTCCACACCCTCCCCATCATCATCATCATCCCGTCTCACGGGATGAGTAAGCCGGGGATCCGAGTACGCCCGTTTGGGCACCGCCAGTCGGTCTACCCACGGTACCGGCATCGCAGGCAAGCTTCCCGTCCCCGTCCCGCCCACCAGATTCCCCTTCGACAAAGTAGAAGCAGCAACCCTCCCCTTCCGCCACCGCTCAAGTTTAGAGATCTTTTCTTCGTCCTCTCTCCGTTTTGTAGCGATGTATTCACGTCGCCGTTTGGTGGAGAGGGTCTCGGTGAAGATGTTGGCTGCTTCGTGTTGAAGGAGGAGGTAGTGGGCTAGTTTCGCTTCGGCTTCTGCTTCTGCCTGCCCCGGTTTGGTATTCGGAGATGACGATGATGATGATGACGGAGGCGGGTAGATCCGTCTCCACCCGCCCAACTTTTCATTTTCCGTCGCTTCCAGCTTCGCGAGCTCCGAGGGCGGGTAGAGGGCGTGATAGGCGGTGAGGGCGGCGTGGGCTTCTGGTGAGAGATGCGGTGGTGGTGCTGTTGTAGTGTCAGAGGTGAGCGGCCGTGAGAGGTCAGTGTGGGACGTTGAGGTCGAGGACGGCGGGGTTGGGTAGAGTGGTGTGCCCGGTTTGCTCGTGTCTGCCGCCGAACTCGGTTGCGGCTTCATCACCCCCACATCATCCGTCCTCACACCCGCCGCAGCCTTCCCTCTCCTGCCCGCTTTGCCACCCTTCCCCCTGACAGCCCGCACATCAACCAACCCGATCGCATCGCCAATAACCCCCCGCTTGATCTCCGCATCCAGCGCGCTGTCGCATGTGAAACTTGGCGAGTGGTTAACTTCCAGCACCCAGGGTTTGAGCTTGTGGTCGAGGAAGATGTCGAAGCCGAGGATCTCAAAGCAGGGTGAGGGTGATATAGTGCGTTGGGGTGGTTGTTGTTGCTGTTGCGGTGACTGAGGTAACGTGGTGTCTCCGGCAGAGGGTGATTTCCCTCCGCCCCTCGGAAACCCCGCCCTCACATTCCTCACCAACTGCGGCTGCACCGTCAACAATGTCTTCACAACCACATCCCCCACCCTCCTCCACAGCCGTTCCACCTTCTCCCTCCCCACCCGTTCCTCCAGCACCCCCAACACACTCCGAATACTCCGCTTACTCCCCCTCCCCTCCCCAACATCATAATCAAACCTCCCCGAATGCTTATTAATCGCGTAATTCGTCAAATGCATGCACACGTCAGCTAGATTCGACTCCCGGGGCTCGTGGTAGGGGGAGGTAGCGAAACGCGCGAGGCCATCGTGGTAGAGGAAGATGCGGAGCGGGTCGACGGAGGTGACGAGCACATACACCCTCAGATCAAACTTGAACCCGTCGATCAGGCACGGGCGGGGGAGGTACGTCTGCACAATCACCGAACTCATCCCGCGTAGCTCCCTCACGACCCCCTCCAACTCCGCCGGGTCGGATATCAGGAAGATCCCTTTGCCCTGGCATCCGTGGTCCGGCTTCACGATGTAGCATTTGCGTGATTTTTTGGCGGTGGCGTGCGAGGATTTGAGATCGGTGTATTCGAGGGGGAGGACCCATGTGCGCGGGAAGAATTTGGCGTCCGAGGGGAAGAGGCGGGAGAGACGGGCGAGGTTGCGGGCGAGGGAGTCTTTGCGGCAGATTTCTTGCATGCCGGGGAAGTGATTTATGAATGTGTGCGGGGGCCTGCGGGATGGAATAAATTAAGCGAGATTTGTGGATATCTAGTTAGCCGTCCCCTTCTTGACTCCCCCGCAACTCACATGTTAAGAACCCGTTCAACGCTAACCCCCGTATCAATCCAAAACAGCGTCCACCCCTCATTTTCATCCTCCTTCGCGATACGAAACCCTTTCCGTTCGCAGCATTCGCGCACGATGGTGTATTTGCAGTTGAGGAGATTGGCAATGACGGGTGGTGGTGGGCGTTTGCGGGGAGGCAATGTGGTGCTGCTGGGACGCGGGGGTTTGTTTAGTGGTGGGATTGGAGAGGGTTCGAAGGCCCGTGCGGGTCGGGTTCTGGGTAAGACCATGACCGTGCGGCCGGCGTGCTCGGAAGTAGAGAAAGGGTATGGCCAGGTATCGAAGGAAGAATGACCGCAGCAGCGACAGCCCCACTTATGATTTCCTCTATATCTATTCTAATCTTCTGCCAAATTCACAGTTTTTGGAAGAGGGAGTTGTCTGCGAGTGTTGAAGCGGGAATACTGTCATTAGTGGCTTAGACGGTTTGTCACGCTAATTAACTCGCGCCAATGTCCTTTCGATCTTTTCCTCACACTGACTGGGCGACGAGGACTCCGAGGGAAGAAGAAAGAGTACGGTGAAAATGCCGGCCTTGGTTTTTTATTCGAAATCACAGCGGAGAGGTACATGTCGAGGGTATCAGCATTGATAACGCACTTCGTGTACAATGAAAACTGTTTCACAAACGAAAGCCGGTAAGCAAACTGAAAATCACATCCGTCAAGGATGCAGCCGAGTCATATTGGTGTCAAAAAAACTATGGTACAAGGTAAGAAGGATAAGAAACTAGGGGTGTGGCAGCGACAATATCAACAGTTTCACGGATTGCGCCAAGTCCGCTCATACATCCCATCCGAAACCCAAATCAATCACTGATTACAAGGCGCCGCACAAATCATCTGCAACATTCCCCTCCACTGCTTCGAAAACCACGTCTCCCCTCCCCTCCCATTCTGATGCGCCCATGAATGTATCTCCTCGCCATTCGGCGAATGGATATCGATATCGGACTCGCCCATTACGACCAGATCGTGGTCGTCGTGGTCGTCGTCGAAGGAGAGCTGTTTGTAGGCGACGGGGCCGGGGGGGAGGTAGAGGGATGGTCGGCCCATTTCGGGGAACTGGGTGAGGGAGTCTTCGCGGGTTTTGGGGACGGCTAGTTCGGCGGCGGGGGCTGCTGTTACTGTTGATGATGTTCGCTCGGAGATGGTGGGCCCGCTCCCGTTAGGGTTCTCCTCCCCCGCCGTCCCGTTCGGTGTTCGTCTCAACCCTAAATCTGATGCGACGACCGCCGTCCCTCTTAATGGGGACGTTCGAGCGCTCCGCTTGCCCCCGCCGCCGCCCATATGCCCCATTTCGACGCTGTCGGTGTCCCATGACTCGTCGTAGTTTGGTATACTCTCTTCAGCTAGGTCGCCTACTTGGCCGTCGAGACGGAAGTCGGTGCCTATGCGCAGGTCGTCGGGGTCAAGCAGCTTTGCGGCTGTCAGATGGCGCAACTCTAGTGGTTGTGGATGGTGTGGTTGTTCCATGTCGTTGATAAAGGTTATTAGAATCGAAGCAGGGTATGTGTTGGATGTGGGCAGAACCAATCTTCCCTTGCTGGAAGACCTCAGAAGCGCTTGAGACTGCGTCGCTAATACGGCCTGCACTGATCTTCCTTGGCGCCTGTTGACTTCTGACCTTTGTTGCAGCGTAGGGAGACGAGCTCTTCGACTTCAGCGCAGTCGACAAATACACTTCACACGAGTGCGACGATATTGTCGGCGTATCAAGCAAGACGATAGGACTGCGAACGACGGCTAGTATGCTCCTTGGTGGACAAAGACGGACCTATTTGGGGGACTCTTTTTGCGAGTGTTTGTGCTGGTGGTAGTGCTTTATTAGAGTTTTGAGGAAGGAGATGAAGCCTCACTCGGCGTTCCCTGTGTCGCCTCGCCCGTCGTCCCCCCGGAGCTTCCGACACGTATTTAACCTCACGCGCGCACGTGACTCGCTGCTCGGTTTAAATGCAGTCCTGGCCGCCGCTCGTATTCCCACGCAACCGGGCGACGACAAACAACCACCACCATTCGGCACAAGTAGATCAGCTCTTCCAACCCCACTTACTACCAGGCGGGAGAATGGTCTACGTCGACGTCTGGGACGACTACGAGCGCGCAGTAGAGAAGTTATACCTCGCCGGGCCTCTCAAGGTAAGTGCCGCATCTTGGAAACTTGGAGTGGATGACTTGGGTCGAAGGCGAAGTTCGGGGCGGACGAGCTTCTAGGACAATTCACTCAGATTCTTTGCGCTCTCTGAAGACCCGATATGTCTCGAAATATCGTCATAAGGACGGCAAGCTCGTCCTGAAGGTGTTTGACGGCGCAACAGTAAGTTCCCACGCGATGCACTTCCCGAAACCCCGCATCAAAAGTGCTCACATGTCTTTTTACAGTGCCTGAAGTTCCGCACGGATCGCATACCAGACCTCCGCAAGTTTGAGCGTCTCAACCTCTCCCTAATGACGCGGATGCAGGGTCGGACTCCTGCACCTCCCGCACCACCAGGTCAGCAGACAACGGCGGCGACTGCCGCGGCGGATCAGGGCGTTGTTCCAATGGATATAGGTGAAGGTAAGGAGAAGCAGGGAATGGTTTGCAATCAAATTACTATGGTGGCGATGAGTCAGGTTCTCACGGTCGCTTTCCACATTCCCAGGTTCATTAGCGTCGAAATCACAAACTCAATCGAAAACAGCGTCATCGACCAGCCTGAATGCTGGGCAGAAGGGCGGGAAGGGCGGCAAAGGGAAGAAGAAGAGAAAATAGAAATGCGGGAGGGGCGTTTATTTCTTTTTGGAGTGGAAGCAGGGATATCATGCGGGAACGCGAGCACCCGCGGAGAAACGATTGTACTTGCATGTTGAGTGCGATTGGGTGGTGGTTCGCGAGGTTTGGGTGGGCTCTTGGCCGGATGCGGGAGCTGTTCATCGATGACCGAGAACTAGGAGTGCGTGGAATCGGTCGGACATGGAGACTGGTGCAGGGACATGTTTCGGTTTGCGGGCAGGTGGATGTGCAACCTTTCAGGCCAATCCGTCACCAAAAGTCCGGGGCGATTTGGAGATCGGTCAGCGGGAGTCGCTCATTCTGTGCGCCATCCACTTCGAAAGCAGCAGAGCCCGACTGGCATCCACCCCGAACCATCATGCATATGGAGGGAAAGAGCAGCGGCGGATCCAGCTCGGCATGCACATCGGATCCCGTTCCCTTGGGAAAACTGTATATTGGGAAATACATACTATATTTTTGAGTCGCAAACTCTTTACGAACATCGAAATTCTACATTTGCGCCCGTGTATCATCAGCCCTTATCCTATCGTCCCGTCCCCGGGACGGGCACTTCACCTCATTTCTCACCGCCCAAATCGATCAAATCCCCCTCAGCCCCCGCCGTCGTCGTTGGCGTCGGCACAGGATGCAATGGCCCCAACGGCGGTAACATCCTCGGTCCGTGCGCCGGGGCGGTCAGGAATCCGGCTTTGAGCGGGCCGAGAGGGGTTATGGGTGGGAGGTGGGATGTGTGCACTGGTGGTTGGAATGAGTGGTCGGCGGCGTCTGTCGATGTCGGATTTGGGTGCGATGATGTTGTTGCTGCAGGTGGTTGTGGTGGTGAAATTGACGATCCTGCGTCGCCACCATCATGCTGATGTGCGGATGCGGACGCAGGTTGATGCACCGACTCAGCGAGATGTTCAGCGCTCTTCCTCCCCACCCCTTCCGTCTTCCCTTCACCCACCTCAGCCCCAACAGCCTCCGGAACAACAACATTCGACAATCGCCTCTCCACCCTGCCTTCCCCTTCTTCTCTCTGCTCCTCACCACCGTGGTCCTCACTATCCGGCGCTTCGCCACTCGGTTGAGACCCACCCAACAACCCCTCCGCACCCTCATCATCTCCATCCGGATAAACCGTATTCCCGCTTTTGTGTTTATTGTCCCGCCGAAGAAGGGACGAGAGCGATTTGGATTTTTTGGGTTGTTTTTCTTTGTCCGTCTTCTCAGTCTTTTCCGACTGTGTTGATGTTGATGGTTGTGTCGGTGCCGGTTGTGACGGCGTTGTCGTGGTGGCGGTGGTGGGTGCGAGGGACGCTTTGGATGCCCCGATTGCAAGAGCGGGAGTCGAGACAGGTGGGTGATGCACGTCATCAAAATCCACCGGCTTCTCAACCACCTCCACCGTCTTTGCTATTCCCGTGACGAGGTCACTCCCACCTCCCGCCGTTGTTTCCCCATGTGGTTGACCGTTCTGTGATTGCTGGGCTGCAGCATCCTCCTCCCGATACCCCTCAACCCTCCTCCTCTGCGCAGCCCGTTCCTCATCCCACGTCGCGCGCTGGGCGGATACATCCCGTTCTGTGCGTTTTGTAAGTGTCGGGAGGTGGGTGTGTATCTCTCTCAACAGTGCTGCCAAATCTGCGTCTGAGAAACAGTATGAATCTCTCCATCATGGGTGAGGACCTAGACGGAGAAGGTGACTTTACCGGTAGCGAGATCAACACCTTTGGCTTTCAAAGCCTCGACGTCGGCTGTGCAGGGGTGAACCTGTGCCCACAGCTTTGGCATTGTATCTTCCCCCGGGTGGGCGTCGACGAGGTCCTTGATCCCAAGCCGATCGTAAAGAACGTCAGCGCGCAGCGACGTCGGCAAATCTTGTTTGTTTGCCAATCTGCAAAAAGATTGCAAAACGAAAAAAGCGTGAGGAAAAGTCTATAACTGGACATGCTGACGAGACGTTTCGGATGACCTACACAAGAAGTGGCTTCCCCTTCATCCGCTCATCCTGATAAATAGCCCGCAGCGCCTCAGCGGCCTCGGGGATACGGCCGCCGTCCGAGGCGTCTACCACGAAAATACACGCATACGCCTGAACCCATCCCAGAAGGAAATAAGCGACCCCTCTTCCATACACAAAGATACAGAAACCGAAGACACGATACCTCAGCATAATAGTTCCGCCAAATGCCCCGAATCTTCACGTCCCCGCCTACATCGTAGAAGGTCACCTTTGTCGATTTGCCCTTCTTTTTCTTCTTCTTCTCATGACTCTCCTCCGTCCCTGAAGTTGGCGTGGGAATGACGAAAGGGATGGTGGCGGTCGTGAAGCCCCAGGAAGTTTTCTGAGCCGTATCCGTATCTATCCACATTTCGTTACCGATCGAGTACGAGAAAAAAAAAGCCCTTGGATGGGACGGGTAGCGGCCGAGACACGATACATACCACCCTTCAACCGCAACAGCACGCTTGTTTTGCCCGCGTTGTCGAGCCCGAAGACTGCGATGCAGAGTCCTGGTTTTGGGGGGGAGGTGGGGGAGATGGAGCCCGGGTGGGGGAGGCAGCAGGTGAGGCAGCGGAGGGCGGATGGCATCTTTTTTTGTGCTGGGATATCGGGTGGATGGGAGAGGTAAGTTTGGCGGTGTGCGGTACTGGAGTTAGGACCGGATGAGCGAAATCTCACCCTTTTAAAAGGCCTGCACCCAGCGAGGACGTGCAGGGAAACCTCACAGGTTTGAAGGGCAAGCGGAGTTTGCCGACAAGGCGCGTTCGAGCTGTCATTTTGCTGTCATTTTCGGGAAGGTCCCAAAAACCCTTGTGAAACCATCCGCAAAAGAGGAAGTGCATATCCGAGGACTGCAGACTCAGGTCCAGATAGCACACATAATGAACCCTCTTGCAAAGAGAGTTTCAGCCAGGCTATACGAATTCAGTGTTGATCAATTCCCATGCAGCCGATACAACATGGCATGACATCCGCAACACATCCGGGTCCAAGAACTTTACACATTCGCTTTTTACATGATGACAAAAAACACAGCCAGTGAATATAAGTGCGCTGAACGTGCGCTATACGTATATATATCCGGGAGATGTCGCACCGATATGACCGTAACGAGGCGACGGGGTTTCGTTACAACGCATTCTCGCCACGCCGCACGTGTCCATAAAAAAAGCAACACCACTCTTCCGCCGTTACCTCGCAACGCTGACATCAACATACTCTACACCATCCATCTACACCCCTCCCATCTCACTCAATTCCAGTATCCCACAATCCAACCCCGCCATTCAATCTCCCACTCCCAACACTTCACTTCCGCCCCCTCCAACAGCAAAACACCACAAATAGCGCGGCCAACACCGCCCCACCCACCGACGCCGCGGAGATCACGAGAGGGAGGAAGAATACAGGTAACGGGGACTCATCGGTTTCGCTGTTGGAGTTGGCGGCGTTGTTGTGGGGTTGTGGGGGGATGATGACTGATGGGGTTGCTGATTGAGGTGAGGGTTGTGATGATGTTGGTTGGGGGGTTGGTTGTGAGGGTGTGATGAGGGCGGATGGGGATGGGGATGGGCGGGGTGTTGATGTGGGTGTGGGTGTACGTGCTGGCGTGCTCGTGACGGCCGGTCGTGGGATTGGGTTTGTTGGCACGGGCGTCGGGCTTTTAGATGGCGCGACAAACGGCGTCGGTGTCGTTATCACAGCCTTGCTTGACGTTGTAATAACCGGTTTCGGCGTCGCTGGCGCTGCAGGCGCCTGTGGTGATGGTGGTACCACCGGACGAGGAGAAGAAGTCGGCGGTGGTGGTGGTTTCGTTGTGATGCTAGCGGTAGGTGCCGGTCTCGGTGCGGGATTTGCCACGGTGGGTTTCGCACTCGTTATAGCCGCCACGGCTGGTGGGGGTGCGGGTGCAGCTGTCGGTTTGGCCGGCGCGAAGACTACCTTGGTCACCACGACCTGTCGTCTGTCTACATTCACGTTCAAGTGTCCCACCAGCCATCTTATAAATCCGCCTTCCTGCCCGCCAGGTTGTTGGCTCGATTCTGATATAGATGTTGTGTTGTGCGCTTGCGTGTCCCCAGGCGGTGGTGGTGGTAATCGAGCCGGATGCGCCGAGATGATAACGGCCAGAACGGATATGCACACATATATTCGGATGAGCGGTGAGACCGACACTCGGTCCGTGAGAAGCATCATACGCGTATATTCCCGTCCGCGTAAGCCCAGCCTCCACAAGGATCGCAGAAGTATCTGTGAAACGCTGTCCTGCCTGCTTGATTCCTTTCCCTTGGCAAGGCCGTCTGAAAACTGATCTGGCTCGCCCGGAGTGACCGTGAAATCGTCTACGAAACTTCGATTACTCTGAAAATGTGTTCTTGGGGTCACGAAAGAATACAGGAGTGCTTGAACTGTCAGTACGCACAGTCTCAAAACGATATCCGTCCTACAGAATGATCCTACAGCACGGAAAAAGACAAACAAAACACAGGGACGACATGCGGCCGCGGGAAACGCTTTCGCTACGCTGGCTCCAGAAACAACGCATGCGATGACATTATCGCTGGCTTATGGGAAAAACGCCTTCCTTCGAGGGGCGAAGGGGGAAAAGCGAATCGAAGCTTAAAAGTTTGGTTTACGGGACGCGTCTTCCGCTTACGCGAGACGCGTAGGCCAAACTCACTGGCCGACAAAACAACCCTTTCCCAGCATTCAGAAACAAAACCATAGCGAAACCACATACCAAGGAAACGGAAAAAGGAAGACGAGAAACACGGGTAGTGATCCGGGCTATATACACGTACACAAACATATACATATACTACAGGGATCCGGAAAACATGTTTACAGTACAGGGGAAGGCGATGAAGCGATCCGGGGATGAAACGACGGGTAACAACACATCCGTCTGGAGGAAGGCAAAAAAACATACGGCCTGGATCTCGAACTATCTACATGGCAGGTGGTACTACGTGCACTAAACTTACACATGCCGGGTCCTTCATCAGTCACTCACGGGGCACGGGTCCTGCTCCCATTTGACACCACATTACCATGAATAATTCGTTTCACAAAACCGGGGGCAACCTAACCGACCTCTGCGCGGCCACCGCCGCCGCAGCCGGGGCATACAAGCCGTTCACCGGCTGGTGCGGTACCTCACCTGCGGGTGGCGTGAGCGGCGATGCCGGCGCGGACGCAGCGGATGAGTGACGGGATGGCGAAGAGGGGCGGATGTAGTCGATGAGGATGCTGGCGGTCGTGGCCGTGCGGGTGGGCGCGGATGGGGGTGTTGGAATGGGTTTTTCGGGGAGGGGTGGCGGTGGGGTGGGGATTTTGATCCATTTGTCTGTTGAAGGACGGCGGAACTGATTAGTCAGGATGGCTATGGCAGTAAGGCGAGCCCCAGATACGGTTCAGGCGGAGGTAGGAGATATTTGACAAACATTACCAGGGACCATCAAAAAGTTCTGCTCCATAGCCCTCCTAAACCGCTCCGCATACAGATCCGGCGGCAAAATCGTCACAGCCGGCAACTCCCCCACCGGGCTCCCATCCTGCCTCTCCACCGGCGACCCACGCATCGCCAAAACCCCACTTATCGTCGTCTTAGCCTTGCTCTCAATACTCTTATACCACGTATAACTTCCGACAAAGTCCACAATGCCCACAACCAGCTCCTTCCGCGCGTCATTCACGCCGACAAGGAGTGAGTAGTCCATGATATTCGCCGAGGCGAGGAACGCGGTGTCGGAGGCGATGCACGCGGTCAGGATCTGCTTGCTGTGGCCGTGGAGACGGATATGCTGGGTGTATCGACCCGACACCCATTCGCCGTCCCATAGGACCGCGACGTCGGAGGAAGGTGTGGGAGGGGTTGGGGAGAGCGGGACGAGGGTGGAGGTAGTGGTGGAGCTGGAGGAGGTGCTGCTTTGTTCGTCGGGGAGGGCCAGGTTCGATGTGGAGGTGGTGCGGTGTTTGGTGGCGATGTGACGGTCGGGGATGCCTTTTAGGTCGAACTTGCGGGAAATGTTGACGTTGGCGAATAAGTGCTCCATTACCAGGACATCTAGTCGGTTGACTGCTCCCGTTACGACGTTTTTGCGTTTGATGGTATAGAACCCAAAGATTTTGACGAGGACCGTTGGGTTCTTGTCGCTCCTCTCCATGTACTCCAAATACTTGGGTGCGAATTTCAACAACTGGCCCTTCTCGACGTTTCCCCAGCTCCACTTGCCACCCGTAAGCTCCTTGATCACTAGCGTTTCATCCAGCGTCTTGAAGAAAGCCGCCCGCGATTTGCCGCCGGAGACCGACTCCCATGCCGAACAGCGCGAGAGGGAGGTGATATAGGAAGAGGAGATTGAGCATTTCCGCCGGAGAGAGGAGAAGCGGTGGTAGTAGTAGGATGTAAGGGAGGTGTGATGGGTTTTGGAGCGAAATTCTGTGATGCGAGAAGTCAAATGAAGATCGAGGTGATGTGAAAGACTTTTTTCTCACGAACACATGTGCTCTTACTGAATTTGATATGCGGCGTCGCATCCCCGCTCGTACCGCTGCTCGCACTCTCATGCGAAAAGGGTATAACCTTCACAACATAATCAGCGTCCACATTCCTCCACTGCGGGCGCGGGTTCGAACTTGCCGCCAGCGGTGACGCGGTGTTCGACCTCGGTTCCGCCGCGGGCCCGTTTCCACGGGACGGGGATGGTTGCGGGGTTAGATAGTTATGCAACTCCGCGCCGGGGGTGGTAGGCAAAGCCGTCGTAGTGGTGGTAGACGGATCGTTCGGTTCATCAGCTAACCGAGGCGGCGGGCGGCGCCGTGCTTCCCGGATGTAGTCTTTGGAACTGAGTGTGAATGCGATGATAGAGGTTGGTTCGTCTTCTCGTACGAGCACGAAGGAGTTGGGGTATACGTGGACTTTGGCGGGCACGTTCGGCAGCGCTTTGCAGTACTCGGGGACCTGCCAGTCTGGCGTCGGCAACGGTGGGTCGACAACCCCTCGTTCGGCGGTCCACTCCCCGATCTCCTTGATGACCTCGTCGATTTTGTCAAGGAAGCGCTTGCGGACGTCATTCACTTTGTGCATCTTGTCGACGCAGGGCACGATACTGTCAAACAGCGCCTCTTCGTCGGCTTTGTATCTCCGCCACATCTCGTCAAGCATCAGCTGGCATCGGACTTGATCGGGCGTGCCCTGGTTGCGGGTAACGAGGTTAGCGTACCCTGTGGCATCTTGCAGTTTCTTGATGTGGTCGAAGAGGGAGCCGTAGAAGTAGGTGATTTCAAGCCGGAGGTCGTCGAGAATGCGGACGATGTCGGGGACGGCGGAGGTGCCGTGATGTGGGTGGTGCGGGTGGTGGTGGTGGTGGGCCGGAATATCAATGTCGATGTCGACGTCGGAATCGCTTTCGGTCGTGTTGTCTGTGTTGGAGGACGAGTCACCGTCTTGCGTGTCTCGCGGAGATTCAGTGGCTGGAGTATCCAATAGGTGAGACTCCGGGTTTGTAGCAGAGCCCAGCAGTTTATTTGTTTTCGCCGCCGCCGCCACTGCTTCTTCAATATGATGGTCTGGGCTGATCTGGATTTTCGGCAATCGCATTTCGAAAAGATCAATCTGATCATAACCGAAGATAACGATCCTGTCTCGGTACCGGAAGCATCTGCGCAACACCTCCCGACCCCGCTCACCAGCCACATGATCGCATAACAATGTCGGGATGAAATACGGGTTGTAGTAAAGAAGTTCGAGATACTTTGCGAGCGAATAGTTCCAGCTTGCGAGAGACATGGGTATAATGTGAGTTGCAGCGTTGCATGCGATGCACGCAGTCCACATATAGATTCGATTGTTTTTGCCGGCTGCTTGCGTGGCTACCTCATTCTCATCATTGTCGTGCTCATGGTGATCCCTGAGGACCAGCTTCGCCTCTTGGGACGTCACACTGATGCGACCGGTGTTGTGCGTATACGTGATGACGTGCTGTCCCATCGTCTTTCCTCCGCACATGGCGCCATCAGGGCATGTTCCAGTTGCCTTCTTCGCGAGCAGCTCGACGAACTGTCCCAACGTCCTGTCTTGGTGCGCACTGCTCGTGGCCTTCTGATAGTACTCGATAGTAACAATTTCTGGAGGCCGACAGGGTATGACATGGTGGTTGTCATAGGTGGGCAAATGATACGAATATGCGAAACTGATGCTCTGGTGTCTAAGGACTCCGACGATGCTATTGTTGTTTGTTTGCAGGCATCCCAAGCCCGCCCGAGAGTCCACCGAGATATGGGAGTTTCGGCTAGCGACCGTCGAAAACCGACTTTTCCGATTGGCGGCGTATATGTGTGCGCCCCAGCTCGAGAACCGACCAGATCCGTAGCCTAGTTTTTGGCGTCCATTCCGTCCGCCACCGGTGAGGAAGTCAACGTCGTCTACAGCATATGATCGCCGCAGATCCCTCTCGTTGAGTGATAGTGCCGTGTCATTGTTAGAATCGACCGGATCGGTGTCCTTTTCCTCGTTGCGAAGACGAACGAGAAGATGGGGCGGTGGAAACGTTACATCGGGTGATGCACTGATGATTGTTTTTGAAATCTGTTTGATGGCTCGATCGAAGCGGTTTCTGCCATCCGCGTCATCGCCTGCCTCCGACTGACCAGCAATGGAATCTTTCGCAGATAATCGACGGCCGCTCACGTCAATCTGTGACCCTTCCTCCCCGTCGCTCCCTCCGTCGGCGCCTCGGATCCAGTTCCAAATATGCCTGGCGGCATCCCGCTTCCTTCTCCTTCCATCGTTCTGCCTATGCCCATCGGGATGCTTCCCATGCCCCCCATCCACAATCGACGATAGTGGCCGCCGAGCGACGAAATGATCCTCGAGCAAATACATTTCGAGCTTCAGATTACAAGCGACAAAGATGATCAGTTCCATCACCTTCTCCAGCTTTCGCAGATCCTTTACAGTGCCCTTCAGAACGACGGTGCCGCCCAGCTCCAACAGCCTAGGCTCCTGCTCTGCTTCCTCAGGGGTTATGAGCCCATCCGGAGGCCCGGGAACATAGTGACACTCTAGAGGCTCGCCGTCAGGGTCCAAGGAAATTTTGATGGAATGGTGGAGCGGTGCGACGTGACCGGTTGGTTGTGCTGCCGGCCGAGAAAGCACCTCCAGCACATAAGGAAGGTCTTGGGCAATTTCGGACGCGACATCAGTGAGCACTTTTTCCCACGTATCAATATCGCTGACGTGCACTTCGGTGAGGCATTGACGGGCGAGGGCGTGGAGGTGATGGCGAGAGGTGGCGTCTACGTTGTGCTTCGGAACTGGTCGTGGTGGCTGCAATGGTATCTCGCGGGGTGCCGCTATTGCTGTCTGGACAGGACCGTCACCGGCGGGCGGACCTCGATTCTCTTCGTCTCCTGCAGTGCTGATTCCCTGCGCTCGTACATAAGCTTGTATAAGCCCGAGCTCGGCATCGAACTGGGAACTCCCTTCCTCGATAGGCTTATCAGAGGGAACCTTCGAGAGCGCCTTTTGAGCGTCAACGTTGTCCTGCTGGGAAGCGGCGGGTTTGGTGGACGTTCCAAAGATGGGCATGCTGCCCCGTATCGAGACGAGCTGAAGTCGGGGGGGTCCTGCGCTTTCGTCGGCGCTTCCCGCCGGGCTATGTGTGCGTTCTATACTATGCTTGTCTCCTCTCAACCGTTATTGCTTCCGACGCCACTCGATGGCAGCCGACGATTCCCTCCAGAATTGCCATACTTGCCACTTGGAACGCCTTCGACAGGCCGCCCAAGGTGGTCACGATGACACACAACTGTCAAAACGCGGCTGACGCGATATTTACGTAAAGCTTCCGCTCCCTGTCGAAACTCAATCGCAGCGAGTATTTACATAATTACATATGTACATAATACGTAATTTGACTGTCATGACACCGGATCTGGCTGCTGATATTGACCACATGCAGATTTCACTCTCTCCCGCTGTCCTCCCGCAACAGCCGCTTCCTCCCCCCTCCTGCTCCTTTCTTGAACCCTCCTCTGCAGTCCCTTCGACTCTCCCTCCGCTCGCAACTTGCATTCGGCTCCCTCCCCAGCCACCATCTGACCTACAGCCACTGCGGAAATCACTCTCCTTACACCTACACTGCAGAAATCTCTTCTTCCATTCGTTCGCCGCGGACATACCCTCCAGCGTCGTAAGGCAAGCTTAGCTCCTGTTCATGGCCGTCACAATCTTCCCCCGACCATCAGCACCATCGCATTTATCTTAGTTTCCGCAAGGAGCCAATTCCCAATCCCTGGCCCCTATTCATCTTCCCTTCATTTTGTTTCTCCCCTCCAGCCCATTCATCTCCCACCGAAATCGCAGGTCCCTTCCGGTTCCTCTCCGCATTCAGTTCAGTCCGCTATTCATCTCCCGCTCGACAATTTCCTCCAATCTCCAGGTCGTTGGCGGACTACTCAGCGGCCGGAAGGAGTCTCGAACCTGCCGTGAGAAGTTCGAAACAGGGACTGGAAATTGGAGCCCAGATATCAATCCGACATCTCTCATTCAGCTCCAGCCACATCAGGCCCGTTGAGTTCCAAAGGGTCCAGGTGGGCTCCTGACTACGATTGCAGAAAAGGTGCCATATTTTCCGGCGCTATCGAATCCAGCTGTCCCGAACGTCTTTCTATCGTGATCCAGCTGGTCCGAGCCATCGCTTGATCCCGTCAAAGGGGCCTCCATCGGTCGCGTTCAGGGTTGATCGCTTGGATAGGCACGGAGACGTTTAGGTTGATCGCTTTGATAGGCCCGACGGAAGCACACTGGGCCCCACCCAAAAAAAAAAAACCTTTCGGCATATTAGCGATCGAGCCGTGGGCCTGAAATTATTCTTACGCGAGCCCAATATCCTCGCGCTTTCGTGTTCCGTGCACTGGATCGTAGTAGTCAGATTGCTGAACAGATAATATCCATCAGAAAAGGTGAATACCATTGCGTTTTTCTGGAACCATTCACAAAGAAAACCCTGAAGATCCCACTTCTTCAATCCAGATCAAACCCATCCTTTATCTCTGCGAGAGAAGCAAGAGGGCCATCGAAAGAAAGGAGAACCTTTCAGCATGTCAAGCTCATGGTCGGCGTTGCCTGCCGTGAATAATGACGGGAACTCGGCGGGCGCTGAGAATGCTCCTGCTGCCGGTGCAGGAGGGAAGGTGGCAGCGCCTCCATTGTCGTCCGCCTCGTCACCATTACGCATTGGTGCTGCTGCTGCTGCAGCACATAAAACGGCAAAGCGGAACTCGGCCCGCCCAGGTCAGACACCCATCGGCGGATCGGTACACTCTGCCTCTTCTTCTGCGTCTACTTCTGCCACTGCTGCTACTCGTGCTTTTCGTGCACGTTCCACAACCACAACAACGCATCCTTCATCAAAGAAACCAGGCGTCGACGCCAAACCTAAACCGCACACCGCGAAACTCAAACCCAAACCTCAACCCGCCCACTCGAACACCCACATCGCTCCGGCTGCCACACCCTCTTCCACTTCTACATCCCCGACCGCATCAAGTACCGACATGAGTTACTGGACAGTCAGCGGCGGTAAGGCTGTTCGGCCACAGACATGCCGGTCGTGCAAGCGAACCATCTACAAGAACGAGGAAATGATGGTAAGCCCCCCAATCCTACTCATCCCCCCATCCCCACCTCCTGCCCCCATCAACCCTCATCTCACCGTCGCCCTCCCTCTCTCCCCCCTCCAGGTCCGCGACGGCCGCAAAATCCGCCTCTTCTACCACTCCGCCTGCTTCGAAGGCGACAATGACCCACGCACCCAATCCAACTCCTCCTTCTTCGACTCCCGCTACACCGCCGCGGCAACACAGGCCGCGTTCGCGCCCCACGCGCCCACCGAGAAGGGGCATGGCAAGTGGAGTGTTGATAGCTATGGGTATAATCCCAACTATACGTTTGCGTGAAACTCAAATGTGTGTATCTGTATGGGCGTGAGCATAGGATGTAGTCGTAGATGGGTGATGTGCTCTCGCTTTGGTGGGGGAAGGCGCTTGTACCTCTGGGCCCCGCCGTCATCGGGGCTCGAGCAGAGTTTCCGGAAACTGTCGGATCCCGAGATGTTGCGGAGGGAGGGGTAGGCGGATATATACCCCATGGTCGTGAATGTATATAACCAAATCTTAGCGACCGTTTTTCTTGAACCTTCAAGGGAGTTGTGAACGAACCTCTACTTGCTCTTCTTCGTTTCGGCCCTTTTCGAGAAAGCGGGGTTGGGGGGCCCTCTCACTGATTTTATGCGGGACTTTGGAAGAGTCTCAATGTCGAGAGTGGGGAGGATTGGGTCTGGACACTATCCCACGGAGCTCCGACTCCGCACATTCATCGGGCGGGCCGTGCCTTTCAGACCTTAAAAGAAAAGTCTCGCCAGCCGCCGGAGAATGGCTGGGGTTCTGATGTATGTACACAGCCCAACCACATTACGCGTGCAGCTCTAGGTCCGGCGAGAGGAAAGAAAGTATAAGGGGGAAAGGAGCTCGGAGATGAGATAGGGTCCGAGTGGGCATTGATGCGGCTGTGGGTAGAGCTCTGGATGGTGGCGAGTCAAGCTTCCGGGCTTAGCAGGAGACACGGAGGCTAGGAGAGAATCACAGAACACAACCAAGGGGTTATACGTAGTTGGTGTACCCATGCACCATACGTGCACTACGAGAGAAAGGCCTATGGGACTCCATTCCACGCATCCCTTTGTGATCTGCAACGACATGTGGGGCCAACTCGGTTTCCACAGGTCTGGAGAGATGGGGGCCCAGATAGTGGGGACGTTGTTGGGGTGTGGACAATTAAGTGTGAATGGCGTTTGGGGGATGTGAGAAAGGGGAGACCTCCGACAACCTGACGACGGACTGTCCGTGAGTTGGGCCTTGGACTCCGCCAAGCGCGTTTTGCGGTGCGCAGCGCGCGCTTTTGGATTTGACTTCGAAGGGGAGACAACGACGCTAGCCACACAGCCCTAGGAGCCCAAAGCCATGGGTTGTTCCGAACTTGCTCGGTACCGGTGTTGAGTAGTACAGTACGTACGATGAACCAGAAGATCGTGGGTGTGCCATTGTCCGTCAAGCGTCCAATTTGGCGCCAGGTGAGGAGTTTTGGCGGTCATCGCCAACATACTGCACCGGAGCGAAACGGAACCATTGCCGCTGACAACTACATACAGTACATCCCGATCTTGACCCTTATTCGGCAACACAGTTGATAAGGAAGTATGAGTACACGGGGGACGTACAAGTTGACGGGAAGCGAGACTGGTAGATTCTAGTCTATACAAATGGTTTGGCGGGGTGGGGACTGCGGATCCTCATCGATGCAAATACCGGCATGGATGGGCATGGATGGGCATGGATCGAGCGTTCCCCCGCCTAGAGACGTCCATGCGCCAAAGGGGAATGTGGAGGTCGATGCATGCCATCCAAAGGGACCCTTCGTGGTATGCTCTTCGTCTCCCCGACTCACCCTCTAGGGGAAGCATTTTGCGGCTTGTAACACCATCCTTTGATCCAGGGCGACCCGACTCTGACCCATCATCTCCACTCCTCCCGCCGGCGATTTTCCGTCTAATCTCGCTTTACCACAAAGCCTTCCTTCTAATCCGATCCACAGCCCTAACCTTCCTCGCAATGCTCATCCTCTCAAACCTCTCCCTCTCCGTCGCCACAATCATGCGCTTGCGAGCCGGCGGGCACTTCGCCTCCCGCATAACCAACGCAGGGGGCACGTTGAATTTGCGCGCCAGCTGCGTCACCGTCCACGTGTCCGGGTCCTCCCGACGGAGCTTCTGCAGTTCAGCCAGCTGCGCCGCGGTGATTTCCGTGCTGCTCGCTGGGTGTGGCGGGCGCAGTGCTGGGGGGAGGTTGTTGAGTGTGGAGGCCGGTAAGACTTGGGGCGCCGGGGCTTTGTGATGGCGTTGGATGAGGACGGAGCCGTCGTCGAGGGTTGTGCGGGGGGTGTCGGCTGGGACGTTCCAGGAGTAAAAGGTTCGGAGGGCGGAGATGGTGGGGTATTTGGCTGATCTTGGGAGGATGGTGGAGGTTGTTGTTGGCAGAACGGATGCCGCCCGCTGGATGCACACAGTTCTCGTTCTGAACATCGTACCGATCCGCACTCTCGTAGAAAATATATATTTGCTGTTCTCTACGTCCCTGCTTTCCGTAAGCTTCCCTCCGCTTCAGTGAGCGGCGCTATTTGCGGAAAGAAGTTTGTTCGTTTCGACGGAAGACTTCGTCCCCGAATAGTTTGGCGGTGAGACTCGGTGCCGCACGCTCAACACACAGACCAGAAAGTCGAAGTGCGTCGGCTTCTAGTATACTTCTTACGCTTCCGGCAAGAAGAAAACGGAGGACTGGGGCGGCTTCTAGTTCGTATCGGTGCAGATGCAGTTGGAGTGGGATTGTAGTTGTTGTGCTTTCGGTTTGAAGGTGAAGGTTGCCACTCGACGACGGGGAAGCTCGACGGTCACGTGGGCCGGCGTGCTCTGTCGCCCTTTTTAATGCGACAAACTTGCCTTTTCACTTTTCGTCGTTGTCGTCGGCGATGGCAATAGGAATACCCAGACTCACACAGACCACTTACAAAGGCGAGCTGCAATGGACAACAAGCACGTCGTCGGAATCCTCGGTGGGGGACAATTGGGCCGGTATGTTGTGTTTTCTTTTGGGGTTCTCCTTGAAATTGACCTTATAGACTCATCGACGATGCCCTCCGAAATAACAGCATGCTGGTCGAAGCCGCCAACCGCCTCAACCTCCCCATCCTCGTCCTCGACGCCGCCAACAATCCCGCCGTCGACCTCTGCGCAACGACTCCCGGCCACGTCACAGGCTCCTTTCGTGACCCAGCCTCCATCGCCACGCTCGCCGCCAAATGCTCCGTCCTGACAGTCGAGATCGAGCACGTCGACGCCGACGCTCTCGAGAAGGCCGCCGCCGAACACGGGTGTGCAGTCCACCCAAGTCCGGAGGTTATTCGCATCATCCAGGACAAGTATGCCCAGAAGCGCCACTTGGAGAAATTCGACGTCCCGCTGGCGGAGTACAGGGATCTGGAACCCGGGGCTGAGGCGGAGGGCATCAAGTCCAGTGGGTTTGGATACCCCGTCATGCTGAAGACCAAGACCGGCGCGTACGATGGACGAGGGAACCGTGTGGTGAAGAGCGAGGCGGATGTGGCGGATGGTGTGGAATCCCTGGGTGGCGGCAAGGCGAAAGGCGGGCCGGCCCTGTACATTGAGAAGATGGTACCCTTCGTCAAAGAGGTCGCGGTGATGGTTGCGCGGAACTCGAAGGGAGAGGTGGTCAGCTATACGTGCGTCGAGACGATTCAAAAGGACAACATCTGCCACGTCGTAATCGCACCGGCGCGCATCGACGGTCTGATCGGGCAGCGGGCGCGCCGGATCGCGGAGAAGGCCGTGGAGGGTCTCAGCGGCGTCGGGATCTTTGGCGTCGAGATGTTCCTCCTGGCCGACGGCCGCATCCTGCTGAACGAGATGGCGCCCCGCCCGCACAACTCCGGGCACTACGCAACTGAGGCATGCCATACCTCTCAGTTCGAACAGCATCTGAGATGTATCCTCGGCATGCCGCTCGGATCCGCCGAGTTGAAGGTCCCTGCGGCTGGGATGGTCAACATCCTCGGCGTCGGGTCGGGCGATCAGGGTATGCATGACACCCTGCAACCGTGCGGCCGCTCATTAGCGGTTCCAGGCGCCACTATCCACCTCTACGGCAAGAAAGAGTGCCGCGCCGGCCGGAAGATGGGCCACGTCACCGTCGTCGCGGATACCATGCGCACCCTCTTATCCCGTCTAGAAGAAATCCTCGGCGAAACCTCCCTCACAGCCCCGCAACAACCCACATTCACAAGCACACGAACAACCACCACCACATCCGCAACCCCTGCCACCACACCCACCCCACCACCCTCAACAACAACCCAAACCGCCCAAGTTGGCATCATAATGGGCTCCGACTCAGACCTCCCCACCCTCAAACCCGCCGCCGCCATCCTCCGCCAGTTCAACATCCCCTTCGAAGTTACCATCGTCTCCGCCCACCGCACCCCCGCCCGCTTGCACGAGTACGCCCAGCAGGCCCACCTCCGCGGACTGAAAGTGATCATTGCGGCGGCGGGAGGTGCCGCCCATCTGCCGGGGATGGTTGCGGCTGTTACACCGTTGCCGGTCGTGGGCGTACCCGTGGCGTTGAAGGTGTTGGATGGGATGGATTCTTTGTTGAGTATTGTGCAGATGCCGGTGAGTTCCCAAAATCTCCAATACCCTTCATTATGCCGACCCCCTTTCGACAACGTCCAGCTGACCAACCCCTTCTCCTCTATCTCCGAAACAGCGCGGCGTCCCCGTAGCAACAGTAGCAATCAACAACGCCGTCAACGCCGCCCTCCTCGCCATCCGCATCCTCGGCGCCTCCGTCCCCGAATACCGCGACGCGATGGCCGCCTACCTCGCCGCCCAGGAATCCGAGGTACTCAAGAAGGTAGATACGTTGGAGAGTGTCGGGTGGGAGGCGTATGGCGAGAAGTAACGGAGTTAGAGATGTCGGGATGGATCATCTTTCGTCTGTTTGGGTCCCTCGTTCCCAAGCGTCCCGTTGTACGTATACATATCAATATTGTTACTCTCCACGTTTAGATCTCATGATCTGTATAGAGTATGATATATTCGCATGATTTGCAAACATCGTATTTACAATCGCCCGTGACCCAAACAGAAGTATATTTACAGCACGTCTCTCAGCGGCCGTTACTTCCCGCTAGCAAATGAGGCAGGCATGTGCGCCGCAATGAGCCGGTACGCTTCGAGCCGCTCCAGCGCTTGCGGGCCGTACCAGAACAACGTCCATTCCTGCTGTTGTTTCAATTTTTGATGGCCCGCGTCCCCGTCTTCGCTCGCCGCCCTCCCAGCGCCCCCACCCCGCAAAACCCAATGCCCCTCCGCGCGCTCAAAATACCACCGATTCACCGGATTCTCCCGCCGCGACCGCCAACACAGATCCGGATACCGCCGCCGTAACTGCTTCCACAGTATATCCGCGACGCCGATGCCCTGCGCGGTCGGGGCAACCGCGAATTTATCCAAATACGCATATCTCGCCCCGCCGTGTGATGGGCCCGGGATGACTTCCGCGGTGACGATCGCAGCACCGTCGTAGTCCCCCGCGACGATGACGCCGTGGATATAATGTTCCGTGCGGGGCCAGTATATGTCTTGGAGGAGGCGTTTCCGGAAGGAGGCTTCGAGGAGGGTGTTTAGTTTGGTGCGGTTGAGGGTTGTTAAGGTGGGGTGGAAGGAGACGTTGAGGCCGTGGCGGAGGAGGGTGGGTGGGGTTGGCGGGGTCGGGGTTATTGTGTTTTGTGTATGCGATTGTGATTGTGGTGGATCGGACGCGACGACAGTGACGGGTTTATCGGTGATGAGGTTCGCAATGAGACTTGTTGAGGACGCGGCGGCGGCGATGATGGCAGAGGAGCTGGTGGGGAGGACGCGGAGGACGTGGTGGACTGTGTCGAGATCTTGTAGCTGGCGCCGGCCGGTTTCTTGATCGTGTGCGCGTAAGGCGGCGGTGCGGCGAGACGCATCGAGTTCGTCGTCGTCGTCGTCGCGGAGGGAGACGTGGCGGCGACGGCGGCGGAATGAGTGGTGGGCGGATGGGTGGGATAGATCTCCGTTTGTTCGTTTGAGGAGGGCGTCCCGGACGGGTTCGTACTCGTCGGCGAGGTTGATGAAGGTTAAGGGGTGTTCGTCGTCGTCGTGGTGAAAGGGTTTGCGGGGGCGGCCTGTGCGGTGGGTTTCGGCGTCGATGGGGTTGGTGAGGCCGCCGCGGTCGTTGAGGAGGATGGCTTTGAGTGGGGAGCGGAGGTGAGGGTCGGAGGTGAGGGCTTTTGCAAGGGCAACGAGGGCTTGGCGGGCGGGGAGGATGGCGGTTGTGGAGGTTTCGGGGTTGTAGCCGAGGGAGGTTAGGATGGGGATTTGGTGTAGGTTGAGGGAGACGTGGATGGGGGTGAGGTCGATTGACGTTTGGGCGGGTGAGGGCTCGGGGTTGGTGGGGGATGTTGAGGATGGGAGGGAGTCCGTGCCGGGGATCTCGGCCGTGAAGACTGGGGTCACGGAGGGGGAGGGACTTCCTGTGTCGGAATCGACGACGTCCTTGACGCTGTCGAAGACACCGCTATACAGAGCCATGCTCCTTCCACCCGCCGCATCGACGTGATCCACAACCCTGAACACTTCCCTCAGCAGCCGCTTCCTCGCCGACTCCGCGTCCTTCAATGTCACACCGTGACCCCATCCGTCGTCATCCTTGTGGGAGGTCATTGCTAAGCCATCCGGTTCCTCCAATAGTACAATGGGCATGAGACCTAGTTTCTGGAGATGCACCAATGTGGCGGCAAAGCGGCGAAGTTGGGAGTCGGGCAGCATCGCTTGCAGGCAGATCAAACCCAACTGCTGTTGTTGATGTGGGGTAAGGATCTCCTGCGCTATCGTGCGGTGGGGTGTGATTGGTGATAGTATGGCGTCGTTCAGACTGGATGCTGGTGGTGGCCGCCAGGGTGGTTTTGATGACGACGGATCTGTTCTGCTCTCCTGCAGCTTTTCCTGCAGGTTCTCCTTCGCCTTCGCAGGACCCAGACCATTGCCCTCCGTACGATCCCCCGCCGCAGCCGCTTTCCCATCCTTCCCATTCACTCCGTGCCCAGGCCTCGGCGGATGGGGCTCCTGCCCAAATCGTTTCAAAAACTGCCTTGCCTCCCGTTGTGACGGAAGGGTTCTAAGGAGGTCCAGAAGAAGCTGCCTGTCATGGCACCTTGCACTGGTTCGGAAGGATCGCGTTTGCTGACGACGGCATGGCCAGGACAGCGTGGTTGCTGCTGTTCCTAATCCGGGGTGAGGTTCTCTAGCGGACGCTTTCGAGGCGATCGGGACGGTGCCCGTGCCGCATTTCACGCCATGCCGGAGCGAAGATGCCGCCGACGACGCGTTTTTCGCAGCTCCAACGGCCCCGAAGGAGGCAGTCGTCGCTACTCCCGGCAAGGACAAGGACATTCCTGCAGGTCTTCTCCTACTGTATCTATCCAAGTACCTACTGTACAGTATCTGCCGCCTGCTGCCAGCCGCTCGCCTGAAGCCTGTGGAGGGGGCTCTTTCGCGACTTTGGAGTGTGAACGTGATGATTCATTCTATTCGGAATGTCACGTGGAAGTGAATTAAATGCTCCTGTCGCTTTTTGGACATTTCGCACTTTCGGAAGGGCTTGCAGGACGAAGGACAGAGGAGCTAGCAACATCCCCTCGGTAATGTCCGCCACTCGCTACTCCTCAAGGGTCGTCCGCAAGGGCTGCAGAGCCACTGCTGCGGCTGCCACCGCACTCTCCGCGTTCACCACCCCGCACTCTGGCTGCCTTCTCCCATTCCTCTCACCCTCCCTCCTCCATTGCCGCCCGATCTCAGTCCGCGCCGCCAGAGCAGCCATAAAGCTGCAACAGCAAAAGCAAGGAAGCAGCGACTCGAAAGCAGCAGAGGAGGCCCGGAAGCAAAAATATAAGAACCTCGCGACGAAGGATGGGACCCGGCGCGGTGCTTCCGACCCGTACGAGCCGGGCACGCTGTTGTCGTCCACAGCTGCTGCCTTGACCGCCGCGAGTAGCCTACCGCTCGATGCGCAGCGAGCAGTGCATTTGTTTCATCGGGCGGCTGTAGAGAGAAACGTCGCAGTCGCCGTCGCAAACTACAGACTACTAGCCGCGCGGGACCTGGAGACAGCACTGCCATTCGATGACCTCGTCAAATTACTACGGATGCTGGGCGAGCCGCTGATGTTATCGGGAGACTACATCCCGACAGAAGCAGACATGGAAACCTGGCAAGCGATCTTCTCGACGCTGAGACGCGTGCGCGTGGGGATCTCGCCGCCGCATATGATCCCTGGAGACGTTTATCGGATCATATTTGTCGCGTGTGCGCGGATGCAGAACACTCTGGGGATGCAGGAGGCGTGGGAGGCAGTGGTGGAGGATCAGGCAAGGCCCGAGGTGCAGGTGTATGACGACGCGATTATGGCGTTTGCAAAGGACGGGCTCATCAAGCAGGCGGATTCCGTTTTCGCTGCGTTGAAGGAGCGGGTGGACATCGCTCCTGGATTCAACACCTATGCCGCGTTGATCAAGGCTCGCGCCGTAGCGGCCGACCTGGATGGGGCTTTGTTGTTGATGAAAGAGCTCCTATCAATGGACGAAAAGATCCCCATCGTCATATTCAACACCCTAATGGAAGCCTACCTGAAAAAACTCATGATCGCCGAAATGGAACATCTCTTCATCCAACTGGACGAGCACAAAACTCTCCCCAACATCATCACCTACCACATCATGCTCGACGGGTACGCCAAGACCGGCGACGCACCCCACGCACTGGCCCTCATCCAACGCATGCGCTCCGAGGTCGAGACCCGCCATCGCCCTGACTGCGCGCCCAACACGGTGACACTCAACATCGTCATGGATCTCTTCCGAAACCTCGACCAGGTCGAAAACGCCGTTGCAATCTTCCACGAACTCACAGCCAACGTGGACAAATCCCAACGTATCCGGCCCGATAAGATCACATTCACGACACTGATTGACGCCTTCCGCCGCCGAAACGACTTGGACTCTATGAACACTTACTTCCACGCCATGCAACACGAGCACGGGATATCCCCCACCGCCGCCCAATTCTCCGTCTTCATGCGCTACTACGCAGACACGGGCGACGCCCGCGCCGTCGTCAAGATCTACACGGACATGCGCGCCCGTAAGATCCAACCGATCCGATCCACCTTCCTCAACCTCGTTCGCGCACACGAGATCGCGGGACAACCCGACGGCGCGGCGAGGTGGTACTGGGAAGCCCGGAAACGCGGGTTGACCCCGAACATCGGGACCGTCAACGCGGCGTTACGTGCGCAGTGCGCCGTCCCCGCCTCCGCACACCCGACGTTGATGACGGTCGTGCAGGATATCTACACCGACGCCCTCCGCTGCGACAAGGTCGACACCTCGTGCGTCACCACCCTCCTCCAGGCGCATCTGCGCGCGGGGAGCAGTGTGAGCAGAGTGGTGGAAGGGGTGTATGAACGGGAGTTTGAGCAGAGGGGGGTGAAGCCGGACCAGGGGACGCTGATGGTGTTGATCAACAGGGGGATGCGGCGGGAGGAGGTTGTTGCGGAACGGATGGGGAGGGAGGGGGCGGACCCGACGACCTGGGATCCGATCATCGCGTATCTGCAAACCAGGCGCGCGGATCCCGATGCGAAATCGACGCCTGCGGACACCACTGCGACAACCGTCACCACATCCACGGATACCCCGGGCCCGACACCCCCGCCAGCACCCCTCGCACCCCCCACCCTGCACCACACCCTCCACGCCCTCGCAACCCACACCGTCCCGCTCCCCTTCGCACCCCCGCCCGCGAAACTCGAAGCCCGCGCCCTGCTCCGCGTCTACCGCGACGTCGTGCACGCCCACCCCAACAGGCCCGTGTCCGCGGCCGTGCTGTATGCGCTTGCGAAACGGATGGATGAGCTGCTGGGTGCGGTTGATTGGGCCGGGCTGCTGGGGTTGACGACATGGGCGGGTGGCGAGACGGGCGTTGCTGCCGAGATGGAGGGGCGGTTGGAGGCATCGGAGGCGGACGGGGATGTGCCGAAGGACGCGTGATGGATGGCTCCTTTCCCACCCACCTATGTGATTTTTTGTGTTGTGGAATGGCGTAATGCAAATCATGTGCGTGTAGACTAGATAGATGCATAGAATGGGGACGCATCGACATACAGTCACTCTTTGCCACCCCCGCCTCTAAAATGCCGCACCATGACCTCAACCTCCCCACACGAAACCCACGCCAAATCCGAATCAAGAGAGAAAAAGAAAAGGGCAGCTCAAATCATATTCACAATAAAAAGAAACACAAAAGCGGAAGGGGGATTTCACACTACATCACGAAAGGTTGGTAACCAACAGGGCTCCCCGCAGCGAGTGGTGGCAATAAATTTACGTGAGAGAGGGATGTGAGTGGGCGTAAAGATGTAAGGTGTTGTTGGGGTGGGGTGGGGTAGGGGTGTGGCATCTCGTTTCGACGAGACGACGACGTGATGGTGTGCGATGCGGGGTATGTGGGAAATCTACAACTCATCATGATCGGCCGGCTCCTCACCCTCGCCACCGGCTCCACCCTGAGAGTACAGCTTGGCGGTGATCGGGTTAACGATGGCCTCCAGCTCCGCCTTGTGCTCCTCAAAGTCGTCCTTGCCGGCTGAGCCAGAGTGGGACTCGTACCACTCCTGCGCCTTCTTGACCGCGTCGAGGATCTTTTTCTTGTCGTCGGCTTCGAGCTTGGATCCCAAACCAGAGTCGTCGGTGACTTGGTTCTTGATCGAGTAGACGTAAGAGTCAAAGGAGTTCCGGGCCTCGATGTTTTCCTTCACCGCCGCGTCCTCTTCCGCGTACTGCTCGGCTTCCTTGACCATCCGCTCAATGTCTTCCTCAGACAGGCGTTGCTTGTCGTTCTTGATCGTGATCGACTCGGATTTGCCGCTTCCCTTCTCGACCGCGGACACGGTGAGGATACCGTTGGCGTCGAGCTGGAATGAGACTTCGATCTGGGGCACGCCGCGCGGGGCGGGGGGGATGCCCGTGAGGTCAAACTTGCCGAGGAGGTTGTTGTCCTTGGTCAGGGGGCGCTCGCCCTCAAACACCTGGATGAGGACGGTAGGCTGGTTGTCGGCGGCGGTGGAGAAGATCTGGGACTTTTTGGTGGGCACGGGGCTGTTGCGGGGGATGAGCTTGGTCATGACGCCGCCGGTGGTCTCGATACCGAGGGTCAGGGGGTTGACGTCAATCAGGATGACGTCCTGGAACTCCTTGGCCCCGCGCATGATACCGGCTTGGACGGTGGCGCCGTATGCGACGGCCTCGTCGGGGTTGATACCCTTGCTGACCTTCTTGCCGTTGAAAAAGTCCTCGAGGAGTTGTTGAACCTTGGGGATACGGGTGGAACCACCGACGAGGACAATCTCGTGCACGTCGGCCTTTGTCATGCCAGCGTCCTTGAGGACCTTCTCGACGGGCTTGAGGGTCTTTTTGAACAAGTCCATGTTGAGTTCTTCGAACTTTGCACGGGTGAGGGTCTCGGAAAAGTCCTGACCGTCCTGGAAGGATTCGATTTCGACGCGGGTGCTCATGCCGGTGGAGAGGATACGCTTGGCCTTTTCGACCTCACGCTTCAGCTTGCCCATGGCCTTGGGGTCCTTGTGGCAGTCCTTTCCAGTCTTCTTCTTCCACAGCTTGGCGAGGTGCTCAATGACACGGTTGTCGAAATCTTCACCTCCCAAGTGTGTGTCACCGGAGGTGGCGAGGACTTCAAAGACACCGTCGTCGATGGTCAAGAGGGAGACATCGAATGTACCACCTCCGAGATCGTACACGAGAACGTGTTGATCGCCCTTCTTGTCCAGACCGTAGGCAATGGCAGCCGCAGTGGGCTCGTTGACGATACGCTCGATTTCGATACCGGCAATGACACCAGCGTCTTTTGTGGCTTGACGCTGGGCGTCGTTGAAGTAGGCGGGGACGGTAACGACAGCGCGAGTGACCTTCTCACCGAGGTAGTCTTCAGCAATGTCCTTCATCTTGTTGAGAATCATGGCGGAGACTTCTTCGGCGGTGAAGACCTTCTTTTCACCCTTCACGGTGACTTCGATTCCTGGGCGCTTGTCCTTGTTGACGAGCTTGAATGGCCAGTGCTTTGCGTCCTCCTTGACCTCCTTGTCGGTAAAGTGGCGACCGATCAGACGTTTTGCGTCGTAGATGGTGTTGTAAGGGTTTGATGGGGCTTGGTTTTTTGCGGCATCTCCGACGAGACGCTCGTCGTCCGTGAAGGCGACATAGGATGGTGTGATACGGTGACCTTGGTCGTTTGCGATGATCTCAACTTTTCCGTTCTTGAACACTCCGACACAACTAAAATCATATGGGAAGGGGAAAGTGGAATGTGAGTGGGTGTGTTCCGCTCGACACGGGAGTGTTGAATCCAGAACCGTGCTTAGGGGAAGCATTGCGGCTCGCAAAGGCGTTCGGTCTCCCACACGGAACCAAGGCTCGCTCCGCTAGGAACCTCAAGCATTCCTGCGCCTACGGCCCAATCCTCAAGCAACAGCTTGCTACCTCGCTCCGCTCGGAACGACCGCGGTACGCACCTGTAAGTAGTACCCAAATCGATACCAATGATGGGACCCTTGTCCTCTTCGGCAGTGTCGTTCTTTGTGTCCTCAGCAGCCACGCCAGCGATGAGGAGAGCGACGACGATGACGAAAGCGAGGGCGATCCAACGCGCGGGCGAAGATCTCGCGGAAGTCCGTGACCGACGGACCATTGTGCTGTTGTTGGTGGGTTGTTGGGAGAGTGAGTGAGTGGAGGGAGAGGGTGAGTGAGTGGAGGGAGAGAGTGAGAGGGAGGACAGCTGTCAGAGTGAGACCAGGTGGGGGATGCGGTTGAGGGGGGGGGGGTTCTCTTTTATAAGGCGGACATGCAGGGAAGCGCGCAGAACTCTTTCGTCTGACTTCCTCTCTCTCTCGAGTCTCTAGAGTCTCTGAGTCTTGCCGTGTGCGCCAGCGAGTGATATGGGATGCGCTGATTGGCTGCGACCGCGCTCATTGCATTGCCACGTCGCTCGCTGTCTCCTCCCCCCTTGTAAGTTCTGCCCACTCGCTGGGACAACACGCAACACCCCTGCCATTGGCTCGCTACCCATTTCATTTCAACTCACTCCCCCCACGTGAGCACTGAGATGGTTGAATGCGCAGTGGCTTGGGAGGCTGTGCTTGTGGCTTGCTTTCACGAACAGTGATCTAACATGGAACTAACACCCGACGCGAGCTACCACTACTGTAACCCCCCCCCCCCCCCCTCGAACTTCCGAACTCGCCTGTTTCTCCATCTTCCAATTCTCGGTCGGTGGACATTTGACATCTGAAGCACCCACTCCTCTCGAAAAAGACGACCACCATGTTCCGTGCCTCAGCCGCCCGTGCTGGCGCCTCCTTCCGTCGCAAGGCTGCTACTTCAGCCCAAGCACGCCCTTTCACTTCCGCATCCACTCCCAAAGGTATGCGTTAACAGCCACCACCCTGCATATTCATCATGTCCTCGCCTAACCTCTGTTCTCTTACTTAGCCCGCACATCCGCCCCAAAACCTACCACCTCCCCATTCGCCGCCCGCTCCGCATCAACCCCCTTTCCCTTCCCTACTCACGGCGTCGCTGCTTCCTCAATACCTTCTCTCAACACTCTGGCAACTCGTGCTCAGAGTACGACTGCCGGTGCTGGTGGCCCGGCATTGCCTGCGCTCGGCGGTATGATCGAGGCCGGGGATGGCGATCTCGAAGCAATACTAGAAGCCGCGGGTGATATTCCGGTGGTCGTTGATTTTTATGCAAAGTACGTGTGGCGAAATCGAGCGACGGCGAGACCGAGTGACGGCGAGACCGAGCGACAGCGAGAGAAATTGGTTTGGGATGAGGAGGGCCGAGCGGGATTGCAGGCGAGCGAAGCGAGCCCCTGTCTTCAACTGTGAGCGATAGCGACTTTGCTACCGTTTCGCTCAATCATCAACCAACCCACCCTCCGCTTCAATTCGCTTCGCCTCACGTTTACTAACCCACATCCCCCCTTGTTTAGCTGGTGTGGCCCCTGCAAGATGCTCACTCCAATCCTTACCGCCTCCATCAAAACCCAAGCCAAGACAATCCTCGTCAAAATCAACATCGACGAAGCCGAGCAGGTCGCCGCCAAATACGAAATTGCGTCGTTGCCGACCGTCAAGGCATTTGTGCGGGGACAGGAGGTCGATTCGTTTATTGGGAGTAGGGATCGGAGGGGCGTTGAGAAGTTTTTGGAGGGGGTTGTTGGGAAGTGAGATGGATGGGGAAGTTTGGGGAGACAGTATTGGAAGGAGGAGATGATTTGCGAGAGGCGCGAGCTGGCGTCGAGGGCGAAAGCTATGCGCATTGCCCAACCGCACGAATTGCCAGCGTGTCGCTCGCCACATAGCATCGAGCGCCTTCCATCCGCACATCATACTAGAACCATCAACACATGTCTTCTACACCCCGTACGGACGTAGTACCAAGAACACAGGTCATTGCATTCTTAAAGAGTTCAGGACCAGGCAGTTGGGCTTTCGAGTGAGATTTCCTGATGTGGGCGCACCAAACTTGCTTTCTTGACTACGGTGATGAATCTACACCGTTTCGAAGTGTCGATCACCGTTCATGCATATGTTATGCTGGCCGTGGACACCATCTGGATTTTACAGCGGGTGGACGCGTCTCCAACCTCTCCCACACCTGCTCAACTTCTGCAACAACTTTGCTGGCAGGCTCCGATCTCCCCCAAGTGCAAAAACAACCTCGCATTCCTCGTATCCTTTACCCAAGTTCGAACAGCACAGTCCAACACCCCGACGAAGAGCCAACCAGCAGCACCCTTTCCCCACCCGGGTTTTCACACCCGCCTTCCAAAACCGTCATGCCACCCTCCAACCCCCCCTCGGAATCCGGCTTCAAATACTACACCCTCCGCACCCTCACTCTCCTCAAAACCTGGTGGCTCGCCCTGCCCGTCGCCTCCTCCCTCACGATCCTCATCTGCACCCTCGCAACCGTCTTCGACGCCACCCGCTTCTTCTACGACATGGGCGTCTGCCCCGGCCTTATCGTCCGCCACACCTGGCCCAACATCTACCACCTCCTCACCGCGCAATGGTTCCACCAGAACATATCGACGACATTGCTGAACGTCCTTTTTTTCCCGCCGTTGAATAAGATGTTGGAGACGCAGAGGGGCTCGTTGCATAGTGTGAATTTCGTGCTGGTGGTCGGGTTCTTGGGGAGTGCGGTTTATGTCGGGGTGGAGGCGTTGGGGTATGTGCTCTGGGGGAGGGAGAGCTGTATGGGTGGGCTTGGGGCGGTGATGTATGCGTTGTTGACGGTGGAGGCGAATGAGAAGGCAGGGGCTTTCAAGACCAGGAGGTATGTTACATCGATCCATGGCGGACGTTGGAAGGTTGTTTTTCCTCTAATCGCTTTATTGTTTTTTACAGGATATTCGGCATCCCCCTCCCCGGCGCCCTGTACCCCTGGCTCCTCCTCATCCTCTCCAAACTGATCCTCGACTCGCCCTTCATCTACAACCTATCGGGCATCCTCGTCGGGCTGCTCTACTACATCGGCGCGCTGAAGTTCCTGTTTGTCCCCGGTCGCGCATGGCGGTGGGTGGAACAGAGGGCGCCGGTGCGGTGGATCGCGAAGAGCGGGGCGTTTGTGCGGACGCCTGAGGAGAGCGTCGCGTTGCCGACTACTGTGGATGATGTGGAGGGGTAAAGTCTTTGGTTGGGATGGGGCCGATGGAGGAATGCGGTATTGAGATCTCACACCATTGTACATTTCCCACAGCGCACCAAACCAACCGGGCCCCTTCGCACGCTTCCGCGGCTTCTTCACCGGCTCCCGGGGGGACTACCAACCCATCTAAACCCTGCCTCATCCATTCCTTACTTGGACCCCCAGCATCACCCTATCAAGTTTTCCTCCCCCTCCCCCCAATTCTGCTTCCTTCCGTGTGTGTTCACCTCCTTTACCGCACACCCGCCTTTTGTCTTCCAAAACCTTTTACGAGAAGCCCTCATACGTAGACCAGCTTCCGCCCCCCCAAACAAAACCTGTTTGTGAATTTTGTAAATAGCCTGGCACGGAGACTCCTGACACACCAGAAACCGAAGTCTCTTCTCGTATGTTTCCCCGTTTTTCCAAACGCATATCACATGTCGGGTTGGGTATGCTGATCCGGGCAGGTTTGGAACAGGAAACGGATATGATCGGTGATGGAAAGGTGCTTGTTATTTGAAGGCAGGGACGCCTGGGCTTTGGGGAATCGACAGGGTACCTCGACGGGGCGTCCGAACCCCTCGTCAAAGGACCGTCAAGAAGTGTCTAGCCAATTCCCACTACACACATCGCTCCCACACCCTCCTTCGTTGGATAGATCTATATACACATTGCTCAGAACACACCATGCGCTTGGGCAAAGGATCAAATTCCGTTTCTCCGTTTCTACAACCCAAAACATCTCGTTTCTGGCCCTTCAGCGCCCCAACCTCCGGGGGGGGACTTGTTTCGTAAAATATCGCTGTTTGCTGTTGCCGTTACAGCGAGGATGGTGTTACTGCAGCCTCCCCTTCGGCCTCCCTCCCAGCCTCTAGGGCTTCGCTGTGAGGTCGAATCCACGCGGATAGATGCGGATTTGTACGGGTACATACATAGCTTCCGGTCCCTGTCCAGCGGGTCCTCTTCTTCATCCAGCGACTCGGTCCGGTCGCCGCCTTCCGTCTCGCCGTGGGGAGGTGGCTTCATCTTCGGGCCTCCCAGTCTTCGGGTGCCGGTCGTCATCATCGTCGTCGTCTTTCAAAGTTTCATCTCTTCCGGCGAGGCATTGTAGAGATGATGTGGTTGTAGAAGTAGTTGATGATGTGTTGGTTCTAGATGTGGTTGATGATGTGGTTGTAGAGATGATGTCTTGGTTGTAGAGAAGCGAGCGTTGGGGAGAGGGCCACAAACGGGATAAAATCCAGCAACGGGTATATTGACAGGATTACGACAGCGCGTGCATATTCGGCGGGCATGCGACTTTACCTGGTCACAACACACTTACCTGACTATACCTGACAACTCGTGCGGTCGCCTCCTTCGGTTTCCCCGTCATCGTCGTCGATCTGCATGTCGTCGGATTCGACCGACTTGAGACTCTCGACTAGTTCCTTCGCGTGCTGGGTAGCGGGCGCGGTGATGGGCGTAGAGTGTACGCAGGTGGCGACCTGCCTCTGCGTGGTCCGCCCCATCCAAGGCCCGACGGCGAATCTTACAGAGTGCTCGCAGCGACGGCTTCGCGGGTATCGGGCGCCGCGGTGCGCCGAGAGCAGGCGCAGGTACCCCCCAGGTTCGTCTCCAGGTTCCCCAACATCAACCGCATCGACATCGATGACATTCCCGGTCTGCTCATTCCCCATCTGTCGAAAGGCTTCGCCCCATCTGCGTGGCCACAATGTCGATCAACGAGCCGAAGTGCTTGACAACCCGTTCCCAGACTTGCCCATATGAGAGGCCGTGCTTGCTCGCCAGCTTCTCAGTCTTCAAGCACAATGATGCGTGCGAGGGCAGCTCTGTGTTCGGTACCCCGAATTTCCTGAGGCTCTTGATCACCTTTCCGCGAGTGACCAAGTTGTGGAAAGTGGACCTCCTGATGCCCCATTTCCTTGCGCAATAGTTGCCGATGCTATGATAATCCTCTTTGTTAGAGAGTTATCGACGATGGTGTGGATGGCCTTGCACAATTCAAAACAGCCTGGTGATGCTGACTCTGTCATCTTGAGTCCGGGTTGATTTTTGCCTCCCACAATGCGAGAGTGTTTGCCATGATGGTGATTGTGTTGCTTGTATGCTATGCGCTTGTGTCTTCCTTTCCTCAGCAATGAAGTTATTAGTGAACCCGTCTCATCAATAACGACCGCCGTCGAGTTTGCTGCCGCACGTTCACTCCCGAAGCGTGCAAACGGGGGGCGCATGTTGGTGTTCAAGGGATAATCTGCACTTCCGCCCCATATCGCGGTGCTGACACACTCGCCATCCCCGGCCGCCAGCCCAGCCGCTCCCCACGAAAGCACCAAAACGCCCAGAACCTGCCACTTCGGCTCCCCTCTCCACAGCGCCTGTGGCAAGGGCTGAACATCCACCTTCTCCCTCGCCTCCATTGACGCCGAAAGCAGGCGGACCATGGTGAGAAACCCGACGGACCCCCCCACATGGACTCCCCCGGCGACTCGTTAGGCTTATGTTGTTTTCGCACGAGAACCACACGGGTATGGTCCCCTCCTTGTGGCGGGGCTACGTCCGTGGAAACCGACTGGTCGGATTTGGGGCCTTGTGTTCCTCGAGGACGCGTGTTGAGTGTTGAGGACCAGGTTGAGGACCTTCCCGGGCTGCGAGACGCGTTTTGACTCTCATAGCACCTTTCGTTTTGGCCTTCGCAGAATTTTCATGTTGGGCGGGGACATTAATCCCCGTCAGACTACGGTGGGAGGGTGAGTCTGCAACCAGTCCTCCCCTGCATCAGTCCAGCAGTTATCAATCAAGTTGAGGAGGTCATCGCAACCGCGCCCAACGCGTTGCCCGAAAGATCCAATAGGCTAAGCGGTTCCCAGTGAACGCCGTCTAAGGTCCCTCGGCCGGGCTCCAGATTCTGACCGTTGAGGATGCTTGGAACGGCAAGCTTTATGGGCGGACGGGCGCGCGTCTCACAATACCATCACTGGCCCTGGTCTCGACAGTCTTCCAGTCGACCCGGAAGTGAAGGGTGCGAAGCGAAGTGATCAGGTGTCGAATGTATCTTCATTGTCTGGATTCAATTGCTCTCCGGCATGTCGTTCCGATACAGCCTGAGCGACTTGGTGCGGAACAGCGAAGTACGACCTTCCGCCGTTTCCCGACACTTCGCCCTTCGCGCAGTTCAAATGGGGAAGGCGACCTGTGGCGTATGGCACCATGTCGAGCATAGGCAACAGCAGCCGGTAAGCATGTTCTATCCACAGAAGACATGAGGTGGATAATGCCGCTTTGACTGGAACCGTCCGTATCTCCGCATCCTGGGCTGGCCATCATAACTGATGCGGTATTGTCGCTGTCCAAACGCAAGCGCATACACATATTCGGACGCCTCGCCTCATCTAAATGCGAATACCTGGAGCGCAATATATTGACCCCTTTCGTTCCTGTTGGCCGATGCATTTCCATCCTGTCGTGGGTCACACGAGTGGGGCATTTCGAGATGCCTTGCGCCCTGCATTCAATGTCTTCCGCATGGTAGCGTTGCCGGAGGTGAACAGTCGGTGGTACATTTACTTTTCCTGCGGTTCTGATTTTGCCCACCGGCGAAATTTGCCCATTGCATCTTTTTCCGAGACAACGTCCATCTGAAACTCGCGTCCTCTTGCCAAATAGAGGCGAACGCTCCCAGCACTCGTCCGTCGAACGATCTGCGTAAAGCAACCCAATGCGTGTCCCTAGTGACAGCCATGACGCCAGCCTCCACCCAAGGCTTGCCCGGTATCGGGATACCAAGTCCACTGCGACCACAAGTCCAGCACTGGTCTCAAGGCTCCCCATTCCGTCATAAAGAGCATCACACGGACCTGCGAAGCAAATCCATTCTGATTCCATATTTCGGCCCACAACTTCAATTCTCCACTGATGGAACGCTTCCCTCGTGTGGTGCTTCGCGAGGTTTGTTATCCCGAACGGCTTGGTATCGATGATGTATCGCGAGGAGAGTCCCACGAAATAAGTGGGTTTGGTCGTCAAGAATGCGGCTTCCGCTATGAAATGTTAATTGTCCTCCGGCGAATGCATCTTGTCGTTGCGGCTGACGGAGTCTTCAACTTGAGGAAGCAGTATCGCCATACCTGTTGGGCGAGGTAGAATACGTCGAGTACCTCTCCAGTTGCGGGACCCGGCAGAATTCGCGGGTCTTATGTCTGGCGTCGCGTATCGTGCGCAGCTTAGGTCTCGGGACAGAAATTGTGCCAGAACTGTGTGTACCGTGCGGCACCCATAAACGATTGCAAGTGCCGTACGATACACACAAGTCCGATCATCGAGATATGGCTTCCCGCAAACAAGAGCAAAGAAACCCGCATCTCTAGTGTCCGCCTTCAGAGCCCGGGGCGCTAGTTTCCAGGCAGGCCGTAAACCCCACCCGCTGGGCGCCATGTCCTTGAAAAATGACATCTCGCCACCTGTACAGGAGTTGTGCTGGTCAATAACCACACGGTCGAGGGCAAGCCATGAGGCGAACCATCCCAAGCCGCGCACAACAGTTCCGCCATGTGAGTCCGAAGGTTCAAACTGGTGCCTATCGGCACGTATAGTCCGCGGCGGCATCGCCCAAACCAAACGGCGGGAAAGGGGCTGCGCTGATTGTGAATCGCACGCGGACCATGCCATCGCTGTCCGCCACTTGGCGGCCGCCGCTGTTCTCCACTTGCCCACCGTCGTTGTCTTCCCCTTCCTCCGCCGACCCGTGGTCGTCGTCTTCTCTTCCCCTTCCTCCGCGGACCCACCCTCTTCACCGTCTTCCTCGCTGTCATATCTCGACACACATGGGAACAGGTTCTTGAAAGCTTCCGGGATCTGTGCAACGACAGACGACACAATCTCCTAGGCAACATCGGCTTCCTCCGCGCAGTCAGTACCCGTCCTCCAGTGACTTGATCTGTCAACCAAGTCAGCGACGTCTGCAACCATCCTCACATTCGGGACGGGCTGTGGCTCCCCGCCTGCCTTCATAACTGCATAATCGTCGGGGGGGAACAGGCGCAAGAGCGAGCATCAAGTTGGCCGGTCTAGCCCTCGGATGCCCGGAAGGTCGGCAATAAGCAACTCGTCAGACGGGCGTTCGTGTAAATTTGCCAGTTTTCACTCTCAGGTCAGAAGATGAGCGTTTCGAGCCACGAGGAACCCCTCCCCTCTCACCGCTTATGCGCCAAGCAGCTCATTGGAACCCATCCAGAGTTACGCGCATATTGCCGATGATATGCCCGGGATGCACCCACTGGCTTGCCGCCGACTAGAGATGACCCGTCCTCCAACCGGTCAAAGCTAAAGGAGAGTGGTGGATCGCGGGCCTATTTTTCCCTCGACTCCCGAGATGGCGCATCTGCGCTGCTGCCGGCTCAACGCTAGGTATCCATCTTCGGTCGCAGTGTTTCCCACAGCGTTGCCGAGTACGCGCCAACTCGAAAGCGGGATGGGACTGGTTCGCGGCATACGGGGCATTTGGGGTTGTCGTCGAGGCTGTTGGTGAGCATGCATTCAAAGCTGATTTTGGCAACTTCGGATGTGGTGAGGCGTCTCGCGGTAGGTACTCGCCGCTGCAATCTCTTTCGATAGGGCGGCAAAAATGGCACACAGGGTGTTGGCCATTCGCAAAGCACATCAAGCGCAGATTGTCGCGCATACGTCGGGGAGGCCGGGCATCACTCGTTCCAATGAGACGGGAGGGCGTTCCGGGATCAGACATGTGAGTGTGAGTAGGAGCCACAACTCACGAGACTCGGCTAGCTCAGCTGCCGCTCAATTCGCAACCCATTCTACCTCTGGCGTTTTGATTGGTCAACAGCAAAGGGCTGGCCTGGATCGAAGAGAGACGACGGAACGGTCGATGTATGAGGTTGCAGTCTTCGTCACAACCCCTTCCACCCTTCGGCAACCCACACCCTGCTCCCCGTCAATACACAAGTTCCTTCACCAGCTCGTTCAGGTCGGTTCGAGCTTCCAATACCAAGGGATCTCAAGGGTTGCGCTGCACAGGGGTTTACGTCTCTGAGCATGGAGGTCAGATCCAGTGGTCCGTACGAGGCGTTCAGGTATGGTGTCTGTACTTCAGGTATGGTGTCTGGAAAGTCGTTTTCGAAAGATACATCCATCTCAAGGGCGTCGGCCCGATGGAAGAGGGGATTATCCATGGGGTCTTGTCCGTGGCCTTCGCCTCCAATGCTGCTATCGCGTCGGAAAGAGCACTGACCGCTCTTGCTGGGGATGCTACCCTCACCATTCTCGTTGGGGATATCATTCCCGTGGGAGACATCCATCCCATCCAACCCATCGTCGTTGAGGCGATAATGGAGATCGGGGCGATCCACAGTTTCGTCAATGCCCAAATAGTTGTGGCATCGTAAGCACCCGGTCCGCGAAATGCCCCTTGCCTATCCCCAAGGATCTCTGTTAGTGCCTCTGTTAGGCGTCCATCGCCTTCGAAAAAGACAGTGGACACCCATCGTCCGAAACTCCCGATCCAACAATCCTCTCCACGAAGCGGTAAAGAGAGCCAAGCCGACGAACAATCCAAGTCCATGGTATCACCGGTGCCAACCAGGGGGAGTGATGCGCTCCAAAAGCGTTCAGAGCGCTCACAATCCTAGCGGAGGTGACGACGCAAGACAGGGCTTGTTCGAAAGAGGCCCAAGCGATGAACCCTTTCGTGTCCTCGTGTAGGGACGCCCGCACCATAGAGGCGATCCCATGAGTGCGGGCGGGAAGAGGAAGAGGCCGAGGTTCGGGGTGGTGATCGTCAGCATGGCGGATCAAAGTCGTGCGTATGGGTCCGCACACAAAGGTCTGGGTCCACAATTGCGCGCCAGTGTCTTGCGTCTTGTCGGAACACTCCCGCATCTGCTCCGCTCCTGTGTGAAACGGGTACTTAAACCCTTGAGATGACTTCTCTGCAAAGGAAAGATGACGACAAACATCCCTATCGACCATGACTCGGCAGACCAAAGTTGAGCCGAGCAATGATTTGATGTGTCGGAGGGCGCGCCGCCTTGGCACCACTTGCGCCACTTAGTGAGGTGATAGTTCCCGGTCTTCAACGACTTTGACCCCAGGTCCGCGGCGCGAAGGGTCGGATGGGGATCTGCTCGGTTTCCGCTATGATTGCACCTTGAATCAAATCATCACGCTAGGACCAAAGTCATATCAGCGTTGCCGTGGGTGCGGGGGAGTAATGGCCCCCGGTCTGAAGGTCGGTTCCTGGCACACATCTTGGCATCAGATTTTCCGAGGCACCTGCTGCAACCGCTTCCGGCGGCTCCATGAAATGTAGACCAAGAGTGGCTGAAGCCTTGTCTCCTACGAAAATCTCGGAGGCGTCGGAGAGACGCCGCCCGTCGAAGGTGTTTCTGTTGAACAGGTCGGAGCAACAGCAAGTTGGTTGTGAACGTTGTCAATTCGGCATTGGAAAAATCAGTTCGGCTACGGCTCACTCCGTTTAGACGTTTGTGAAGCGACGACTTTTGCTCGGTATACTGGCGCCGAATGTATTTGACCAACGCGTCGTAGAACGGTGATGGTCCTGTCGTTTGCTCCTCTGTGATGTATCGGCAAGTCGCAAGTGCATCCAGAACACATCGCTCCGGGTGTACATCGACCGACATGCGCGGTTCTCTCTTCGACTTCATGGGAACAAGTGAATGATTATCGCCGTTCTGGCAAGCTCCTTTATCTCCAACATCAAGCTCGTCTCCATTCCCAAACTCGTCTCCATTCTCCTCCTCCTCCCTCAACCCATGTCCGGTGAACTCGTGTCCATTCTAACGCAATCCAGTGCATCGAAAAAAGCGAACAGTCTCCCTCTTCCAAGTCCCTTTCTCGGCAGTATCCGGCAGTGGCCGCACCGTTGTCGAAGGAGCGTTCGTAGAACTGGCTGTCGTAGTGGATAGCGCTAACTTTGGCGAGCTGGTCAAGTAACCCAGTTCCACCACCCCACGAACCATCGTTTTCGGGGCCAGATGCGGCAAAAAGGTATTTCATAGCAAAAGGGGCCAGTGTGGCACCCGTCTGTGAAAATCCCATGAAAAAAAATGTCATGTCCCATAATCCCACAATCCTTTGCACTTCGTCAGCATGCACCGAAGGCCATCCATGAATTGCGACTCGAGGACTACATTGAGGGGCCCGTATGGTGCAATGCCCTTTTGGTGGATTGAGACATTTCTGGGCCCCAGTGTTACGTTCGAAAACGCCATCGGGAGGTCGGATGCTCGGTAATTCGCCAGGATCATTTGTAGACTGCCCATATAGACCTCCATTCGATAAGCAACGGCTTCTATCCTCTAGAAAACAACCCAAGTAGGAATAAGGCTTCCTCGACGCAAAGCTGAATCCACAAGCCCCATCTCTTCTTCGCGATTGTGGTGATTCGCGCGTCCTTAGTGGTTTGTGCAAGGTGGAGGGGGGATTGAGAAGGGAAACCGCGAGTCACAGGAGGAGGGAGCCTTCTGACGTCACCCCCCCGTGAGATTTCTCCCTTTTGTCGCCCTCGTCTTTCTTGACTTACCCTCCCTATAAGACTCGCCCGACCACACAAACAACCGCCTATCGTCTCAACACTCAACGCTCAAGGCAAAGAACTAACTCCTCAGAAAGAAATGGCCGAACTCCCACCGCCCGCAGACCTGGCCCTGCTTGACGACCTGGACCACGCTGACCCAAACTCCATGAACGACCCTCTGGCTGACCTCCTCAACCCCCAAAAAGAACGTCAAACAACAGTAACAATAACAACCTCAACTCCCAATGAAACAACATCAACAACAGCATGGATCGACAACGGGGTTGTCGCATCAACGCACACACCCCTCCTACTATCCAGCCTACCCCCATCCACATCCCACGACCCAATCTCACCCCTCTCCCTCCCCGCAACAGCCGCCGACGAAATCCCCATGCTCCCCGTAGAAGCCGTTGAATCACTCCCCGCCCGAGCACTCTCGAATTCCGAAGAAACCCAGCTGCTACGTGAGAAATCAGAATTGTTGCGCGAACGATCGCCTAAATTGCCTTATCGCCCGGCGATGAAGTTCACGCCGGAGATTAGTCTAAGCGATGTGGGTGATGCCGCTCCAGCGGCAGGTGTAACGATGACGACGACGACGACGGCGGCGGCGGCAATTCCGAATGTGGTGCAGCAGGTCAAGATTGTTGAGGAGGACATTGAACCGCCGCCCCCACTGCCGTACAGGGACCAGGATGGGGTCAAGATGGGGCTTAGGAAGAGATTGAGTTGGAGTGCGAAGAATGTGGTCAATAAGCAGAAGGGGGTGTTGAGGAAGGTTAAATCGGGGGTTATTGAGGTAAGGTCTGACCACATTGCGCCAGACGCGCAATACTCCCCTCACCACGTATTGTTCGTTGGTGCGTGTTACTGGTTGACGCTCGATGACTGATGGTTGACGTTCGATGGTCGATGGTGGATGGTTGAAGATGGTTGATGACTGACTGATCATTCGTTCATGGTATGATAGTCTTGGCGCAAACAAGTCGACTCCACAAAAGAGTTCGTGCACGTCTTCACCGAACCTTACGTCCCTGCTCCCGTGCACTACACCAAATCGCTTTCCATCCGCAACATGCGCGAGGCCGGCTCACGCTTCCAGGACGCGGTGGAACCATATATCGATTGTATTGAGGCTGTCATTCGCGTGTCCAGGTGGGAGGATCCTTATAAGACTGGCGGGGTCGCTATCGTACGTTTTCCGCCACAATCTGTTTTGCAGAATCCTAGGATGCATGTGCCAAACTCACACCCTCTCTTCATAGATCTACTTCTGGTCTTGGTACACCTCCATCCTCAGTTATCTGCTCGTCGCCTCACCCCTCCTCCTCCTCCTCACAACCTACGCGCTGCACCAAAACCTGTTCCCCTCCCTCCTCCACCCCCCAGCCAAAACCAAACCCGCCGAAGCAGCAACAACCTTTGGCGCCGCAGCCGGGTTCGCGAGCGCCGCGACGGAGAGTATCGGGTTTGCGGTGCATGCTGCCCCTGCGAGCGCGGCGGCGTGGTGGAGGGCTTTGGGGGATTTGTATGGGACCGGACGGGAGGGGTTGGGGCTTTTGGAGGCGGCGAGTGAGGGGTTGGAAAAGTTTAAAAAGTAGGTTTTGGGGCGCGGGGTGGATTCAGACGTTGAGTTGGGTTGATGACTGATAGTCTCTTTTTTGGGGTGTAGTCTGGTCAGCTGGAAAGCACCCGACAAAACCCTCAAAGCGGGCGCAACCTACGCATTTGCCATCATCGCGCTGTCCATGATCCCCCCGCATCTCATCATTTCCCTCGCCGGTACGTTCAGTTTCTGGTAATCTCAATACTCATCCCACCCTCTTATTTTATATTCCTCCCCCCCACAGAACTAGCATTCGGCTGGTATTTCTTCATCCTCCTCGGCCTCAAACACCACTTCCCGGCCTTCGCCGCGCGCTCCGCCGCTCAAGGCGACATGGTGTCGCGTTTTTTTGAGGGGGTGCCTAGCGATGCGGATATCAGAGCGGCGGAGGAGGAGGAAAGGAGACGAGAGAGGGAGAGGTTGGAGGTTGCGTTGGGGTTGGCGGAGAAGCCTGTTGAAAAAGTATGTCATACCTCCGGGTTTGTCGTTTATCTACTGACGTGGCTGTCTAACTCAATTGTGGCATTCTTCAAGCTCTACGAAACACCATGCATCCTAACACACCCCACCTCCATCCTCGACTCCTCGTACGGCGACCTCATCATCACGCCCGACACCCTCCATTTCCAACCCCGCTTCGAGAACAGTGTTGCGAACCCGCTTGATATCAGTTGGACGGACGTCACGGGCGTGAGCAGGGTCAGGGTGAAGAGCTGGGTCTTGGGCGATGGACGGGGTATACGGGTTACTGTGAAATCCATGGGAGAGGGGGGGCTGGAGTCCGAGGTATGTGTGTTTGTCATGAATGTTGATGGGGGGTGTATGCTAACCAGAATGTGATATTTTCCCCCAAAGTATATATTCACAGCCATCCCCAACCGCGCCACCCTCCACACCCACCTCACATCCCACCTCGCCTCTCTGGGTATCACCTTACCCGAAACCCTACCGAGGGAATACTACGACGCGAACTTTGACCCGGACGACGAGGATGACGATGCCACCGTCGATCCAGCCGACGAGAGGACATCCACGCAGGACGATGATGACGCCCTCTCCGACACCCAATCCGTGTCCTCCACGTCCACATCCCTCCATTCCCTCTCCACCAACAACGACACCAGCCCCACCACCGGAACACGACCGAGGATAACGATCACAGACCCGGTCACAGCCTACTCCGCGATCGGGCTCCCGGTGTACACGACGTATAAAGTATCCGTGCCGGCGTTGAATGTGGAGCGGAGGCGGCGGTATCGGGAGTTTGTGCGGCTGCGGGAGGTGTTGGGGGGGAAGGGTGTTGTTGGGGGTGAGGGCGGGAAGGAGGGTGGGGAGGGTAAGGGCAAGACGGATGTGAAAGCAAAAGAGAAAAGCACGTTGGCGTTACCGCCCAAGACGATCATCGGTACGTCCCCCCCCCCCTCGTTTTGTTTTTTCTCGTTCGCGCAATGTCCGGGCGTCCTTGCAATCCAAACATCCGCACTAACACATCGTTCTATGATGGTTTCCCCCCACAGGCCGCTTCTCACCGCAAACGATCGAAAAACGCCGGCGCGAACTCGAGGCGTTTTTGAATGGGCTGGCCGATAGCGCGGCGGTGTGGGGGAGCGAGCCTTGGAGGCGGTTCTTGTTTGGCTGAATGTTTGATTGGGATATGTCATGGGTTTCGTCCCATAGGCAAAGTCGCGGATGAAAAAGTCCGTTCGATTAGTGCATCATTTGTATATACGTTGCAACCTGTAGTTACCACGCTGTTGGAAATGGAAATGATACCCAGATTCTGTCCTGTGCATACTCGTGATTTTGGGTGGATGGTGTTCCCGTTACTACATGTGTCAGGTGGTAGAGGAAGGGGTGCGCTACAAGCCAGAATTGACGCGGGGGGGTTTTGCAACAGAATCAGAAGCCACCCCAACCCGCACTCCGTCGGCCAACCTCAATCTGCGCACTCCAGCGAGACCCCCCACGCATTCAGATTTCCGTAGCGCAACCACCTTACTGTAAGCGACCAACGAGGACGTCTGACAAGCTGGCACCCTCTTCGACCCGCATATTGTACCTGCCTTCCTCCGCGCGAGGGCATGGGGTTTCTCGGAAGGCAACCACAACCGCTCCGGCTGCTTATATCCCTGGCTGCTCCCGGCAGTCATTCCCCACCGCTTCTGCTATGGGTTATGAGCAGAGTTCTGTGGGAACCGTTCGTTTCGTACCCCGGCGTTGGATCCCGCTGATTCAATGCCCTGAAGGCCCTTCGTACAGTACCTGGCTTCCCTGCCCTGTTGCGAACTGCTCGTTTCCTTTTTTTTTCAAGTCGGTTCCAAACTTCCATCCGCGCACGCGATTGGCCAGCCAAATTGCCGCGTGACACAAAGTGTGGGGTAGATCTAAATGGAGTGTGGGGTAGATCAGATTGGCGCCATGACTCACAACGGCTCGGGGGCGGCTGATGCAATCACGCTGAGGCCCAAAAACGGGTTGCAATTTCGTGCCCTTCAAACGGTGGCCCAGATGTGGGCACCACCCCCCCCCCCCCCCATGGGGGACTGTGGCAGACGGCGGACCACTTACTTGTGTATGCGGCTCCAAGTGCGAAGAGGCCGATTGCGGAAGGGTTCGCTGCTGCACTGTTACGCCGAGAGAGCAAAGAGGATACCATAACAGAACCGACGGCAGCAGCAGATTCGGGTTGAAACTGAGCGTGGGGGTTGACGAGGGTGGGATCCTCGGACCCGATGCCGGAAAACCGGGGGGGGCGCGGGGCGGGGCTTCAAACGAAAAAAAAAATGAACGAAAGAAGAAGAACGTGCCGCCAACCCCCCCTCATGCACCCCCGCCGCGCAAAGATCATGGGTGGGATCTTGGAAACAAAAGCGCACGTCATGCGGGGGGTTCCTCACCGGCAACAATGGCCCGAAGAAAGCTGATGAAATTTAAAAAGTGCCTGTAATTACCCCACAACTTACCCCACAAACGCGCGGCTGACCCCCGGCGCGACCCCACTTTGCGCTATTTTTGCCCGGCGCTTTTTCAACCCGGCTCCCGTAATCCAGGACCTCCCCTCGGAGACAGCGGGAACTGCGCCCGCCATTTCGGGCCTCACTGACGATATGTCCCAGCCGGTCTGCTGATAAGCTGATTGGCCCCCATTATAGCGTTATGGTGCATGGAAGGTTGGATATTGTGAGGAAGGTCAAGTGGTTATGCGCCCGCTGATGGGCCGTGTGTTTTGGGAGGGGGCGAAGGTGGCCTCTCCCCGACCGGGCCGTATCACCTATGGAAATGAAGCTCGTCTATCCCTCCCTAGAGCCCTCGGCGATATATCAAGGTCAAGACTATATATGACAAAGCGGGCACTATCAGCGCCTCGCTCCTCCCGTCCATACCATCTTGCAACATATTCAACCACAGCTCTCTCATCCACTGGCATATCACTCTGTTCTTCTGCTCAATTCCTTGACCGTCGATATCGATTCCCTTCAAGCATCCTTACCTGCATTCATAATCGCTGGTGTTGTCCCGCAATCGCATCCTAACCCACGTCAACCAACCTTCGCCTGCAAGCAGCTGCCGTAACAGCTTTACGCCGCTTGATTCCTCTCGCGCTCTCTTCCATCGCCGCTCGATCTCATCGTCGCCGTGTCCTCTCCTGCCCACATCGCACCAACCTGCCATCCACCGTCCTTAACCAAATCATGACGACAGTCACCCCGTTCCCAACCTTAGCTCCTCACAAGCTCGCCTCCGCCCTCCCAGCCCTCTCCTGCTCCCCGGCGCCTACCCCAAAACAATCCGCCACCCACCCTTCATCACCCACCCTCCCCCGCAACCTCACCCCTCCTCTCACCCTCGACACCCTGATCACCCAACTCCACAAAGAACTCGAACACGGCGGCCTTTCCTCCTCCCAAGTCTCCGTCGAGCGCGTCCGCAACCTGATGGAGACTTACTCCTCCTCCGCCGCCGAATACCTCCCGTTCGCGCACTTTGATTACTCGAAGCCGTATACGCGCAATTTGGTGGATGATGGGAATGGTTTTTTCAATCTGATCGTGCTGTGTTGGACGCCCGGGAGGGGCAGTCCCATTCATGATGTATGTGTTTGTCGTTGGGCTATTCCCCCGATTCGTTGATGTGACTCCAACCCACGTTCTCTGTTCTCTGTTCTCTCTTCTTCCTCGTCCCAGCACCCCAACTCGCACTGCATCATGAAAGTCCTCGAAGGCTCGCTCACCGAGACCCAGTACGATTTCCCCAAACCTCACCACAGCGACGACGACTCCCGCGTCGATAGCGGGAACGAGGACGGCGAGAACGAAGCAGACGACGGGTTGCGGTTGAAGAAGACGACGAGACTCGAGAAGAATAGCGTGGCTTATATCAGTGGTAAGCGTCTTTCATCATCCATTTCTTACCTTGGAAAGTAGCTGATTTTTTTTGCCCATTGTTTGATGTGATAGACAAGATAGGCCTGCACCGCGTCGCCAACTCCTCAACAACCCGTCCCGCCATCTCGCTGCATCTGTACACCCCACCCATCGAGATCTGCAAGACGTACTGTGAGCGGACGGGGGCGTCGCGCGCGTCGGGGAAGTGTGTGTTCTTTCGGGATTTCTCGAAAAGAAATGGTGTGGCGGCGGCGGTGGGTGGGGACGAGGGGGTTTGCTGTGTTGAGCAGGCTGGCGGGGTTGCGGCGGCCGGTGGGGTTGCTCCGTAAGACACCCTTTTGACTTTTTTGTTCTGCTTTGCCTGGAGACGTTCTTCTTCTTGTGCGATTGTGCAATATACCCGTTGATCTTGTCCCCCACAATAATGAATATATGGACTTGCTTTTCCTGAGGAGGAGGGTTTCCAGAGATACTCTATTATGTTTCTTACCCAAGCGGACGAAGAAGAGGTGTCCAGGCTTTTGAGGCTTCAGCCTTGTGGCCTCTCGTAGATGTAATTACAAATCGACTGCTGCTGACGTAAGCATCACTTCCGCGCATTCGTGAGAGGCCTTCCGTTTCCCATCACTGCTTGTTACGAGACATTAGCTTACAGTCTGGACATTTAATGTAGGGAGGCAGAGAAAGGGAAGGTTGTGGGCCTCGAGTTCGAAGATTGGGAAATAAATGGACGTTGATTCGTTGTCCAGATGACCGAGTCGGAGGTTTTTCCTGCATGCCGTTGCTGCCCAAATCTATCCCAAAGTATGCGCTGGCAATGCCTTCTGCCGTCTGCAGTCCAGGTGCATTGTGCTGCTCCCACCATCCAAAATGCCAGTGTGCTTGGATTCAGATTTTGGCATTAATAAGTACATCCCATCCTCAACAAAAAACCGTCCAATTATAGTTTGCCATGTGAGAGCTCCGAACCCATCAACTTCCTCCTCATAGGCGGTTCTACCTCGACGGTTCGGAGTACAAGCGACGCCCCTGCCTCTTTCACCTTTTTCACCTCTTTCACCTCCTTCCCCTGTTTCCCAAGCCCCGCCTCCTCATCCCCATCGGTCCCATTCGGTACGCGGATCCCATTCGGCATCCCCTTCTGAGCCGCCTTCTCGCGCGGAAGCGTCGGCAGACCCGACCCGGACGTCGTCGCATGTATCGCCTCGAAATGGATCAGAGGGTACGGGTCATTCTCGTCGGTTGAGACGGGCAGCTTCTCGAGCTCCCGGACGAGTCGTCGTCCCTCTTTGTTGAGATGGTAGGGAAAGAGGTACATGTACCCCTTCGATTTGAAGAAGCGGCCTATCAGGGGCAGCCGGGTGAGGCGGGCCCATTGGAGGAGCTGCCATTCGAAGAGCAGGCTGTGGCCCAGCACGACGAACCTACGTCGGAGTGAGATGTTAGCTGAGGCAAATGGGGAATATACATCGCTTCGTGTGGGCAACGCATACATGACGACCATCCATGCAATCATGAATCCAGCCAGTGCGCTTCTTTGAGGGTCGGTCAGTGCTTCGGTAGAGAACATTATTCCCGCGAAACACATTCCATTCCATGCTTCGACCACAAGGCCGTAGATTCTTTGAACGTGGAGACAAGATGTTTCATCAGATTCAATGCCAGGAAGAGGACGAATATCTGTTGCCCGTTGGCCCACGGTAAGGCAATACTCACCTGTTGGTGTGCGGAAATCGGTACGGGGTGAATATCCGCACCAGCAATCGATCCACATTCAATATCAACAAGACAACCGCTGTGATGAGCAACGGGTAGTCCGTCAACATCACAGGACACAGTAGCAGGACGAGGTTGTAGATGCACCGGTACGCCTCGAACCACCTATCATCATTGGAGAGAATGTAGCGTCAGTAATGGGAAACAGCCCTGGTTTGCATGTCAACACGATACTCGACGTACCAGCATTCGTTCCGATGCAGTTCGAACAACACACCCATCCGGTGTACCACCGTCGCCTTGTCCGACTGTCTACGATTGTACGCGCACAAAACACACAGCACAACAGGGATCCCTGCAGCATACAAGACGCATCCCCATACCGCTTTCTTCCTAATCTGCTCGTACGCATCCGTATAGCACGTCACCTCCGGATGGTTCAGCACATAGGACCGATCAACGTCCGTCGCACACTCGAACACTCCCACAAACTGCTCTGCTAAAGGGATATGCCCAATAACCAGCAATGCAAGTGATCCGTTGGAAGTGACTTCCGCCGCCCGTCGTAACGCCTCGCCCAGCGGTTTGCTCTTTTTCACGAGCGCACGCCAGAGAGCCCATCCGAGACACATCGCAGCCAGCACGGATGCTATGATCATCGGTAGGAACAGAACGACGGAGATCCATCCGTCGTAGTCTGTCCCGAGGGCGCAGGAAACGCCCACGTTTTCAAAGTTGATGTTAAACGATCCGAAGCCTATGCGCAAGTTGTCGAATAAGGCGTCCCATTTCAATGGTATTTTGAAGATGACTACTCCTAGCACCTATGTTCACTCGTCAGCATTTGCACTGCCACTAAGCTTGCAACGAGACGCTCACCTGCACAAACATCAGTAGCAAATTGCTTGACGTGTAGTTCAGTGCTGCGAAAATGAGGTGTGAGACAATATAATTTTGCCTCGGATACGAGTTCAGCAACTCCCATGTCATCTTACGCATGATCGCCAGATAGATCCCGAGCACACACAACGCTACCAGGCATAGCGTCACAATAGCAGCCGGTCGTGCTTTATCCGACGCCGAACACGCAATACACTCCTCGCCAACAAGATGAAGGCCGGGAAGACATTCGCTGCACCGCGACCCGGTGAAACCCTCTTTACAAGCTCCGTCCTGAAAAATACATCTTCCATGTGAGACTGTTCAGTACCGAACTAGGGGCAGAACCAGGGGCTTACCGGCTGTTGTGGACAGGCGCCGGGAGTGAAGCATGGCAAGAAGACCATGGCCCTGCCAAATTGCGCTTGTTAATGATCGGAACTGCACCCATGGACACATTTCGCACTTACTTAATGGCCTGATGATATCCATACTGCGGATATGGTTGCTGCCCACCACCCGGACATATTGCACCATCTGATTATTCACGTCAGTACGGAGCAAGCCAGATTACGCTCTCTCGTCAAACTCACCTGGACAAACCAGACACAACGTTCTATTCGTGGCATCCAAGTACGTTCCAGGTGAACAGTCCTGCTCTATCTCAAACTGCAATGTATTCAAAGACGCCGGCGCTCCAAACGCTTGCAGTTGCAGTGTTGTACGTCCGGCGGTCTGCGGCGGCACAGAACACTCGATTTGAGTGCCATTGATCACCGTCGTCCGCGGCGACACAGTGTTTCCAAACACACATTGCGTCGTGTCGAGATTCTGCAGGAACCCCGCTCCAGTGATCTGAACGACTAGAGAGCTGGTCGTGAGTGCAGCTGTGGGATGCACAGATTCCAGAGTGACATTGTGGCAGGATGACGTTTCGATTTGCGGGATGTTAGGTACCGGGCAGAAGAAGTTGTTGCCTGCCAAGAGAAATCGTCCATGTGGTAGGGCTGAAAGACCGCTCGGTACGTATCCCGAGAGCAAGTTGTTCTCAACATTGAACTCTTCCAGATGGGCGAGACGAACAAGTGTCTGAGGGAGCGCTCTGTGAGGCCGTTAGATTTCTGCCGTTTTGTTCAAAGTCGGATAGGCACCTGACGTACCCGGTCAGTCGGTTGTTTGACATCGTCAGGAGATTGAGATTCGGGGCTCCCCCAACCGACTCGGCAATGGGACCCTCGATTTTTGCATTGTCTATTCGGATTTGTGTGATGTACCATGCCGTCCAGAAGCTGGCATTGATAATGCCTTTCCGAAATCAGGTTGTAAGTGATACCAGTCCGCACTCTTTTTCACAAGCGGATAGGAACCAGACCACTTACCTGTAAGCTCATTGTTTGAAAAGTCGGCGTAATCGAGGTATCGTGGTAGCGGACTAGCCGGCAGCCCTACTCCAGTGCAGTTCAAACCCATATTGCTCATTTCCATTCGTCTGACTCTCCCAGAGTCGCAGATTAGTCCTGATCAAGTCATCTAGATAAGTCGCCACATGATGGGTCACTAGCTCTTGGGTGCGACGTACCTTTCCATGCATCGGGCGTGCCAGCTGTGGACTCAAAGTCAATATTCAGTTCGTGCAGCGACTGGGATAGCGTAACAGCTTACCGAAATCGCACGGGGTCACAGTTGAAGAACGATCCCAGTTTGCATCCCACTTCGGCCCCTGGCAGGCGTCGTAGGTTTGGTACAACTGCACCGAACAGGATCAGAATCGAGTTACCACATGAAAGGCAATACACAGATTCATACCACAACCAAGTCGTCGTTCTTGCATAGTCCGCCCGTGTATCCTCTATCGCAAACGCAACGTCCATTAACGCAGCTTCCCCGCCCATAGCAATCGAAAGGGCACCTCAGTGTCGCTTTCACCGACGCATCAGGTTCATTCCCGTTGATGTAGTAGAATCCGGCGATCCCATCGCGATTAACGGTCCCATCGCTGTTGAAGTAGAATCGCGCTTTGCTGTCGTGGACTGTCACAGACACCGACTCGGTCCCGCTAAAGACCAGCGCCTCTTTTGCTTTTGTCGCTGTGTCTCCAGAGTAGACGGTAGCGAAGTCGCAGCATCCCTCGGTTTCCACCTCAAAGAAGTCGAAGTGGATGCTCGTCACTGGGGCTCCCGAAGGATCTACTGGCTCTATCAGCACAGAGCACGAAGACAGTGAGGCATACTCCCCCGCCTCGTCATGACTGCTCGCAAAAGGGATGTCTTTAAGTCAGTTTGCATGCAAGACCTGGAAATCGCAAGACGATGCGTAACCTACGTCCAGAGATATCCGTACGGCGCTGTCAGTTTAACCACCGCAGTATTCGGCGACCGGTTCATGCACGTTCCTGATATCCATTGCGGAAATGATGCAAGTACTAACAAGCTGAGCAGATGCGTGAAGTCCCGCATGGTGTGTTGCTGTCCACGGAGGCGTTAAGTTTCGCCTACGCTTCGCAAAATGCTCAAAACGACCTTCACCAAGCAAGCGAAATTGTGGTGCGACAGGCACTTCCGCTCAACCCTTTGAGGGATCAAAAATTGTGATGGGACAAGCAGTTCCGGTTAACCCTTTATAGAAAGTGAAATCTATTCTGACTCTCCGACTCAGGGTCAATGAGGCATTCGGGGCTTCGGGACGCAAGGCGGCGCATCGTGCATCCGGCGGACCCGTCGGAGTCTTCCAGAAGCCCTGACACATAAAACGCCTAAAGCACATTGACGGCAGGACAACCCTTAATAGGAAGTGAAATCTATTCTGACTCTCCAATTCAAGGTCAATGAGGCATTCCGGGCTTCGGGACGCAAGGCGGCGCATGGTGCATCCGGCGGATTCGTCGAAGTCTTCCAGAAGCCCTGACATACGGTAAAACGCCTAAACACATTGACGGCAGGACAATGGGAAATTGACAGCGCGTGAAGACATCCAAGGCTCGGTTGTGGAGAGACCTGAGAGACGTCTCCCGCCCTAATTTTACCATCTTCTGCAACTTTTCCAACCTTCGTAAGCTGCATCTGCATCAGCCACATAAAGCTTTCAACTCCGCATAGGCGTAGCCTTGCCAAAGAAACGTTTATGCTCGCTGGAAACATGAAGGTAACTAACCCAACCGCAATTCGGACTCGTAACAGCCTTTGGGGTCTCCAGAGTTCGAAATCCCATAACAGATCGAGGAAACCCCGCCCGAAGACGGTGGTCTTCACGAGAACCATACGCAAGAGGAAGAACACCCGGAAGCCGATGACGAAGTTGAACAGGATGAAGAGCGGGAGGCGCATGTGAAGGTGGAGAAAGAAGTTAAGGTATATGGTTCTGTAGACTGGTATAGTTCGCAGAGCACATTTTCGTTACCGATCTTCTGGTAGACGAAGCGACGGCCACGACGGGAGGATAGTGGCGATGAGGAGTATGTCGAGAGGAAGCAGGAGATGAAGGCAAGGAGTACTTTGGTCCTTTCGAGCAGGGTCCAATCCCCTAACCCTCAATCCCTCATAGAAACACAAATCAATGAAGAAAGCGATGAAGAGAGAGATGGACGCCGACCTCGCCGACCCCAAGCGCGATAAACGAGCCTACAATAAATGGACGGCCGAGGAAGAAAGGAAACTTCTCCGCGCTATTCTCAGTATGGGTACTCAACAATGGATAAAGGTCGCTGAACAGGTCCCTGGCCGTGACCCCAGCAAATGTCGCACTCATTTTCAGGGCATTGTGCAAAGCAGAGAGAGAACGTCAGGGAGGGTGAAGGAGGAATGAGGATTAGCCTGGAAGGAGCTTACGTTGAATTCAGCGATCGTGCCCAAATGAACCTCAGCGATCGCCACAAGTATCATGAAGAAAAGCGAGCCTGGCGAGAAGGCGTACAGAAACGTGCAAAAGGAACGAACAGGAGCATTTCTTTTTTTGGGGAAACGAAAACGGGAGCGAATACCTGGCGGAGGAAGCGTTCGCAGTAGCGCAATATGCCTATAATGGCTACACGTAGGCTTTTCTACTATATAGGCCCACTTTTGTAGTTCTTAGCCTAACATGAGGTACTGAAATGAATTGGTAAGATGAGCCTTCAAGCGTTGATAGTGGCCGCCCGAAAAATTCGACAGCGAGACCATCACGTGACCTGCTGTCATTCGGTGGAATTCCAGACATCCCGCAAAAACATAGTCGAGCCGGAAACATTAGTGCTGATGATGGAATTTGGAAATGTTTTCTATACACATATGTGACAATAGCAGTGCCCGAAATCGTCCGCAGGCAGATCCCCCTCATACACAAGCCTAACGGAGCTAAGCCAGTGAGTAACCCGAAACAAAAATCACTCGCGAGAAGGGGCATTCGATTCGCGAGTAAGGCAGAGGTAAACTATTTATTTGCCTCTCCGAGATATGCTAGATATGGGTCGTCTGAACGGCTTCTTCCATGCAGCACCGGCGAGTCGAACAAGGGAATGGGCTTGTCAAATGAACGGAAATATATTTTCTTTAAGCCTTTGTCTCCTCCTGGTCGAAGGACTCAACAAGCTCAGGGACGTCGTCATCGCCAGCGGCGTCCTTAACGGCACCGTGGGAGTGGGCGTGGGCGGCTTGGTAGCTCTCGGCGAGCTTACGCAGACTGTTGAGCGAGTCGGGGCCTAATTGGTTCAGGATACCGGGAACGAGCTCGGTGAGCTCCTTGTTCTCGCCGGCGCCGTAGATGACGAAGGTGTTGGCAGCGATGGAAGCGTGGACTACCAAGAGTGGGAAAATGTGAGCGAAGGCATCCATGATGCTCAAGTGGAAAGAAAGACTTACCCTTGGGGGCAGCAAAGTGAATGACAGATCCGTCGGTCTTGAACATGTTGACCTCCTCAATACCGCTGATGGGCTGAACGTTCAACTTCTTCAACTGAGATTGCAGCTTCTTGTCGTCGGTGCCAGAGGTCTTTTGGACCTTCTTGACCTTCCGCCTTGGGGTGCCCTTTCCTCCGATACGGACGGAAGCTTGGAGCTTGGCAAGCTTTTCTGCGTTCATATTTGTGGGTATGTGTGGGAGAAGGTCGGAACTGTCTAGAAAGATGGCAACGTCGGTTATTCCTATCCCTCAGTTTCCAGGTTTCTTTCCCCTTCATATCCGCTGGTAATCGTTCGATATCCTGCCTGATACTAGGCGAGTTTTGTTTCGCCCATTCCCCAGCTTCACTCTTCCACTTCGCCGTGCGCATGTCCTCCTCCTAGACTTGTCGATAACAGATCGTCTTCCACTCGCGAAGCTCCCGCATGTGAAGATCAGGAACAATAGCGCTCTCCGAAACCACAGACCGTAGGATCTCGACGCTCCTTGTGATCTTGAGTCCCTGCTCACTCCTCGCTCGACCCGTATATATGACCAGGAACCCATGCTCGCTCTCTTTATTCCCTCCTGCAGCGTTGGCTAGAAACCTAACGTCCGCTGATTCGAGTCGCTCGCTTGATCTCCCGCTCAATCACTCCACATTGAAGCGCAACCCCCGGCGTCTATGATCAAGGCTCACTCTCAATGTCAATCGAAAAGCGAATTACTCACCTGCACCAAAAAGGATGCGCACACACGAGAAAAGGGTTGGGTTGCGAAGGGGGAGATTGCTTGTGGTTTGTTCGTCGCCTCTCTTCTTCAGGCCGCTCCCCGAAGCCCTGTCACAATTGCTCACGGCAGGATGAGGTAAGCGAAAAAAATCGTCATGGACGGTCGATATGCCCACAATCCTGATAGAGCAAAATCACGTGATTTATAATAAATGCGATCCGTACGGCTGCCACCTGGCATAGCTTCTTTGAGTCCAAATGTCCAGAGAAGTAATCCAAAGAATTCATGCAGCTCAGCGCAAACGTTCATCGTATTCTGAGAGGAGTCAATCCGAGATTGGGATTAAATAGCTTCATTGCCAAAATAAATGATAAGGGTAAAGGGGAATACGCCGAGCTCTAGCGCAGTGTCCAGGCTCGATATGAGAAAGTCTGTCTAAAAACTAATCAAAGGAAATGTACAAGAATCCGACGTGGAGAGAGTCACGAGGGGAGGGGATAGAGAACCGTCTACATAACGATTCTTGGCTCAAGAATGTTGGCACCAACGCTCTTGTGGGGGAGGACGCAGCCTCCATTTACGAACACTTCGTCAGCAACGTGGACGTCCTCTCCCAGAACGGTGATGTTCTCGAGACGACCCCATCGGCCGACCGACGATGCCCATCCGATAATCGAATCGTGAACGCATGCGTTGTCTCTCACGGAAGAACCGTCCATGATGACGGCGTTGGAGATGCGCACACCGTCACCGATGACAGTGTTGGGGCCAAGAACAACGTTGGGACCGATCTTGCAGTTCTTTCCGATCTTGGCGGAAGGGTGGGCCATGACGTGACCGACGATATCCTCAGCCTTCTTCAGTGCGTCCGGTTGGTGGTGGTGGAGGGACTCCAGGTATAGTGCGGTACCGGACAGGAAGTCCTTGGGTTGACCGACGTCAGCCCAGAATCCTGCCAATGGCATAGCGTGGAGCTGACCAGCCTTGGCCATGAAGGGGAAGACGTCCTTCTCGATGGAGGTTGGCTTGGGCTCGATGCGGTCGAGCATCTTGGGGTTGAAGATGTAGATACCGGCGTTGATCTGGTTGCCGACGAATTCCTTTGGCTTCTCGACGAAACGGTCGATGGCGCATGATCCCTCCTTCTGCACGATGACACCGTACTTTGTAGGGTCCTCCACCGGGGTGGTCATGAGAGTTCCTTCACAACCGTGCTCCTTGTGGAAGTTGAGGAGCTCTTCGAAGGGGAACTCGCAAATGACATCGGAGTTGAGAACGAAGAATGGGGAGTCGTCCTTGGCGAGGATGTCGCGGGCAAGGGCAAGGGGACCGGCCGTGCCGAGCGGTTCCGATTCGATCGAGAAGTGAATCTTGACCTTGTACAGCTCCTCGACCTCGTGCATGGCGTCCACCATAGTCTTGGGCTGGTAGTTGACGGCCAGGACAATCTCCTTAACTCCAACCTATTGAATAAGAGGAAGAATCATTCGTTAGTAAAGTTTAAGCTTCAGAAAGGTTCGTGGGAAAACGGTATGCGAACTGGGAATGCCATCTCGAACATCCGGCTGCCGAGCTGGCACGTGGCCTCCCGCCGCCTGGGAACTACCACAATTCACCGTCACCATGAGAGCACCGCATACATACCTTGGCAAGAGCCTCGATTTGGTGCATGATCATTGGCCTGTTCGCAAAGTCAACGAGAGGCTTGGGCTTGGAGAAGGTCAAAGGGCGGAGACGGGTACCGAAGCCACCGACGAGAATGAGAGCCTTCATGTTTGTTGTTGGGGGTATGAACGAGAAGAGGAGTGGTTGTTGTTTGGTTTGGGAGCTGTTGTGAGGCAGAGGTCAAAGAACAAATGGGGAGGGGGCAACCTCGCTAGGTGTTTTTATACGAAAACCCTCCGCAGTCGGTTCTTCAGAGGAGGAGCGCAACGCGCTTGTGAGCGGCCGCTGTTGCGTATGCATGTGCTGCCCATACGGCTTGCCCCAAGCCGCTGCTTCGGATCCAGTAATTGCGCGTCCTTTGACGGCTCGCCTCAACGCGGCCGATACCCAAACTTGGAACATCAAGAAACGTTTTCTGACGATGAAACCCCAAAAAAGGTGGCGGTCCAAGCCTCTCCTTCTAAATGCGGCAATCCCGCACCCCTGTTAAGGGCTCCGTACCTGCGTCATATTAGTAGTGTTAACAGGACAATATCATTTCCCGAGATTCTGGATGTGATTCGGGATACGGCGCCGAAGATCAAGGGCAGCACCGAAGACTCGGCACAATTGGGTCGACTGTGAACAACTGCGATAAAAATATATGCGAGCTGCGCCAAAGCGCGGCGTAACATTCACGGTGGTCGTCGAGATCGGTTGTCGGAGTTCAAATTCAAGTTATCGTGGCACGAGCAGCATTGCATACATGGTATGCCATATGCGGCAAGCTTATCCATGGTCGTGCTTCGTGTGCGGTTTCCTGTGGTTCTGAGATCTTGCTTTTACGTTGATAGCGGGTCACCCACACGGGAGCGCACCCTACTGGGGAACGCACTTTCAACGCAGCACACTTGGGTAAGTCGGAGAGCGGCGTACGATCTGCACAATGGCTGTCTTAAGGCTATATACGCGCTTGCGTGGCTCATTCTGACATCATGTTTCGCGTTACGAGAATCGATGGCTTTTGGAAAAGTTGGGTCCGGAGGATGCAGGATGCAGGAGAACAGAAAATCGGTCGGGACGATTCTCGCACACAGGAGTAGGACAGAATCCGACAGATATGGCTGCGTGCAGCAGGAGTGAGAAGAACGTTCACATGCATCGATCTCGAAATATGAAGAGCAGATAAGATAAAAGCAGAGTCTCACAGAGCGTCTCGTTTGAAATACCGTGACCGCTCGGACGCCCCCAAGATTCAGCATGTCTCGATAGTTGAGGCCAGCTCCTGACACCGGAATGACGAATCGCACCGAGATATGGTCTGTGTACATTGCACACTCGTCCTTCGCCTGTACGGAGGACTACGAAGGTCAGCTTATGATTCATCTATGCGAGAGTCCAGATCTTTCCAAGCCCGTGCGGCTTCGATTTATTATATTAGACTCCGCTGATTTTTGACCTTCTCTCGAGTTTGATGAGCCTGGTCAAAGCCAGAGGCCGCTGAGTATGAGACGAGGCGATGGCCGTTTAGCAAAGTCTTCAACGAGCACCGATATAAACATTCTTCCTGTCACGTGAAGCATTTTCGCGGCGGCGTCGTCTCGCCAAGTCAGGAAAACAGGTCATAGGGGAACGGTAAGAGAGAACTGCAACGGCAGCGAAAGCGAAGGAGTTGCAGAGTTAGTTTGACGGGTCGCTGAACGTAATCTCATAGGGTTCGGGAGACTGTGAGGAGACCAGCATCAATCACTCGACGAGATATCAGCAACAACGATTAGGGACTCCCCATTTCACTGCCCGAAGCCTCCCTTCCCCCGCTTAACCGTTCACCAGCGCAGCGCGAATCGGCTTTCTGAGTTATGTCCCTTCTTTCTTCGTCCAAACAATCCTTCGTTCTTCCAGCTTTGCAATAAAGTTCCACCTAGACTCGCGTTTCAGATGCCTCGCTAATGTTACTATTTCGGTAGTCCTTAGGCTTTTATTGTGTGGATTCGCCGATTCGTCCATCCCTTCGTCCACTGTGATGTGTCTCCCACACCAATGTGATGGAGATCCTGGATCTGGATACCCGACTCGCCTAGCATCTATTTCATGGAAGGCCTCACTTCTCTTTGAAAAGTTCTCGCCAAACGAGTATGCCCGCGCGGAGGCGGCGTTACTCACATTCACCTCGCTCTACACCGGAGTTCTGTCAGCAACGTGTCAATGGTCGACGACCGCGATCCAGAGGCCAGAAGCATACGAACTACGAAAGAGTCACCGCTATTCTTGTATGCCGACAGTAGGCTCACAACAGTATCGCGGCGCGCATTTTTAGGTCATTGGAATTCTCTGACATATATTTGACAACTTGATATGACATGCATTGCAAACAACGGTACAGCGACCCGGACATCAAATGAAAAGCTGCTAGTCTATAGCGCCGATCTAAATCTAGCACGTAGGGCACTCATTGCATTGCTTGAACCCGTAACCGAACGCGTTACAAGCCGCTTTGAAAGCCTTCTCCTGGTCACCCTTGTTGACACAGCATCTATGGACAGAAGAAAACAACATCAAGATCGCGGCGATGCATCGACGGGCCAATGGAGAGCTACCCTTACCCGTAAAATCCGCAGCTGTGGGAGTAGGTAGCTCCAATAGAATTGCAGGCGCGTTTGGAGTGCGCGGTTCCTCCCTTGCATGCACACTTTTCGGCCAGGACGACCTGGAGGAGGCACATCAGGACGATGAGGAAGGCGAAGTACTTCATGGTGGTGATTGGATTGCTTCAGGGGGCGGGGAGAAAATGAGGGTTAATGAGGGTGTCTCTACGTGCAGGGCTACGCACAGATGGACAATCGTAGTACCTTGAAGAATGTCTTGGAGCAGAACAGGATGTGAGGGTGCAGATGAGGGAAGAGCATTTTGCCTCCTTCCATTTATAGGTTTCGGCCACCTGCTCCCGAACGACCGTGCCCCATGCTACCCCTCGTTCTCCTGCTTGTCCACCAAACGCATCTCTCCTGCAGCTCGTCCGCAGGTCGCACGGTGCAACGTAGAACACATCCCCGACGTCGATCTTCCTCGTTCTTTTTCATAGCTTTTCCATAGCTACGGCGCTTTGATCGCATGCCAGCGGCGGTATAGGTGTGCAGAAAGAAGTGCGGCATTGGCTTTCTTCATCATACGGCGTAGCATGCCGGCATGAAGGTATCCAAGGCACATGCCTAACATTTTCAGACAACCGTGGGACCCAACATATACGGAAGATGTGCATCAGAGTGGGGTATGTGAACAACGCGAGAGCGGGCTGGAAAACATACCCCACAGCGCGTTGTCGGTGCGCGTCTCTCCAGCTGCAACTCCGGCGCACGTTTGAGGCTTGAGCACGGAACTCTGCACGGAACTCATGAAATTTATAAACTCATGTAGTACCCGGTCAAGCCCTCCAGACTCCCCACGCTTTCCGCCCGGTTCCGCGACTCTTGGTATACTGTATACAGTACATACATGAGATGAACTCCCGCTGGTACGAGGATGCTCGCCAGCTCGTCGACGGATGTTGACAGATTGCATTGGCTGTGCAGGTACCACACGTCGATCGAGCAGAACAAACGTGTGTCAAGGCCTGCCATAGAAATCCACGATTCCTCGCCAGCACTGCAGCACCCACCTCACACGATTCTGGCCGACTGGAAGTTCAGGTTGAAGAAAAAAATGTCTATGTTACCCAATGGTGGACGTACTGTACAGTATGTATGATCTGGAAGGTAACCTGAGTAGGTGGGCGAGCACTGCTGGAGGCAACGGGTGAATAGCTAGTCAAGCCACCGAGAAAAAGCTAGGCATCTCAGGTAGGGCAGTTGCTCGCGAATGAAAGTGGGATTTGAGGCGATCTCAGGCTGGATCTGAGGCGCTATCTCGCATGGAGGGCAGAGTGACTGGAAGGATCGATTTCCGGCCGGTTCTAATCAGATTTCAGATATCATGGCTTCCGTCTTGCCAGATATTTGGGACTCGTGACACATCCGCCTGAAGGGTTCAAGATGGATATCGAGTATCGGACTCATCAAAGTGCTTGTGATCCCGAGAAGCGCTCGCTTTCAGCGAAATTCAAACTTCCTTGCTTCCATCGATGCTAGATCGAAACCAAAATTACATGACGATGGCCTCAACGTCGATCCTCCCAACAAACCGTGCAAAACCAAAGCTATCAGTTATCAAAGCGCATCTCATCAGAGGGGTGCCTCAGAGACCTTGCTCACTCTTTAACCAAAGGCTGCTCAATGGAAGCGCGATAGATATCTATCCCGCTGACGAGGCGCTTGAACGGACGAAAAACGGGTGAGTCATGTCCGACCCATTGTGTGGCACGAACGCGTTGTGTCGTCCATCTGAGGGCGACAGACTCGGACAGAGGGCCAACGGTGAAAACGCGCTTGAGCCAATCGGGTCCGCCGCAAACGGCGTCTTCTGCGGATTCTTCCTGTCCTCTCAGCTCTGCATCCACCTTTTTTCTTTTTTCCCAACGGAGGATCTGCCGTGACTATGAACACATCCGAGGACAGACAGTGGACACTGGACATGTCTCACAAGGTCCGGGACCAAGGAGGATTCGACGCGGAACGAGGCGGTATATCTGGCAGCGGACGGCTCGCGGTTCTACCGGCACCTGTTGCTCAACACAATTCCTCGTCATCCCTCCGTTCGGTTTGAAAAGTGATGAACCCACCTTGTGTGCGCGGACCACTCGGTAACTCGGCGAATTGGGGCCGAAATGGAGCCGAAGGTGAAGTCGATGGCATTCTCGTGGTGACCTGGACGTGCCCCATGGAGGCATTGGGACACAGTAGTGATGATTACATCCAAAGCAATCGATTATCGAGGTGCATCAACGGGTGACGAATACGCGTTAGGACAAACCTCCTCCTTTGCTCCTTTTTTCGCCGAGAGCATCCGGTGCTGAAGCTTGTCTTGGGGCTTCGTCCAAACCTGCAGCCACATATCCTCCGCGGGCACTTAAGCGCTGGGTCCACCGGCTTGTCCCTCCCTCTGCAAAGTGTCCTTCGAATACACCGTCATTGAGACTTTCACTCCATTCCTATTATCAAAACGCAATTCGCTAGAGGTGAGGCAGCCGGTCCAGTGAAAGTCATTGGGAGTCATTGTGCCATGTCCACGAATACTCGCTCGTTTAGCCGGGTGAACAAGTACTCACCGTAGATCACTGAATACCTTCCGCAGGTCCTCTTATAACCCCCCAAAGCCTGCCACCCATATAGGTCAACCGCTCGGATTTCACAATACCACTGCCGCCTCTGAGTCTCAGGACGCAAGCGTCGATCAAAGTTCAGCAGTATCTTGGCCGCCTCCTCGCCTCGAATATATTGTCACAACAGCCCAGATTCCCACGGAACTTTCATTTGGTGATCAATTCAGCGAGGAAGTATCGTCCCATCGTTCAACCCACACGAGTCCTGGCAATATGCCACACACATTCTCAGAGCATGAAGGTATGGCATCTCTTCGCGGGCGTCGCTGTTGTCGGGGTTATTCCGGGCTGCTGGGATGGATTAGATTCATTTGCGAATCTTGCTCTACACCAAACTGACTGGGGAAATGTTTTCATCACATCTTGCAGTGGAGGCGCCATCCCCCACGACACCTCCCGCTCAACATTCGGAAAGCACTCGAACCAACGCAGTCCACGATTTCGTCATTCGCAACAATGGTAACACTCCCATCACGAAGGTGTTGATCGCCAACAACGGTATGGCCGCCGTTAAGGCCATCCGATCGATTCACAAATGGGCGTACGAGACATTTGGAGACGAGCGTGCAATTCAGTTTACGGCGATGTGCACGCCGGAGGATTTGACGGTCAATGCCGAGTTCGTCAGAATGGCAGATCAGTATGTGGAAGTCCCCGGTGGAACCGCTAACCACAACTACGCCAATGTCGACTTGATTGTCGATATCGCAGAGCGTACGGGCGTGCACGTAAGTGTCAAATCATTGTTGCCGCAGCCTTCCAGCATTGGTCGGACGTCAGTTCCTCACCACCATGTCGCACTTCTAGGCTGTTTGGGTCGGATGGGGTTTCGCGTCCGAGAACCCCGTATTAGCCGAGAAGCTTGCCGCGTTGTCACCACCCGTTGTATTCGTCGGTCCTCCGCCATCTGCTATGCGAGCGCTCGGTGATAAGATCGCCTCTACGATTGTCGCCCAATCTGCCGACGTGCCTTGTGTCGCCTGGAGTGGCACTGGCATCGACGACGTTGCGAAGGACAGCGAAGGCCACGTGTACGTTCCCGACGAGATCTACCTGAAAGCCACCACCAACGATGTCAACGTCGGTCTGTCGCACGCCGAACGCATCGGCTACCCGGTCATGATCAAAGCCTCTGAAGGTGGAGGTGGTAAGGGTATCCGTCTCGTCGACGAGCCATCTCAGTTCGCACAAGCCTTCGTTCAGGTTCAGCGTGAAGTCCCCGGATCCCCTATCTTCATCATGCGTGTCGTCCGCAATGCAAGGCACTTGGAGGTTCAGCTTCTCGCCGACGGCTACGGCAATGCCATTGCTCTGTTCGGTCGTGACTGTTCCGTTCAGCGTCGTCACCAAAAGATTCTGGAAGAAGCTCCTATTACCATCGCCCCTCCTGAAATTCTGAGCAAGATGGAGAACGCGGCTGTTCGTCTCGCCAAGTTGGTCGGCTACGTCAGCGCCGGTACTGTCGAATATCTGTACGAGCCAAGCACTGGCGAGTACTACTTTTTGGAACTCAACCCCCGTCTGCAAGTCGAGCACCCGACTACTGAGATGGTAATGTGGCAATGATCTGCTTTTGTGCACTTGTCTTGTGGTCTGACGCTCATAGGGGTATCGTCTGATAGGTCTCTGGAGTCAATATACCCGCTGCCCAGCTTCAAGTGGCTATGGGCATTCCCCTCAGCAACATCAGGGACATCAGAACCCTCTACGGACTCACCCCGACCGGTCGCTCCGAGATTGATTTCGATTTCAGCAACCCGGATTCCTATGAGAAGCAACGCAAGCCTTCCCCCAAAGGACACGTCATCGCCGCTCGTATCACCGCTGAGAACCCGGATGCCGGTTTCAAGCCCAACAGTGGAAAGGTTGTCGAGCTCAACTTCCGCAGTAACAGCAACGTCTGGGGTTACTTCTCCGTGAACGCCTCCGGAGGTGTCCACGAATACGCGGATTCCCAGTTCGGTCACGTCTTCTCTTACGGCGAGACTCGTCAAGACTGTCGAAAGAACCTTGTCATGGCGCTCAAGGAGCTCTCCATTCGTGGTGACTTCCGTACGACCGTCGAGTACCTCATCAAGCTGCTCGAGACGGAGACCTACGTTGACAACAAGTTCACAACCGGGTGGCTCGATGTTTTGATCGCTCAGAAGATGGACACCGAGAAGCCCGACTCTATTCTTACCGCCATCTGTGGTGCTGTCGCTAAAGCTCAAACCTGGTTCCAGCACAACATCGGAGAGTTCTGCCGCGCCCTTGAGAAGGGTCAGACCCCATCCCGCTCTCTTCTTGAGACAAAGCACCAAGTCGACTTCATCCTGCACAACGTTCAGTACAAGATTGCAGTCACTGTCACAGGCGCCGAGTCTTACAGACTGACCGCCAATGGCTCCCACGTCGACGTTGTCGCCAAGAAGCTCGCTGACGGTGGCGTGATGGTTCTTCTCGGAGGTCAGAAGCACTTGGTGTATGCCAAGGACGAAGGCCACGCCACCCATTTGGAACTCGACAGCAAGGCCGTCATCTTGGAGAAGGAGAACGACCCTACGAAGCTTCGCTCGCCGTCTCCTGGCAAGCTCGTACGGTACCTCGTCGAAGAGGGCTCCCACCTGAACGCCGGCGACGCTTTCGCGGAAATTGAGGTCATGAAGATGTACATGCCTCTGCTCGCCAGCGAAAGCGGATTGGTCGAGTTTGTCCTTCCGGCCGGAAGCGTGCTTTCCGCGGGTGAAGTCATTGGGTCCCTTACCCTCGATGATCCAAGCAAGGTCAGGCGCGCAACGGTCTTTGAGGGCGAGTTCCCCAAAGTCGGCGCCCCCCGAGTGGTCGGAGACAAGCCTCACCAGAGATACGAACAAGCCAAGCAAACAGTCGACGGGATCCTTGACGGTTACGAGTTCCACGGCGACATCGGTGCCGTCGTTCGCCACCTCGTCGAACAGTTGCGCGAGCCCGAGGTGCCACTCTGCGAGCTCTCCCAGGTCCTCTCCGCTCTTGCCGGTCGCGTGCCGCCCAAGCTCGGTGCCGCGATGCAAGCCGAGATTGAGCGTTTCAGGACCCAGGGCGAGCCCTTCCGTCCGGAAATATTCCAACAGCTCATCTCGCAGGCCAGCCTCAGCATGAACAAAGACGATCACACCGCATTCACCGCCACCATCGTTCCGGTCCAACAGGTTCTGGACCGCTACGCTCAAGGCATCAAGTACCACGAGCGGGCAGTGCTTGCCAGCCTGCTCACGCGTTACATACACATCCAAGAGTTGTTCGATTCGAAACGACAGGATGACGTGCTCCTTGAGTTGAGGGACCAGCACAAGAATGCTCTCGGCAACGTCGTCGCGGTGGCTCTCGCCTTCTCCAAGCAGAAGAACAGGAACGACCTCGCGCTCGTAGTTCTCGACCATCTCCGAAGCGACATCACTGACGAAGGGAAACAGGTTTACGTCCCAATCATCACCGAGATGACCGCTTTCACCAGCCGCGCTACCGCTAAGGTCTCCCTGAAGGCCCGCGAATTGCTGATGTGGTACCAGATGCCCAGTTACGAGGAGAGGTTCAACGACATGCAGGACATCCTGCTCTCTGCCGTCAAGGCCGGCAACGCTTGTGAAGACGATGCCGCTCCTGTGTTGAGGCAGCCAAGCTTCGACAACATGTACTTGTCGAAGCTGGTCACTGCCAACCACACCATCCTGGATATCCTCCCGCAGTTCTTCTACCATTCCGATGTCAGCCTCCGCGCCGCTGCTCTCTACACCTACGTGCTGCACACCTACCAAGCGTACTCAATCACGTCGGTCAAGCACCATATCGAAACTGAGCCGATCGTCTTCGAGTGGGAGTTCACTCTCCGCCCCGTCACAACCACCAGCGGTTCGGACAGCAAAAGCCGTACCTACTCGCGTGCGGGATCGTCTACGTCGCTGAGCAGCCTTCAAACAGCACCAGCGAGCGGTGCGTCCGGTGACCTCAAGGGAGCGCGGAAAGGAGTTCTTTGCGCTTTCACTTCGTTGGCGGACGTCGAAGAGCGTTTCGCAAGCTTCATTGAACAGTACGGTGAAGCCGTCAAGCCCGCAGTCAACGGGTTGAACCGTGGAAGCCAGCACCGTGCCGCGCGCAACGTGGTGAACATCGCTGTCCTGGACGTCCAAAACGAGCTTGCCGATACCGACGCCGCTCAAGCCAAATTCAAGAGCATCGTTGCTTCCATTCGCCCTCTTCTCCGTGCCAAGGCCATTCGGCGAGTTACGTTCATGCTTCTCCGCAAGGGCAAATACCCCCACTACTTCACTTACAAGGAGGAATTAGACTTCGTTGAGGACGTTCTCATCCGCCACATCGAGCCCGCAATGGCCTACCAGCTGGAGCTGCAACGCCTTGCCAACTATGAGGTCAAGCCTTGCTTCATCGACAACCGTCGCATCCACGTGTACCACGGAGTCGGCAAGAAGAACCCTGCTGACCACCGCTTCTTCGTTCGCGCCATGGTGTACCCTGGTCAAGCACCAACCGATCAAACCCGCACTCACGAGTTCCTGCTCAGCGAGGGTACTCGTATTCTCACCGACATCATGGACGCGTTGGAGATTGTCGGTGCTCAGTTCCCCAACACCGACGGTAACCACATCTTCGTTAACTTCGTCCCCACCTTCGAGATCGACACCGAGGTGGTCGAGAGCAGTTTGAGAGACTTTGTTGAGCGTCATGGTCAACGTCTGTGGAAGCTACGTGTCACCACAGCGGAAGTCCGTTTCCTCCTCAGGAAGCCCATCACCGCCGCGCCTTCGCTCAACGGTAGCAACCACGGCGTCGGACGCGTTTCCCCAACATCGGCTGCCGCCACGCAGAACACACCAAGGGCTTTCCGCTACGTGATGTCTTCCGTCACCGGCTATGTCACCCGTAACGACGTGTACCAAGAGCACCGCGACGGTACTGGTGTGCAGAAGTTCCAGTCCCTCTCTTCCCCACCCGGCCCATTACACCAAGTCCCCGTAAGCGCTCCCTACCCCACCCGCGCGTCCATTCAACCCAAGCGCTACAAGGCCCACTTGATGGGTACCACCTACATCTACGACTTCCCCGAACTCTTCCGCCGTGCTGTTGAAAAGAAGTGGGTTGCGCACAACAAGGAGAATGGTAGTGCTTCCCGTGTTCCCGCTGTGGTGATGAATGTTACCGAGCTGGTCGTTGGAAAGGACGGAAACCTGATTGAGCTTGTGCGCGAGCCTGGAGAAAACGACTGCGGAATGGTAGCTTGGGATTTGGAGCTGTTCACGCCTGAGTACCCTGAAGGTCGCCACATTGTGGTGGTTGCAAATGATATCACATTCAACATTGGATCTTTCGGACCACAAGAGGACCTGGTGTTCTTCAAGGCTTCAGAGTACGCCAGGAAGCAAGGTGAGATTTTGGGAACACCTGAACAGAGTTCCCCATAGCACGGGATTAACAGACTTCCATCAGGTATCCCGCGCATCTACATTTCCGCAAACTCCGGCGCTCGCATCGGTCTTGCGGACGAGGTGATCAACCACTTCAACGTCGCATGGCTGGACCCCAGCAACCCCGCCAAGGGCTTCGACTACCTCTACCTCACCGAGGCAGAGCACAAGAAGCTTGTTCTTGACCAGCCAGAAAACCCGTCAGTCCACTGCGAGCTTGTTACCGGTGAGGACGGCGAAAAGCGCTACAAGATCGTCGATGTGATCGGACGCGAGCACGGTCTTGGCGTGGAGAACCTTCAAGGATCCGGAATGATTGCCGGCGAGACCAGCTTGGCCTACGAGGAGATCTTCACCGTCACCCTCGTCACATGTCGCAGTGTCGGTATCGGTGCCTACCTCGTCCGACTCGGCCAGCGTGCCATTCAAGTCGAATATACACCCATCATCCTCACCGGTGCTGCAGCGCTCAACAAGGTGCTCGGTCGCGAGGTCTACACTTCCAACTTGCAACTCGGTGGCACGCAGATCATGCACCGCAACGGTGTTTCTCACCTCGTTGCAAAGGACGATATGAACGGAGTCCAAGAAATCATCAACTGGCTTTCGTTCGTTCCCAAGCATCGCAACGCACCGCTCCCTGTTCTCCCCACCACCGATCCCATTGACCGGGAGGTTGAAACGGAGATCACCAAGGCGCCATACGATCCCCGCGTCTTACTCGCAGGCGGTGAAGACAAGGACGGCGACTTCGCTGCTGGATTCTTCGACCGTGGCACATTCGCCGAGACACTTGCCGGTTGGGCCAAGGGAGTCGTAGTTGGGCGTGCTCGTCTCGGAGGCATCCCCGTTGGTGTCATTTCCGTGGAAACCCGTTCCACAGACACCGTCATCCCCGCCGACGCAGCCAACGAAACGTCCCAGGAGCAAACTATCTCCGAAGCTGGTGGAGTGTGGTACCCCAACTCGTCATACAAGACCGCGCAAGCCATCAACGACTTCAACAAGGGCGAACAACTTCCTCTGTTCATCTTTGCGAACTGGCGTGGATTCTCTGGCGGTCAATCCGACATGTACAAGGAAGTGCTCAAGTACGGTGCTGGTATCGTCGATGCGCTGAGGGCCTACAAGCAGCCGGTATTCGTCTACGTCATCGGTGAACTCCGCGGTGGAGCCTGGGTCGTCGTTGACCCTACCATCAACCCCGACATGATGGAGATGTACGCCGAGGAGCAGTCCCGCGGTGGTGTCCTGGAACCCCAGGGTATCGTCGAGATCAAGTTCCGTCGCCCGCAGATGATTGCTGCCATGGAGCGCCTCGACCCTGAGTACCGGGCTCTGAAGCGCCAGCTTGCAGAAGCGACCCCTGACGCCAAGGCACATCTTCAAGCCGCCGTTGAACGTCGGGAGAAGGACCTCCTGCCCGTGTACCACCAAGTCGCTGTTGAATTCGCCGACCTTCACGACAGGCCCGGCCGTATGCTCGCCAAGGACGTCGTCCACCGCATCGTCGGATGGGCAGAGTCGCGGAAGTTTTTCTATTGGCGCCTCCTGCGCCGCATCAGCGAGGAGACTGTGATCCGCAACCTGCAGGAAGCCGACTCAACCCTCACCCGCGCGGACTGCAAATATCTTCTCCAGCAATGGTTCGCCGACGACGTGCACAAGGTCCGCGCCGTCTTTGACGACGACGAGATGGAGGACCAAGACCACCAACACCAGCACCAGCAGGCCAACGACTACCCCGGCGCCGACCTTTCCGTTGTGCGCTGGCTCGGTATTCGCCGCGAGAGCGTCGATGAACGCGTCGACAAGGTCAGGATCGGGGCGCGCACCCGTGCCGTGCAGGATATCGCCGCGAGTGACATTGATGTTGCTGTGGAGGGTATCCTCAAGGCTGTCCAGGGACTTGATGCCAAGCATCGCCAGCGCGTGCTCGACTCTTTACGCTCGGCGTCGATGTAGAACATTGCGTTTAGATTCACACTTCACTATCGTACAGCGTTTGCGCTAGAACCCCATTTTTGTTTTGCCACATTTCACCTTTCCCCTCTTTGGCTCGCTTGGACGAATTCTGTATCATTCATTCCCCATTTCTAACTCGGTCCTGCCGGATTTGAACTGAGTAGTAGACAGCATGCGAACTTCTTCATAGTCGTCTGAGTCTCCATGTCATATATTGTACATTTGCCATCGATCTGTTTTCACATGAACCCTTTGTGAACTTCTGGATTTCGGGACTTTTGAAACGCTTTCGACTCTGGAGTCGAGCTGACAGTCTTCCAGAGTTAGGATTTCGCTTCAGTTTTCAACCAGCGGCCAGAATAACCGATGCAGCCCGCAAAAAAAAGGAAATTGGGCAGCGCTCATAGGCAGCTTTCATTCTTGGGTATGAATAACAAGGAAACCATTGGAAGTTTGCACTCGTGCTGGATGATTGGGCCTTGGATGAGGCCGACGGTGGCGACGATGCGGTTGGCGACGATGCGGGTGGCGACGATACGGGTGGTGTTCACATTTTTGGAACTCAACATATTCGTGGTGTTGGCGTCGGGGGCGTCCGCAATGGGGCTGCGACGGTCAACCACATCATGAGTCAAGGAAGGGGTGCTGATGGTGTATGGAAGGCGAACACCGCAAAGATTTATTTGAACGCGTACGCGAAGTGAATCGATGCGCTGGAGATGGAAGGCAATGAGGAGCGCCGAGATCGATTACAAGTGACGGACGTGACAAAGACCTTACAACTGATCCAAGCGCAACATGACCTGTGTTGTGAGATGTTGGATGTGGCGGCGAGCAAGCAGATGTACACGGAAGCGGAGATGGAGAACTACTTGGAGTGGTGGGAATTCAAAGAGCGGGTCGGAGCATGGTTGGAGGCTCAACCGGCACCCCGCGCTGACGACACTGAGATGGCTTTCAGTGAAATCCAGAGGCTGATGACCGTCGCGGCGTTGCGTATAGCGGTTTTTGACCATGAACCCCGTCGACTGGATGTGTTTGCAGCCGACGGTCGAAACTACTACGAGAGCGAGATGCGGACAATCATCCTCGACGAGTACAAGACGGCCACGAAGTATGGAACGCAACGTACTGTACTGTACTGTATGCAAGTGTCAGAAGAGACGGGCAAAATTCTGGATATCTTAATCGCGTACGGCAAAAAGCATGATCGACAGTACGTGTTCGGGCCCTTGGAAGAACCGGAGACGTTCACCTACACAGCACATTCGGCGTGGTCTAGTCGCTTTTTGAGCACCGCGATGCACAAAGCGACAGGGAAGGCCATCAACTGTGATCTCCTGCGCAAGCTTTACATTGAGTTTGCGCAAAAAGAGGGTTTGTTTGACGACCCGTTGGCGCGGAGGGCGATTTCCAACCGGATGGCACATGACGTGCGGACGCAGGTGAAATACTATGCGAAAGATGTCGGGCGGTCCGGCAAGAAGAGGAACGTAGAGGCCGTTGATGCGGATGCGGAGGCGGATTCGGAAAGCGGAAGACAACGCAAGCGAACCGTGATAACTGACGAGCAGAAGGCTGCCCTCTGGGAGGTCAAAGTCGAACAGGAGGCAATGCAAGGGACTACCGGTTGAACACTTAGGGTTAGGGTTAGGGTTACAAGACCCCCTGGGTTGGGTTTTATGATTGGGTTGCCTGGAACCCTAGGGACTTAGAAATTTTCGAGTTTTTTGGCTTTTGGGTGTGTTCTACAGTTCGAATTCTTGACTCTGAGGGGTGTGGTGGCGGGGGGTGTTACGCACCTAGGCAAGTCGGGGGGGACTAGGTGTGCAAGGGCAAGTGATGGGTCTTATGGGTGGTGGTGCGGGTACGGGGTGGGGGCAGGGGTGCCAATAGGGGGGGGGGGGGGTTCATATAAAGGGGACATATATGTTATATATACGTTATGGGACTTGTGAAAATTGGGATTTTTTTAGTGCCGATCCGGAGTTGGCGTCCTAATTAAAAAGTTGGCCCCATATCATATTCTCTAATTGAAGTACTCTCGGATTGGCAATCCGTGCGGAAACGGCTTCAGAAACTTAGAAAAACGAAATTTTCACGCGACGGGGGGTAAAAAATTGGAAAATGTGGTGATATCTCAACATCTGGCTGACTATCCAGTGTTGGGCACTTAATGAAAGTTGATTGTAGCCTATGGTTTGCATAGCGGATGTGGTAGCAAATCTTGTGTAACCTTGCTTTTGGCTGAAGAACAGGGCCCCTTTTCAATTCTCAAGTCGTGACCCCCAAGACCTCCTAACAAAAGACACAAGTACGTATGTGCAGGCAAAGGGGTTTGGCCGTGTTCTCCAGTAAACATTTTGTGAATTCCGCTGTGCATCGTAGACTGTTTGTAGGACCCTTGCGGTATGATATTTACCAAAACTGTTGAACATTTTCCGGTTAAAGCAGTGTTCTACAGTTTGTCCATGCAGGTTAGGGCACGTGACCTGGGCCTGCTTGCAGGGTACGCAGAGTGAGAGGGTTGGGGTTAGAGATTTCCCAGATCACTTATTAAATTCAGCCAAACTGTCTCTGTCATGGAACATTTAAAATGGTGGAAAGTAGTATTGCATTTATTGATTCAGAGTACATTGGAAAAGCGCACATTCAGAAAAGGGTTTTGGTGTAAAGTTATCAACGACAGTCAACAGTACTAAAGGACTTCCGCAAGCATGTCACGGACTTGGTTCTGTCCAAAAGTCGTACGGCACTCAGGGTACCTGGCGCAGCGGAGACGGAAACGATGCTGACCGCCAATGTTATGAAAAGCTGAGCCTCCACAGTTGGGACATTGAAGCTGATCACGATGCTGATGGAAGAGTTCACGGATATTGCCAATGGGAGCAGCATCAGGCACTTCCCCATCCCCATGACCCCACCAAGCACGAGCAGGATCAATGACGGGTGCAATGCCTTTGAACCATCCGGGGTTGAAACCAAAAGAGTTGAGAACATCTCGGAAGCGCTGACAGTCTGTCACAGTAGTCTGTCTATTGCGATCTCCCCTGAATAGAACTCTGGTGGCAGCGGCCATGATGCCATTGATGAGACTGTAGTACTCTTCCACCGGCACAAGCTTCAAGGAGTTTGCGCCCATGTGCTGGAAAATGGTCTCGATCTGGTCCAAATGGAGATTCAAAACCATCTGTTCCGCTGATTCCAACCTGGCGCACTGAACTCGCACTTCAACTCGCATGCCAGTAATGTGGAGCGGGTGACCGTTGAGCCATTGACGTAAACCTCTCAGTGTCTCACTGCGATCACCAAGGCTGGACTTGGTCTGGGGCATTCGCGAAGACAAAGTCGAAGAGTAGGCTTTGAGCGCATGAACAAGCTTTGGGTAGCAAGTAACCCGAACATTGGCGTGGCCCGCAATGTCAAAGCGGGTGGACCCAAATCCCTCACCAAGGATGGTGAGCATGGGAAAGGTGGCGCCAACTCCACGTCCATTGTAGCGAACCAAAGGAATGACACCACGAGTGTTGAATGTCTGACCAATGTCCCATGTGTTGAGTGCAGCATCGGGATGGTTGCTCACTTCCTGGTCAAAGGAGTAGGCTGGCAAAGTCTGAATGCGTTGCTTCATTCCATACTGCACAATGCGTACAGAGGGTGACACAGCACCAATGATGTCCTGGAACCCAGACATCAACAGATTTTGCCGCCCAGCAATCAATCGTGAGTGATCCGTGCTTTCCCTCACGATGATCGAATGTTCATTGTGAAGTAACTCAAGAATCCTTGCCTTTGACTCTGGATTGAATGGAATGCTAATGACACAAGGTCTGCTAGCGATCCGCATCCAACCGGCGAAAGCTTCACTGTCCTTGATATGCTGCATCACTCCAGACAGTTCAACCAATGTGAAGGCACCAAAGAGGGTGGTCAGCTTTGTGGTAGGGAGCGTAAAGGCCATCCAGTCCACATCAAAGTAGCCAGTACTGCGGAAGACCCCAAACTGCTCATCCTGAAGGGCAGGAGAGCGATGGTGTTCCTCATCTGAAGAGCTTGAGCAAGAAGTTGGCAACTCGATGTCCTCACGCCCCTCATCACTATGATGATGAGGGTTGGAGCTGTGTGAACCAGAAATGGACAACTCCACATCCAAACTGCCGATGCTGGATGAGGTCTGGGAGATTTCGACCTGAAGGCTGGTGTTCGACATGGATGAGGTAAGGCTCGACGGCGAAAGGGTGTTGTTGGTGAATGCGGTGAAAGGCATGGTGTTGGCCCTGGTGTTGGCGATGGTATTGGTGTCGGTATTGGCGTAGGTGCTGAAATGTGGTGGTGGTGCGTGCTTTTGGAGGGAGGGAATCTGAACAGCCCTCTCCTTTTATAAAAGTCTGGCCAAAGGCAACCTGGAGCTGTTCTTCAAATTTTTCTGCAACCCTACCTTTCTTTTTTCCTAACTTTTTTTTTCCCCTTTTTTGTTTTCACTACTCCTTTTTTTTCGCGACTTTTTTTTTTCACTAATCCTTTTTTTTTTCGGACTTTTTTTTTTCCACTAATCCTTTTTTTTTCAACTTTTTTTTTTCATCAAACTTTTTTTTTTTCAACTTTTTTTTTTTTCACTTAGCCTTTTTTTTTTTCGACTTTTTTTTTTCCACTAATCCTTTTTTTTTACTTTTTTTAGGGTTAGGGTTAGGGTTAGGGTTAGGGTTAGGGTTAGGGTTAGGGTTACAGGACTGTTCCCGGTTATGGGTTATTTTTGGCCATCCAAAAAGTGTCAAACAAAGTTGCTAGCAATGTTCAGGGGCATCTTACTGTAATGTGCTTCAAATTTTGGGGCATGTTTTCCACTCAATGCCCCGGGAAAATCTGTTTTTCCGATTTTTTACTATGAAAATATTGCCAAAATGCATTTTCTGAAACTCTGAGTGGATGGATTTCGCTTAAAGTGGAATATGTCTCGGAAAACATCCCCAAAAACATCTAGGAACCTTCATCTACTCTAGTATTCATCAACTCCTGGTACTTTTTGTTTCCAGGCAATATGGGGGTGTTCTCTAGTTGGCGGCGAATGACTCATTTTGGTTTGCTCTCAATTTGCTCCATGTTTAAATCCTTTTAAGGCCCAAATACTTTCTTTTCTTCCATTGCTCCTCCTGTTGGTGGAGGATGGCAAATGCCTTTTTGCATTGCAATACATGGATATGACAGGGTGTTTGTCAACCAGCAAATCATGGAAAAAGCATGCAGTGCATGTCCATTTGCATGCCCTATGTCATCCGTACCACCTTGGACACCCAAGGAAAGGTATGCGGACTCAAAAGATAATATAGTTACGGAAGTGGAAGCAGGGAGATTCAATGACTATTTAACGAGCTATGGCACACGTAAGTTCCCAGGAGTGGGACTTAGCACAATTTGAGAAAACATATCAGAGGAACTGGAGAACACACTCTTGGAGACTTAGGGTTTAGGGTTAGGGTTAGGGTTAGGGTTAGGGTAGGGTTAGGGTTAGGGTTAGGGTTAGGGTTAGGGTTAGGGTTAGGGTTAGGGTTAGGGTTAGGGGTTAGGGGGTTAGGGTTAGGGTTAGGGTTAGGGTTAGGGTTAGGTTAGGGTTAGGGTTAGGGTTAGGGTTAGGGTTACAGGACTGTTCCCGGTTATGGGTTATTTTTGGCCATCCA